GGCACAGTTACGCTCTACTCGCAGACCTGGCCCTGTGTGCTCCAGTTTGGCTGCCCAGGTCTAGCCAGTGTGAGCAGTGCGGCAGTCTGTGCTCGGACAGGGTTCTCGTATGGGTTAAGCCGTTGATACCCCATATTGCTAAGACCCATTGCTGCCCTAAGCTTCGGCCACAGATTTCGGTCAAAGGAAGCCGATGGCTACTTTCCATTCGAGGCTCCAGCTGCTCTTGGCTCCTTGGGCGTAATATCTAAGCAGAACTCAATGGTCAGAAAACTTTGTGCGTTGCATGAGTGCAATTTGAAAAGTTTGGTAAGCTGAAATTCCAAAACGAACCTTTCCGTTCATTATTATTGGCTTTGAGTGCACCAGGTTTTTGTACGTGTGGTAGAAGGAAGATGCTTCGTCATATTGTACAATTGTCGTGTTACTACCCAGTAAAAAAGCCCTGTGTTGGCACAAGCAGTCGCTTGTGTTCCAACACGATGCCCTGGTCGTAGAAGTGCTTCCGCGACCGGCGATTGGCTTCTTGATTTATGAACATGGGATTTGGGTTGCCTGTGACTCGCAGGAAGCCTTGTTGCATGGGAATCGGCCCCCAGCAGTCAGAGCCTATTCATGAGGATCCACCAACGCGGCGTCACCTCTGAATCAGCATCAAGATGAAGCCGCCAGTCTGGTAGCGTACTAGCATGCAATTCCTGCCGAGCGGCGAGAACAGTTCCTGCGAGCTTAGGAGCGTTGTGTTTTGCGCGCCTTGGTGGCATCGTAGTGCCTCGCCATCCAGATTCGGTAGGCCTAGCACAAAACTTATCGGCATTCTTATAAATAGCTCATCTACGACAAGAGCTAGTCATTCTGGTTGGGCAACGATAGGTAAGACTTTTTCTTGTGTCTTGCGTGCTAGTGATTTATACATGAGCGGTCTGCTTGTATAATCACTGGTGCAACATGTATGATTGTATCTATTGTTGGTGCGGAAAGTCTATCAAGTTTTGTCAAATGCTAGCATCCGCCTGCGCACGTTTGGAGCACTTACCCCAGAGAAATGATCGTTCCAAAGTTGGGTGTTAACTCCGCAGAATGGAGACGCTCCCGTATGAGGCTGCACTATGTGTGAGCACAATCAGGGCAAACTTGGTGCTCAGTGATCGTCTCTGAAGATGTTGCCCTGAAATTCTGGCCGGGTCGGTGTAAATAATTCGCTCGACCTAGATGCCCAATCATAGTTCTTGTAGAATGAAGGGAAATATATACTGCGGTCCAGTGGAAGCGGGTCGAACGGTGGATAGTCGCGTCTACTTGGCAGGCCAATGTAGGACTGACCCGCTGACCATCGCCAATACATATCTACTTACATACATACATACATAGGCGAGCTCATACGTAGGAAGGTATAACCAGCAACACCTCGAGGTCCCGGCGGCTATTGATAGCAAGCCAGCTGCCAGCCGCTTTGACAGTGGAGTTGGGGGAGATGAATGCAGCGAGCGCATCGAGGTGCCTGATCTGTCCGCTTGTCCAGCTTGTTACAAAAAGGTATGACTCTTGGGTGATGGACAGGAGGATCGTCTAGCTGAAGTGTGGTTGTGGAATAGGCCAGGGAATAGCGCGATAGCGCCATGCATGGCAATGCCAGCCCGTCCTAGCCCTTGTATGAAAAATAATCAACTGGCATGGTAGGTCGTTCATGTGTACTTACTTCTTTGCACATGTCTTTGAAGTTGCTGGTCAGATCTGGTAACTCATCTGACAATGGAGACTTTGTCTCTGGACGAGTACGAGTTGGCCGGAGGCATGCCGGCTAGCTGGTTACTACATAGCACGCAGTAGCGATGGGGAGCTGGATATGAATTCTAGATTGGCATTGTTAATAATATCGTCTGCTATACACGGAGCAGATGCAGAATGGTACGTTTGGGGAGAAAACGGCCGGAGGACCAGGGTGGATGAATCTGCAGGTGGGTGGGAAAGGGTGGTGTGGTGAAACGAGCACGCAGAGAGCGAGGGCTCCCGAGTGCATGTTGGCTGCAGGCGCTAAGAGGGCAATAGACAGGGCCGGGAAGTGAGATGAAGCAATCAGCATCGACCTCGCAATGCCTTCAATGCAGAAGGGGGGCTAGCTTTCGTGCCGACTAATTCTTCCCTTTTTTTTCTTGAGCCCGATTGATATAGGTATGATGGGCTATGTGTATGTGTATTTGTCGTGTATGATGTAGGCAGGCAGGCAGGCAGGCAGGCAGGGTGTGTGTGTGCGTGTGTGTGTGTCTGTCGTGAACGGTATGTGCGGGAACGCACTTTTACCGGACCAACATCAGCTAGTCGGATAGGTCAGCAACACGTTGTTCCCAACGCACATGGCTCAGCCAGCTTCCAGGTGCTGGTAGGTACCGGGAATGACCATGATACAGTCAGTTTGATACTGTACAAACCCTCACTACCTCTACCTACACGACACCACATCAATAACAGTGGGTGGACAGACAGACATGGGAGGCACCTGGAGCAGGCTGACGACAGCGGATCCATGGGCCAAGACAAGACCGCCCAGCTTTGAGTAGTACCCCCAAGGGCACACGATGAAAGGTGCCTGCAGCACGCTAGTATCGGTCGATTCACAAGCGGCACAGTGCAACAGGCCTGCCAACCAGTCAGGTGCCTCCCATGCCTGCCCCTCCAAGCAGGGTCCTGATCTACCTTAGGGAGGGTATTCGGCGTCGGATGCCGGCGATTGGCCGATGGCTCCGTCGACGCATGCTAAGCTCATTCATCGCATTGTGGCGTTGGGCATAATTAAGTGGTGACTTCTAAACTGAGTGTACGAGCAAGTGATTCTACACAGTAGGGCGCCTGCAAAAGTAGTTTGTGTACGGGAAAATCCCGGCAGGTCAGTCATTCTCACTTAATCATTCATCAGTAAGGCATAAATCTTGTCACTTAGTACCAGTAATAATTCACGGAGAAGATATACGAGTTTAGTAGCGAAAAGTGACGAATTTCCCTTGAGAAAGTGGATAATTCGCCCTACCTAGTAAACTAAAACCGGTCGCACAGCCATGCTGGGTGACGGGCGGATCGGATCGTCGAGTCTGGCCATTATTATGTTACGGCATCAATGGAGGCAGCAGCGTGAATCAATGATACGCACTGAGTGAAGCAAGAAGAGGTGTGGAATCACACCCTTTAGATAATTACTTTAAAAGGTCGACATGGATACGCACGCATTGTGTAGCCGACTGGTGGTTGAAACATATGTAGGTATCTGAAGTGCGGGTGTAGGTGGGTAGACATAATCAGTAATTAAATAGATTCAGCTCGATAAAGGTGTCAGTTCAAACATACATCACTTAGGACCAACAAGCGAAGCAGCCAATTTGCATATGTATGCCTGTGAAATGTTATGTGCAAGTGCTAGGCAATTTTGAGCATGCACTCAGCCAGCCTATCTACTACATTACATTATCTACTTACTTTCTTCGAATCGGCCTACTGTCGAATATGTTCCATGCTTATTAGAAACAGAGCGACTTTGCGGCAATGAGGCCGAACGGCACTCTACACTAGCATGCAGAAACTGTATGGGAAACAGGTCGAAACTTAGTTCGCTTGAGGCGAAGATGAACAGACTAGTGTTGGGAGAATCAAGGGTACGGGCAGACCAAGTATCGAGTACGCGAGCAAAATCCCTGCGGCCAACAGGAATCCCATGTACGATAGTATGATGGCCGGGCAAACCTCAGCCCGCGGCGTTTAGAGGCCAAGCAAGGTTTCCATCATAGCCGTCTTCTTGTAGTGAGCCCCGAGTTGGCCGGCCAGTCCAATGGAGCTTGGATGGTCTCTGGCTCAGCGTTTATTGTATATTCACCATAAGGATAGTAGAGGCATCCATCGATACTCGGGCAGCCGATTAATTTCTCCTGAATCAGATACAAACTGGGCTGTATATAGGCCGTCTTTCGGCTTGTCATGGCTATCAATTGATGTGCGTTTGGTCCGGGCAGCATGACTCACATCAGCCGAGGGAGAGAAAAGGACCAAGACGGAATAACTCTTGGCCCTTTGGGGCGCCATTTAACTGCCCACATACATGCAAGTATCAAATGCATGGTAAAGTAGGTAGGTAACAGCACATTATAGACATTAGGTACCTAATTACGCTGCCCTATTACGATATAGTGGAAACTCGGTATCCCTGAACGACGTCGTCCCTTTGGGCGGCCACTAATCAACCCCGGCCCAGCTCCAGCCGGCTACCTTGCGTTCGACAGGGCCTCGAGCGCTGACTGCCCATTGTTGGATTCAAAGTAGAGTGTACAGAGGCTCGTGGTTGCGCCCAGAGCGTCACTTGATCATTTAGCTGATTTCCAGTCCACTCACAGGTAACGGCAGTCCGTCCTCTGCACTGTGCTTCACACTGACCCCGCGGTAGCGTAGCAAGGAGCGCCAATGGAGAGCAACTGTCTCGTGTCCTAGCTCGAATTGAACTACCTGCTCTTTGCAATTCCAACACAACTCTTTTGCCTGTCAAAGCAATTAGAAAAGTATCTTCTTGACATAGTAAACTTATTTTTTTTTTCCATATTCCCCTATTCGATTTGGGAAAAAGAGATTGAGAGACAACAAAATTCGTATTGTCAATTCGGTTGAACAATAGCATGCGAACGCAGCCATTAGCCACGACGACGACGACGCGCTCTCCTCTGCCTCTCCCCTAGCTGCCGATTCCGCCGACGCCCCTCCAATAAGCCCGCCTGTCTGTCGACCGTTTGGTGTGCGCTCGCTGCCCGCCAACTTCCAACTCCCCCACCAAACATCATACTGCTTGTAACAGCCCACCGCCCGCCCGCCATCCCACTTCAAACTATCTAGCCAGCAACTGCCCGCCACGACCCTGAATTTGACGCCTTTTTGACCTACTCTCTTTCGCAACTTCGCCCCAGCGCCTTGCTCTCAAGAAGATCTCGGTCGAAGTTGTGATCCTTATTCCCTCTCTCTCGGCAGTCATGTCCAATTCTTCTCCTCCTGCTGCTGTTGCCGCGCCCAATGCCGCTGCCAAAGATGAAACGGGTACGCTGAACCTATCTACCTATCTCGAGTGCCCCTCTTCCACTCTATCCTCTGGCCTCCCATCGCCACCGCCGTCAAGGAGGGGAGTAGTTTGTCGTAGCCTCACCAGTTATACAAGTCGTTTCTTGCGTATACTTGACTAATTTTTCAATTCGTGAAGCGTCAACCATTACGGTAAATACCACGAAGGCGCCGCCAACATTCCCGCCGCCCAAGACTGACAAGCCTCGGCCTCATGTTTGCGCGACTTGTCAGCGCTCGTTTGCCCGATTGGAACATCTGAAACGGCACGAGAGATCGCACACCAAAGAGAAGCCATTCGAGTGTCCGGAATGCTCGAGATGCTTCGCCAGACGAGATTTGCTCCTGCGACACCAGCAGAAGTTGCACCAGACCACGACCCCATCGTCTCGACCGAGAAACCGTCGTGAAAGCACAAGCAGTACTGCTCCAGCCAAAAGCCGGGCTCGGCAGAACAGTGTCGCGAATGCTAATGCCTCCGCTGCTGCCGCCGCCAGTGCCGCCGCCTCCATGAGGCCGAGGGCCAACACAATCAGTCATGTCGATAATACTGCCATGCAGATGATTGCAGCTGCAAACGCTCAGGTTGCGAGAGGCCATGGTCAGCCCTCGCACAACCGCCATGCCAGCCTTATCGGCTTACCAATCCACAATCTGGACCACACCTTTGGCGGTATGTCTTCTGTTATGGGCCAGCGCGGCATAAACCACGGACTTCCCAAACTGGACACTCACGGTATTAACAATCTGGACTTTGGCGCAGGCCTGCGCACTGCTCCGCCCATGGGCTTCGGCCAGCCCGATTTTGACTTTGAGAATCTTCTCTTTGGACAACCCGGCGGCACTACTATCAACCCGAATGCGCTTCACTACAGCGAGTCGCCTCATTCCATGGCCCTTGATCCAATGTCCCCCTTTGGTACCAGCATGAATGACGTGGCTGGTAGCCAGCACTTGGACGACAATTTTGACTGGTTGACAGGTTTCGAGCAGAACATGTCCTTTAACAACCCAAACGAGAATGCTGTAGAGAGCAACTCACCTTCAGCCATGAGCACAACAAGCCAGAGTGGCATCAGTGATGTCATGGTCGACGGGTCCAACCACCCAGGAGCAACCGCTGTGACCAGTTCAATGTGGCAACCTGCCATCATGGGACCGCCCACGACCATGAGCAATCCATTCCTGGACCTTAGCCCCTCGGTCTTTCCCGATCTCCTGACAGGTGCTCCAGTGTCTCCCCAACCGGCGGCCGCCCAGAAGGCCATGGACAATGTGTACTTTTCGACGCCACCGCCATCCATGAGCTCCCTGAGCCCATCCGGCATGCCTGGGCTGAACACGCAGAATTTGAACCAAGCTCTGAACAGCTTTGGAACTGGCCCCGAGACTCCTACGTCGCTTGGTGGCCATCATGGACATTCCCCTGTTTCTACCGTTACAGATACAACCAGGGCCGCAATCGTGAGTGCCCTCTCGCAATGCGCTCCACTGTTTGGTGGGCGCAAATATTCCTTCCCTACGCCAAATTCTCCGATGTCCCCCCAGAATCAGCCAAATGGAGAGAATATCCCGGAGCATGCTAAGAATTTGCCCAGCACTCATGATTTGCAACGATACGTTGCCTCTTATCTTCGTTTTTTCCACCCTCATTTACCGTTTCTGCATGTTCCGACCCTCTCATTCGACACGCCAACCAAATCATCAAATTCCAAGGTCAGCCCTGTGGGTGGTAGTGGGTGCCTAATGCTGTCCATGGCAGCTATTGGCGCGCTCTATGAACACGACCTGTCTCAATCCAAGGAACTATTCGAAATGGCCAAGAAGATGATACAGCTTTATCTAGAGGAACGTCGCAAAGCAGATGTACGAAAGGCCGATTTTCGCCGAACGCCCATGTCAGATCACGGCTCTTCGGAATCCTCGTTGCACACTCCGCTCTGGCTCGTGCAGGCCATGCTCCTGAACGTGATCTATGGGCACAATTGTGGTGACAAGACGGCTAGTGATATTGCTTCAACGCACTGTGCTGCCCTTGTTAGCCTAGCTGATGCGGCTTGTCTGAAGTTGGACACCCCGGACAACCATGATCCCCAGATCAACGATGCCGAAGGAAACTGGAGTGGGATCAGAATTGAGTCCGAGGATCACGCCGAATGGCTCAAGTGGAAGACGAAGGAGGAGAGAAAGCGCACCCTTTATACCATCTTTATCCTCTCTAGCTTGCTGGTTTCTGCTTACAACCACCAACCAGCCCTGACGAATTCCGAAATTCTACTGGACTTGCCCTGTGACGAAGAGTTCTTTGCAGCGGAAAGTACAGCTGCCTTCCAGCTCAAAGGCGGCGTTCGTGCGGCCGGTCACAACCGCATGTCTTTTCACGATGCTCTCGGTGAGCTCCTGCGCGCCAATGATAAGCAACAGAAGATAGCCATGACCAATGTTCATCAACCTTTCGGATCATCTGTCAGTCTCAGCGATCTGCCCAAAAGTGAGCTGCGACCTTCCACCTTTGGCTGTCTGGTCTTGATCAATGCCTTGCACAATTATATATGGGAAACTCGACAGCGCCACCATAACAAAGTCTGGACCAATGAGGAAACGGAGAAGATGCATCGCCACATTGAGCCCGCACTCAAAGCGTGGCAAGCCGCATGGGCAAGCAATCCTCATCATAGTCTAGAACGACCAAATCCCTTTGGCATGGGACCTCTGTCCGCTGATTCTATACCCCTCCTGGATCTCGCATATGTTAGACTATTTGTAAATTTGTCGCGCTCGAAGGAAAAGTTTTGGCAACGTGACTGGGACGGCCTAGCTGATGAGCTGTCCCGGGGGTCGGAGATAATACAACATGCGGAGCATTCACCAGCTTCGAATGCGGAATCATCAACGGACCCTTCTGACGCTTCGGCAGCCAGCTCAGTCTTTGTGGAGTCCCCGCCAACACAATCATCGTCTCCAGAGTTCGCCTCGTCCAAATTCGTGTCAGCAGCCATAGTGCAGCCAGGATCTAGCCGGGTAACGTCTAGACGGGAGAAGCACCTACGTAAGGCAGCATTCTACGCAGCCGATTCGCTTTCCATGGCCGACAAACTCGGTGTGACTTTTGCCGATTTTACCAGTAGAGAATTGCCCATGCAATCGGCTTTGTGCGCATTTGATTGCGCCCAAGTTCTGGCTGAGTGGGTGGCAACGCTGCAAGATCGCGTGGGTCGATATCTTGGAGTCCTCGGCCAAGACGAAGTCGACCTTACCCAGGTCCCAGCAATTATGCTCCTCGAGGAAGAGGATGTCAAGCTTCTCGGCAAAATCCAGGAAGTCATCAGTAGCGCTGAGATGAAAATGAGCTTGGAGCTAGTGAGCGCCAGCGGGACTATGGCCACGGGAATCGACGCCCGGCTCCAGATGGATGACCACAGTGGGCTTGCTGCCAAGATTCTGCGCTTGACGGCATATATGATGGATAAATCTGCTGTCTGGCCAGGTAAGTTTTATGTCAAGATTTTCACTCAACTTCTGTTTCGCGGTGAAATCCTCCTTAACCGTCAATATGGCTAACATGGAAACCACTAGTCACCCACCTGATGGCACGCTGCCTCGAAACCCATGCCAATCACATGCGAGCTCGTGCCGAAAAATCAGTAGTCTCTTCTGATTAAGGCGCGGCTCTGTAGTATTCCAATTCCAGTCATCAAAGAGATATTCATTCCTCGCTTTTCGAAGGGCCACGCAGTGTTTTGCGTGAACGATATCCTGTCTTATTTTTTGCAGATGAGATACCCTGTTGATATAGAGAAAAGTCCAGTCTAGACGACCCTGAATTTGGCGCTCGGATACAGACTCCAAACGATGGCTTTGGATCCGATCAAGTCGTGCAGAAGTTATGCTCGATACTGTTTGGTGTATATTTGGGTATCGTATCCCAATCAACAATGCATCATCGGTTCCGCGCTTGCCAATGGTGTGATTGTGGCATCGCATGCACAAATTTTGGCATAGAGGTCTGAGCACTGCGCTTGAAGATGGAAAGATGAAGAAAAAAGCAAAACAAAGAGCTTCGGGAGCGAGATGGTCGACTCAAAACTGGCGGGTTATTTGAGGGGTTCAATTGAGGGGTTCGCCAAAAGTCTCAATCAGCCACGAACTGACCAAGAACCCCCCTCTTGCCCCCTCACTTGAACCCCGCAGTAGCGAGTCGCGGCGAGTAGAACGTCTAATTGCGCGATGTTATGTCTCAGCAGCCTCCAGCGTGCTAAGACATCATTGACGCCCGCCAAGGAAAGGATTTGCAAAGCACAAACACGCGTTCAAACAAACCATCATCGCCGCCACAAAGGCAAGGAAAATACGCAACAGGACGAAGCAACATTGTCGCTTGCAAAAACAAGAGGCCACGAGAAGAACAATGATAACGAGCAAACGATTATGATGTTTGGGACATTCGCCAGTGAGAGGAGGTCAAAACGTGCTGGAGTGACGACCCAGCATTCAGAAAGGACGTCAGTAGGGAGAAAAAATCTTTAGAAAATCGTGGATAAAACTAGCGAAATGTATGATAATTGGTCATACGCGTGTGCAGAGCGTTACATTCCACTGAAGTGTTCAGGATGTGATGAGACGGGTGCTCGGTTATCACTGCTAGGTTTGACATTACTTACTCTTATACATATAGGCTCTGGGCCGTAGGTTTACAATTCGCTTAGCAGCCTGGGATGGTGAGACGCCATTCAATCTTTGGATTTTGACTTTTGACACCTGAGCTGTGCGGGGACTTTTTTTTTTTTTTTTGCACAAAAGTAAATAAAAAAAATACTACTCTATATATTCCATGATGCTTAGAAAAAAGAAGCCATTTATATTACTGTCGGTCTTTTCCTCTTTCGTTAGCATATATTGGTTGAAGGAAGCATCATGAAAGTGGCCCGGGGATTGCTGTAGAGCCCCGGAGCCCAACACTGCGTACATGCATGACCAGATACCCAAATTCAAATGGTATGCCTTTCAGACGACAATTGTCTACTCGTACGTATAACACAATGCCCCGGCTTCAGGATCCATCACTTCGCCTACATTCAACGTTGCACCGAGCTCCCCATAAGCAAGTTGGTAGGCCAGAGTGATATTCACGTACGGGATGTCGCCGAAAAAATTGTACGGATACGCCCACATTGCGTCTGGCCCTCCAATATCCGTCAAGCGGTTGGGCCAGTCTACGATGAGGTAAGTCACATTGCCAACTTCATGTAGGCATTCAGCCTCCAGGCAGAAGGGGGAGGGCACTCACCGAGCCGCTGCCACTTGTTCCACTCCTGGTCCAATTTCCCATGGTGCAGCCAGAACAATGGATCGCCTGGCGAAGAGTACATATCAGACATCTGCGGCAACAGTAGTATCTTGAGTCAGCAACGTTTCAATCACCCGCAGAGAAGAGTGGGAGGGCTTGACGTCTGGGACAAGCAGTTCGTACCTCACCGACCATACCACCCACCCCGAAATGTCCACCGCCATGAGTGGTGATTCCGGAAAGGGTCAAGTCGAGCGCCTGTACCCGGCGGTCGTAAACGGCAAACTCATCGGCGTCGAGCTGCCAATTTGCGAGTGTTCTGTTGAGAGTCTGCGTCGCGAGCCACGGCGTAAAGTCGCGCCGCAGGCAGTGCGGCGTACTGGTCGTACTGTTGCCTGGGCCCATGGACACGGTGAGATTGGCAAAGGGCCCCGTGACGATACAGTCACCGCCGGTACGACCCGGCAGGTCGTCGACGGCCGACGTCTGCGTCAGATTGCTCACATCCTCAATGTAGGCTCCGTTGCCGCCAAAGCCGTACACGTTGTCAAAAATGGGCGACGCTGCCCAGCCCTCCTCGTTCACGACGTCAAGTGTCCAGTCCCAATATCTATCATATGTTGTCAGAATATTTCATTGTCCAAGACGACCATTCAGCTCTTATAGGGCAGTAATGGGTACGAACGGTTGAGCGCCGGTGTAGCCGCAGGTAGCCCGGAGATCTGCTTCCCAGATAGCCAGGAAGCCACGATGCCAAGGGAGGAATGGACCCTAGTTAACTGAGATCAGTCGAAAAGTACTATTAGGCTGAATGTTGAATCCATCACTAGATGTACGCACGTTGAAATGTATGTGCTCCGTCATGGCAATGTGAAGGGCTTGGTAGTCGTCATAGGCGGAGACGACACCAGAGTACAGACTCGACGTCCTCCCTGGCGTCGACATCATGCACTTGACCGCGTCGAGGTAATCGAATTGCTCATCCTGTGACAAATATCTCCTGAATCAAGGGACTCTTTTCGTTAGTCCTCATTCTTTCCCTCTTTCGCTGACCGGTGTGTATGTGCAAAATTTGCTGTTGAAGTGACTGGGTTTTTGGCTTACCATTCTTTCCGCACGAGGGGATCCGTGCAAACGGCTCTGGCTACAACCTTGCTTCCTGCCGTGGCTGCAGGAGCGGTCTTGGCGAGCAACAAGAGTGCTGCTGCGGTGCTCAGGCCTTTGGAAATCATGGTTACTGACCTAAACCTTTTTGCTTGTTGTGACTTGCGAGAAAGGAAAACTGCTCGAGTCCCTTCTATTTGGAGTAGATGGACAACCAGGTCCGTTCGCTCAGGCGACCTTTAATATTCTTGGTTGAGCCGCCATTTTCCTGCAGGTCATCAAAAACGATGTCTAATTATGTAGATGCAACACGCGTACACTCCTCCCTACATTTGCACCAGGGCAAGTAATCAATAGTCCACCTCGCTTGGTCATGTTCATAACTACACATGAGATAAGCTAGGATGCACCGGCTGGTGTGGATGGTTTGTCATATGTCTGGTAGTCGCTTCCCTATATTCCCCAGTTTGCATATTCCGGGTCATTTTATTGATCCCCAGCAGACGGATATGCTGCTTCGTCACCCCAGGAAAGACCCTAGCAGTTTATTCCCCGGCCGGGAGCAGGATCATACTGCGGCACAACCTGAGGGGAAATAAATACTACTATAACATGGGTTGACACATGGCGCTAAACCGAGTACGGGCGGATGTATGTTGGTTCTGAGGCACATTGATGGTATACCTTTCTCATTTGCAGGCGATCATTGGTTAAATAGATCCGGGGAACTTGGGTATGCCGCAAGGACTTTGCTGAGCGAAAGAGAGAGACGGGCCAGGACACCAATCAGCGTCGCGTGCCAGGGATGTGAATGATATTTCCGGCCAGAATGGTCTGTTTGCTTACCTGGAAGAATTATTTCAATCAATACCAAGAAAAGCGGCTCGGAAATACTCCCCGACTGGCTCGGCGGTCTAAGCGAATGCACCGCCAATCATATGATACGAATGCATGTGTCTAGGCATGTATTCTGGGTCGTTACTCTTCATCTTGCGCTTCGGCTCGAGGGAGGCTCTAGGATATTTCCAGCATATATAAAATTCCGATAAGTATGACCACCTTCTGCGGTGCTATCACAGGGTTATGCATATACGAGGAGGGGACGTAGGACAGCTTTGGATCATCGCGGAGAAGGGCTTTGAAAGACCTGGCATGGGAAAACAAGCATAATGGTTCGACCGTGAGCAGAGCTACTTTCATATAATTAAGCCTTTGATGTCTAGGTACCTATGTACGCATGTCAACCCGCTGGCTTTGCCTATATTGGTAGTGAACTTGGATATGACAGCTCCTGCTTCGGGGTCATTCATTTGCACTATTTGTGATAGAATAACAAGAAGTGATTATCAAGAAGTTCATGGCTTGCTAATCCAACAATTACATTGGTCAAGTCGGGCCTGACAGTATTCAAGAGGGGAAGATCCTGGCAAATGTCAAGGCTTCAAGCCGCATGAGTCGAATACTTTGAACGGCGTTGCATCGTCCCTGCCACGGGTTGCATGGACTCAAATGACTCTACACCATTAGGATGTGAAAGCGAAAGCCACATCTGCGAGTCCCCGCACCTCCTGGCTCAATTCTCCCGGTTCTCTAATCGCCTCTCATGAAAGGATCTCGACCCCGGTTCGATACTGGAAGGGGCTGTTCGGAACTGTTCGGCTCCAGGGCAGCATCAGCGTCGAAATTATCATGTATTCACGTGAATTGTGGGAAAACAAGAGACTTGCACTTTACAACGAGAATCGAAATAATTTGTGATCATGGTATCAGAGTTCAGTATAGCGGCAAATCACCACTCCATCTCTGAGCTGGCGTGTTTGTAGGCAAGGTTGTTAATTTTATGAAAGACATGCCTCATTCGCTCTTCTATCAACAATGATACGCTGGTGATATATGTAACTGAACAATGTATATCAATCTTGAAGGCCGCACAATGGTGGAAATCATATTGTAGCAAGTGTTGCATTTCCATGACATAAGACGAGGGTCAAGAGATGGGGTATTGTAACCATATGCGTTGCCCGCAGAACGCGAACCACAGTTCTATTCGGTTCAAGAACTTTGCCTTCAGTGATTGGCTCGGGAATATGTCCCTTCAGTCTGTGCAGTAACATTCTGCCAACCAGGGCTTGGGTGGTTTCTCCGGCCCCGTTTCAAAGCAACGGCCCGTGACGCCAAGTCGGGTTCTTGTACATCAATGTGAAATATAAAATCCAGACATTGGGTAAACCTGACCCACAATTGCAATGGGTTCCACACATTTACTCTTCTTATTACTGTGCATAAGACTTTATTTTTTTCAAATTATTGCTTTGGCAACGATGAACACCAGCAGTTATCCTGATGCGACGAACTTTTGGGAGACGGACGACTACAGAGGTTCTGGTCAGCGCAATCTCAATGCGGCCCTCATTGCGTTTTCCTCTGCGTTCTTGGCGATACGTCTATACGTGAGGCTGTTCATGACCAAAAGCCCCGGCTGGGACGATGGATTCGCTGTACTTACTTGGGTAAGTCGGTTGTCCAGCACTTGGAATTGAGTCCGAACTGAAATCTTCAGGCATGCCTTGTTGTCCAATCGACCATGGACATTGTAGGTAGGTGATAGCCTCAACAGTCCATGTCCCCCTCTTCCATGGGATCTGCACACTAATAGGAGACGCCTCAGCGGTCAATTATGGTAGTGGTGCACACTTGATGCTCATTCCTGGGCCACTGATTTTAAAGTTCTTCGAGGTATATATTATTGATGAGAAATCTAAAAGGAGAGTCCAAGCTAAATTGACCTTCATACTAGTCGCTGACAACACAAGCTCTCATTTACTTTTGGTCTGTGGGGTTTATGCGATTGGCGATCATTGCATTTCTTCCTCGTTAGGACAAAGACAGTAAGCTCATCTGATCAAGTCCGTTGAATTATTTCAAACGCTGACAATCGTGGCAGAAAAGTTCATGTCCATATTATACGCAACAGCCGCTACCGTCTTGATCCAGACCATGACATGTTTCTTCTACAAATTATTCGAGTGCACCCCGGTTGGGTACGACTTCCGAGCGAACAATGCCTTGGTACGGAGCCTAGACTGACGTCTTGCCGCAGAGATACTTGGAAGCCACCGGGAACCCCAGGCCTGGACTGCGTCTCGACCGACGCCAACGAAGCAATGATGACGGGCCATGCAGTCGTCGGCATCATTACCGATCTTGTCCTCCTGGCCCTGCCAATCTGGGTTATATACACCAAGATGATGTTTTCCCGCAAGATGTTTCAGGTTATCCTCGTCTTCAGCGTCGGAGTTTTTGTAGTCGTTACGGGCATTGTTCGCCTCTACTACATGAAGACGCTTGATTTTGCCATTGATTCGTAAGGGATTCTTACCTCGGACTTGTTGATTTTTTTTTTTTTTTCATTTCTCTAATTTGCACGGTTACTAGGACGTACAAAATGGCGACAATTGGTCTGTGGACCGACCTCGAAGGTCATATTGGCCTGTGGTGCGGATGTTTTCCAGCCCTCCAGCCCGTCCTCCGCATTGTGAGCTACCGGCTGGGCCTCCGCTCCAGTCCTCTCAGCTACGGAGACCGGCCGACAGGCCAGTCAGGTCAGCCAGTGGGTCATCTTTCGGGCGCCAATTCGCGCACTCGATCCAGAGGTCAATATTTGCGCAAGGGCAGTGGTGTCGACCTTGAGGGTTTGGACTCGGATACCGACAGTCAAAAAGGCATGGTCGAACAGAATGAGGGTCTCGGAAGAGACATGGAATTGGGCGAGATGCACAAAAAGACAAACGTCAGTGAAGAGATAGAAACACCACATGTATGAGGAATTAAAATACGTAAAGACGGGTAAGAGAGTTTGATTGAACATCAAAGACCATTTGCTCTTTCTTGGCATGTGTAGGGTTTGGATTTACTCTCGTTATAGCTCGACGACTTTGCAGTCACCTGAGCTACAATGCGCGCGAACACAGAGGACACGGGAAAGGCTTTGAATTGGATCTTCCATTTCGCTGACACGAAGAAAAATCATAAAAAAAGAACCAGATTCTATTAAAGCCTCTTGCCAAACCCATCCGCCTGTCTACTTGAGTCTCCCCCTACACTTTGACAGCTTGTAGGAGTCCCTGATGCTGCGCAGGATGACTCTTCTCCACGTTTCCCTTGATCATCTTGTTCATCAACATATTAGAGTCAATTCTGATGCTCTCCTCCAACTTCTCGCCGACCACGCGCCATTTGCTTTCGAGGCGGATGGCTCCAGTGGGCGCCTTGGCGTCAATAAAGGCGTCGATACCGTCCTCGCGGTTGGTGAGGGTAAGAGGATAGGTGGTCTGTCCAATGGGCTTCTTGTCCGTGACTTCGTAGATGCACGGTTCGTTGAGCGCGGGGGTGCCGGATACTAGCTTGTAGGAAATGAGTTGTGGGCAGGCCGTCTTGATGTACAGGTCGTGGTTGTGCAGAACGGCAATGACGGACTGAGACGATGTACCGGCTGGGATGGTAGTTGAAATGCTTGTCTCGACGGGAGCCATCTTGGAAGAAACTAGATGATGACGGTGCAAGGGAAAGTAAAAGATCTCAACCGAGTTGAATATGATTAGAGTACAATGATTCACGTCAAGTATAAGATATCATCTGTTGGTGTCGGTTGTGATGTCAAGAACGCGCTTCTTCTGGGCAACAGCCATTCATCCTTATATGCTGCAGAGATCATCACTGCGATGAACACAAGCCGTACATTTTGGGAATAAAGTCCTTCTTTCTCCTGATCCTGAAACCCATCGTATAGATGTCTATGCAAACCGAAAACATGGCCCAAGTGTACATGCTCGCTTGAAGTATAGACATGTCCCTGAACTAGACAAATTGATTGCTTGTATCGATTGACGGGTGCGCTTTGAGCCTTGCGGTGAGAGAGAGTCTATTCTCTCGTACCTGACCCTTTTCAGGTGATCCCACAAGATAACCAGCTATCTTTGGCTTTGCAAACACGAAGTTTTGCAGTCATTGCTCTGAGCCTGGGCGATCAGATATCAAGCAATTCGCTAGGTCTCGTCGCGCCTGTCGCTCATTCATTGCCCTTGTGGTCCAAGTTGTGCGCTAGAGCGTCGAGCGAGGAGAGCCGCAGGCCAAGGTTTCAGTGGACTATAGCGCATCGTTAGCTTACCTAGTAGGTACCTTACACCTGAGACGGGATTTTCTCCAACGCAGGTCCGCAACTACGATGGCTGTTAGGTCCTCCAAGATAAAATGTAGTACAGCGAGGCCAGTGTCTCCGCCCACAGTTATTGGGGACTCGGAGCCAAGTAGCATAAATTACTGATCGAGAAATTCCATATTTGCCTCCTCCATTGTTATCAGACTGGCTGTGCAAAAGCAAAGGGAGGTATATTGCAACTCTTTCTCTTACCATTCTACATTCTGCTAGTAAAATTGGAAGGAAAACAACGCCCCAAGCTGCTATCTGTTCCTCTAAATATTTTTACCTAGTATATACAATCCTGGCGTGCAAGATCTGTTGCACTTTCAGCACTTGACCGGGCCGGGGCCTATAGGGAACAAGGTATTGGTAAACATGTATCGGCCAGGGCACCATTCGGTATAAGGACGGACGTGGGAGGCAATTTGTGGAGTCTCCCCAGAGTCATCTTGACTATGATATTTCTTCACTATACGTTGATGAGGTGCCGCTTCTCAGATCGAATGTACATCCAACAGTTGCAGCCTTTCCCTTGGCCAACAACTTTGTAGGTTTCGTGGCCGTTGCGCACTTCGTAAGAACTCAAATTCATAAACGATCTCCAAAGCATTTACTGGGCCAAAAATCTGATTCAAGGCGTCCAAAGGATCGTCCTGTAGATGCGTCCGCATCTGCAACTTGGGTTGCCACGCAAAAGGCAACTCGGGATCCTTATTGGGCGGTCTGCAAGTGAGACGATGAAGAGGGGTCATATTGCCAACTTCTGGCTGCGCAGAAATTCGGATGTGTACATGGACAGAATAATTTTGCGACGCCGAGTGATCCCTTGTTGATAGCTGATTTTGGCTGGCATTTTGAAGGCCGTGAACGGTAGGCAACAATTGTTGTTTCGTGTTCAATTTTCTCTCCCGCGCATCATCGGTGAATTCTGAGGCTGGCTGTCGGTGATCTCTGTAAATGGCGGGGTTCGGTTGCTCAAAAGCAATCCACGAAATGGAACGCTCCTGATTTATTTTTGTTATGTCGGGGCGGGAGCGCATTATAGAATGATCGGGTGATGCCATGTTCTTCATGGCCCGAGCCTGTCGGCGAATCATTGCAGTTTGAGCGCGTTGCGAGTTGCTGATTTTGCGTGACGTTGTTGTTGTAGTATCGGAAGAGCAGAAAGTTTGTATGCGGTGAGGCAGCAAATAAATGGAGGGATGATGGACTACAGAAAATAATTCTTGGAAAGGGAGCTTCCTTCCTTAATATTTCAAGGTCCATGGAGAGAGTTAATTTTGATTTGAGTCACTCAAGATTTATCGTCGGACAAAGCGGCGCCTCGTTCTTGTGACGCCCCCAGCGCGTGCTTGACGAGGTGGCCCTTTCGCCATTTTTTCCTCATCGCAAATCACCTTGAGGGTCAAACTATGCGGCTTGAGAAAAAAGTAAATCTTCCATCTCGGGATACATTTGTCTTCATTTAAAAAAGCTGCCCGAAGCGAGATGCACATCTCCGGCGGGCACGCGTCTCTCTTGGTTTGATTCCTTAGTACTCTGACGGCATGATGGACAGTCTTCCACCATCATTCACGAGGATCAACCCGTTGTTAAAAGCTCCAGCCCGGCCTGCAAGGTACAAGATCGTTCCACCCATTTCCTCTTCGCCACCAAACCGCCGAACGGGGATGTATGCTGGGTTATCAAATGTTTCGGTTCCAGGATCGCGTGATCCAATCATGCCTGCGGCCAACTCAGAGGGGAACACTGCATACTGTTAGTTATTCCATTTGAATGATAGGGACGAGTCCACTGACAGCCCGGAGCCAACGCGTTTACTCTGATGCCATACTTGGCCAGATTGCTGCTCGCGTGCTTTGCTAGATGGGCAATCGCTGATTTGCTTCCGGTATAAGCCGGGTTTGAGGCTTGGGCCCTGGAATAAGCCGCGATGCTGCTCGTTACAATGACCTGGCTCTGAATGGAGGGGACATCGCTGCCGGCCTTCAAAGGTGCACCGAAGCCACCCTTGAGTGCGTTCTTGTTACCAGCGTCAAGGAGCTCAAGGAATGCGAGCATGGTAAAGTAGGCGCCAGTCACGTTGACGTGGAAGGCCTGGGTGAACTCGTCCATGTCTACATCATCAAAAAGGGTTTTGCGGACATCCGAGATGGACAGCTCGGCATTGAAGCGGTTTGGTGGTCCCAAGGTGCCCGAGTTGGCAATGACAAGGTTTACAAAGCCGCTCTCCTTGGCCACGGTGTTGACAGCAGATTGCAATGACTGCTTGGAGCTGACGTCGCATTCCAGCGGAACGATGCTACCATGTTCGGAGGCGGCCTTCTCAAGCACGTCCTTTCGTCGCCCGAGGATATATACCCTCTTTGCGCCGGCGCCGGCCAGGGCCTTGGCCATCATTAGCCCGATTCCGCTTCCTCCGCCCGTAATAACAGCCACCATGCCGTCGACTCTGAATAGGCCAGATGAATCCATGTTTTGAATGATTGAAAATACGTGCACTAGCAGATTGATTTTGACAATGCAATGTAGGTGCAAGTTTCAAAAATATTTACTGATAAATGTAATTCTTTCCGTGCAGTCTCTTGATATAAACAATTCGCGCTGCAGAAACAAGCTTTCTCATCTTCCTCGGGCACCGAAACAATAACCCAGCAACTAGCAGAACGGACACAAAGTGGGAAGTCCGTCATAACCCCGCCAGGCCAACGCCACTGGTTATGGTGGAGCGCCAACAGCCAAGATGCGTCTTATTCCGTACTTGCATGTCTATTAAACGCCGAATCATAAGACGATATGTCCGATGTTCTGACTTTGAAGCCGACTTCTTTCCCAGAGCATGCGCGTTAATTCCGATTAATGGGCCGCTGCTAATGGATTACATTGGAACACCCCCCTCCTTTATTTGCTCCAATGATCAGTTATCGAAGAATAATGACGACAGCGCGACATCTCAACATCTAGTGCGCAAAACGAAAGTCCAACCTCTTCGGCCCCGTATCTTTCGTGGTCACGGCATAATCCTGCTGCTCCTCGGGCGTCAACGCGTTCCACTGCCTTTCGCGAACCTTATTTCGCCAAATGTAAAACACCTTGACGGCATAAAACAGCACAATGTTAAAGGCCGTAATCGCCACGAGGATCTTGTTGCCCCTGATATACAAGGGCTTGTCGTCATCCCGATAAATATTGCTGGCAATGATATTACCACTTTGCACAAACATGTTGTATAGCGCCGCCGACACGGCCCGCGTGCGCACTGCATTGCTGTTCTTGGCGTTCCAACCGACCAAGATGGCATGGCAGTAGGGGTACGAGAGAAGACCAGTCATGAGCGCGTACCGTATCCAAGGGCTTGCAGTCGAAGGAATGCACACGAGGGCGACGAGCCACGGCAACATCCAGGTGTTGGACAGCGAAGAGATGATGGCGCGCTCGTTTGCCTTCTTGGATACCCAAGTGATGACGAGCAAGTTGATGGCAAAGAGAAATTGCGACGGAATGGCCAACAAGTTTGCCTGAAAGGTTGAGAATCCCAGCTGTCGGAGGATATAGGACAGATATGTGCTCGGTGCCGAAGGAGGAATGTAAGCCATCAAACCAATGAGGTACAGTGGCCACATTTCCCAATCGCTGATCGCCGAGAATAGCTGCGTGATACCCACGGCCTCGCGGTTGTTCATGTCTCCCTTGCTCGGGTCGTCGCGAAGGAGCCTATTGACCATGATGGCCTCTTCGCGCTCTGTGAACCATCCATCCTTGCCCCGAAACCAATTGCGAGTTTGACAGGGGCCTGGAGGCATCAGAACCCAAGAGAAAATGCCGATAATCAGCGTAATGATGCCCTCGATAATAAAAAGCCATTGCCAGCCGGACCAGCCACCAATGCCTCGCATCTATCAATAGGTCAGTCCATGCCAAATAAGCAAAGAACTACAAGGTGTGCATACCTGAAGAATGCCAGCAGCAAGAAGCGATCCGACAATGTTTACTGTGGACAAGGCAGTCCAGAACCAGGACAGCCTGGTAGGTAGCTCATTACTCTTGTAGAAGTAGGTCAACCAGAGAACAATATCCGGGATGAATCCACCCATCAACAGTCCCAAAAGAGCCTTGATGGCGTAGAAGCCGGCCTTGTTGGATAGAAAGGCCTGAGAACCAGCAACAATGGACCAGCACACCATGATGCTGGGGATCCAAACATCAGCTCCTAGCTTCTTGCTGATGAGACCGCTGGGCAGCTCAGCAGCAAGAAAAGAGGCAAGGAAAATGGTCTGTCCGTAATTGAAGTCATTTGTATCCATACCTAAGAACCCAGTCAGTCGCCTGCCTTGAAGTGTCTTTCGGGTGGAGTAGTCAAGTCTTACCAATCTCTGCGAGCATGTTGTCAGATATGGCTCTGTTGATGTTTCTGCGATGAATGTCTAGAGCGCAGAACATCACCCAAGCCCACACCACTATAGGACATTTGTTAACATGTAAGTTCCCATAGGGGTGTGGAACAATACAATATGTTCATGTTTGCATGTTGAAGACCACCAACCAAGTCATGCATTCAAGGGCGTACTCACTGATTCTAAAGTCAATCTTCCGCAACAGCTTCTTCTCCTCTTCGGCAGTCCATTGCAGGGTTGGGTCGAACCGGTGTCGGTTTTCGTAGTTTGCCTGTTCGTAAATACCGAGCCAGTGGCTAGCTACTGCAGGGTCCTTGAAGATGTGGTCGTCTGACGAGCCATAGCCCTCGGAGTCGACAACACTGAGCGAGGTGTCTAGAGAAGCCGCTCGGGGACTTGTCGTCGCGTGCTTTTCTTCGATAGATGAAGACATGCCGGCTAGCTCAAATCGTATCAGAATTGAATAGTCTGCAAATCTTTCGTCTGACCAATGGCATGTGCCTTATTCGCAATCATGATGGACAGGTACCACAATGCAAGACCAAATGCAGAAATGCTGTCTTACTTTTATAATCATATAATATACGGCGTTATTCTCTATACAATGCCTCTCGTCTCTATTGTCGCTCTGCTGCAGAAAAATTCGGTCTTCTCACCACTATTGCGCCATGTTGGCGCAAATTGCAACTCGTACTTGGCGTCCAGCCTCAGAGGCATTATTCCCCCCAAATCGCAGTCTTTGCTTGATTCTGAACCTGGTCTTGATCTCTTGACTCGTTGATAACAGTCTTGGCCAACTCTTGGACAACTCTTGGAAGGTTGACATCTCAGCCGCTGTGCGGGCGTCCCATTAGCGCAAGCCCACAGCGGTAATGTGATCTCGAATATATAGCGCCGATGGTGTCAACTCAGCCAAGACTTGAACATCCCATCCCCAAAAAGACAAAAAACCGAGAACCGTACTGGCGGCACTCTTGCACGACTTAACCGCATTCGTGACCACTTTCTTTCCAGAAACGACCTCAGATGGCAACTATCTCATGCATTCCAGAGATCTAGGCCTTTGGGCTTGTGCCTGACCCAGGTTGTTGGAACAATAGTCGTATTGATGCAGGGTCATATCATGCATCATGACAGCCAGCCATATTCAGCTGAATGATGCGGCTGCTCCGCAATCAAAGTGAGTTTTTCTGAGAAGATTGCCCATTTACTCAATTGGCCTACGCAATCACATGAGGTTCACAGTATTGATCGCTTAGCAGGGAACGGGCTCTCAAGGCTCTGTGGGAAGATTGACTGCAGATTCGCGCTGCTTGAATATAAGGAAATCTAATGGAACGAGTTAGCACATACGACCATACATATTAGAATATACGGCATCCCGTCCGCTCTGCCTTAGTCAAACTAGTAATGGCCGGATTAGTACTCAGGTGGGTGACCACTGGGGAATACCTGGTGTTGTATGTTTTTTGCTCGATATTTTTTTCACCTTTTCCTGATTCGTAGGGTAGAAGAGTTTACTTTCACATATAAGACTATTTTGAACTCCGTAAGGCAGAGCATTCTTTGCGTTTATTCAAATTAATAGAACAATATCCGTGCCAAATGTAATTTTATATTTGATTCTCACATCTCAAACCACGTTTTGCTGAACCGGGCGTAAGCCGCCGAGTGAAATTCAAAGTCTTAAAGCTTAACAGCCTTTTGACCGACCACCCGGTCCACACTGCCAAAATAGTTGGAAGCCAAGAGCTTGGGATCACACTTGTCGCGGCCGGCGATGTACCGTGTGAAAACATCAGCCGGCTTGATTTTATACTCGGGGATCGTAGTTTTCCCATTTGTCCAGATGAAACCTTCGGGGCCTGACTGCTTTCGCTCGAAACCTTTCAGCGCTGGTGGGTCGTAGTCCTGGCGCCGCTTCTCTTTCCGATAACCAACCGAGGGGTGTATCATCTCGTTCGTGTCACCCGACTTGATGGCTTTCTTGCTGGTGGTGTCCCGGGGGTAGCGGCCGGGGGTTCTGTCCTCGGAACCAGCTGCCATCATGGCACCGGTAAAGCTGTCGACGATGGGGCCAATTGCCCAGCCATAGACCGTATCATCGGCAACCTTCTTGGGCTGTGCCGTGTGTATCCCGGTGTAATCAAGGGCTGCCCGAGCCTTGCTCAATAACCAGTGTGAGCCGTAGTCCTTGTCGCCCCGGGCAACCGAGTCCAACGCTGGACGCATCAAGTTATATCGATCCTCAACTGTGTCCTTTGCGAGCTGCGATAGATTACCTCCTCTCAGCTGGAGATAAGGCGCGATTTGTTCGCACATCCAAGCGAACGAGATCAAGGCGATTTCTATGACCATCAGCGAAGCTATTTGGGACAACTCCTGTCTACTCACGTTCCAAGTCGCCCTTCAAATCTTTGAGGAGATCATCGCTACCCCCTCCGATGTTGATGTGAACTCCTGGGAACCAAACTTGTAGCAGTTCTGGTTTATTATGCTCCAAATCCTCCAAGTGTTCGGACATTTGGTGGCCGATCAAAGAGCTCCAAGTGACCTTGACTTGATCTATGGGAGTACTTGGTGTCACATTCTCCCACTCTTTACATAGCTTACCATATGGCTTGGCAGGTTTCTCCGGACATAATTCATCATCAGTCGGATACTGCCATAGCGTAGGCGAGAACGGCTTCCTGTGTTCGTCGACAGCCAACGCGTGGAATGCATGCCGAATATCTGTCTAGATATTAAGTCTGACTCCTGTTGAAGGATTCGAGGGTTCTTACATGGACTGAGCGCCACATTATGGAAACCGACCTGGGGAATACCCACAACCTTTTCGAGAAACTTCAAGTTCCATTTTGTCCACATCATGTCTGGGATACCAAGGCTCCCCACGGTATCGAACACACCCACGACTTCAACCACTCTTGATGACTCGGGGGCATCACCATGTGGCGGCTTGTCATATCTAGCCGGCTCTTGATCTCCACGAGGTTGTTCAGCGGAGAGGACGCCATAAGCCCACTCCCGATAGGCGGTAGATTTCCGGAATGTGAAAGCGTCTTCGTGTTTCTGATACAGTGCATACAATTCGGGGAAGTCCTGCAATGCCCTTGGCGAGATCACTCCGACATCGTTGATAAGACCTGCCACTGCACGCGCAGTGTACGCTCCCCGGGAGAAGCCAAAACAGAAGATCTGGTCACCTGGTTGGTAGTTTAGGACGATGAAATTGTACGCCTCGATCACGTTGCCCACAAACCCTATGCCGAAGCCACCTTGCCGGTCCTTTTCTCCTTTGCTGAGTTCTCCGGTACCAATGCCGGAGTCGTAATAGACAATCTGCTCGCAGACCCTGCCATTGGCATCCATCCCATGATCGGCGATGGAACGCGCAAGTCTGGTCACGTTGGAAGGGATATTCTTTAGTCCAGATACCGATGATTGCCAGGTGCCATCGCAACAAACGACCAATCGCTTAGGCGTCGCGAGATTGCTTGTATCAATGGAGCCCCTGTTTCGCGACAACTTGTTCCCGGATTCGCCTTGAGGAAAGTCTCCCCGGGTGGGGGGTCCATTCTGGACAATGGTTTCTGGGTTGCTGGTCATAGCTGCAAAGGATAGCCGACAGAAAGATTGAGATTCATCATTGGCTTGAGGAGCTCGGATGGTTTGAGCGGCGTTCGTGCAGACTTTATATAGAGGCTTACCCTCTCAGAAACTGGGTAGCCATTGTAGCAATCGTCGACGGCTCTGCTACTGGGATACGCCTCATCCTCGTTCTCAACTAAAATCAGCTTCATAGACTTTCTGATTAGGGTCGGGTTGAAACTCTACCACGGCGCTATCACCTGCCAGCAGCGCACTAGAGAGAGCCAGACTTGGATGCCCTCTAAGAGAAGCTTCAAGCCTGTACTGGACTGGTCTCTACTAGACTAGTTCTGTTCGAACAGAGTATCTATTCTACCATATTTGTAGTCGACCATGGCCATCTCGATGCCTGTAGAGCCTTGACTCAGACCATGGTGTCAATACCATCCCAGTACAGTATCATACCTAGTGAAGATACCAAGTCTTCTCCACTTAGGCAGGTAATATGCTTCGGTGCCATGTGAAAGAAGTTGGTTGGCGTACGTCGACGATAGTGGTTTTGGTGGTCAAAAGATAATGTATTGGACTAAGTCTATTCTATGGGGGCTACACCCCACTAAAAGCCTTAATGGGCCAACCCACGCCAACACATGTCTCGACAATGATTATAGATGCGGCTAGTCCCGTGCGAAGTAGCGACTAATAGAGAGGGCCGTTCTCAGCTGCGATCTATTTCTCCAGGATGAGCGATACCAGGGTCAAGGACAGAGAGCCTATGCACTTTCAGACCAATTATAGACTTCAGGCTGGCTTGTGACTGGCGGCGAAACTCAGCCGCTGGAGCGGCGTCATGGACAACCTTACGACAATTCAGGCCGGCTGGAGCCTGCGGTTTCTGGTTTATGTTTTTGAATAAACATGTTTTGACCAAGGGCGACTGAGGCAATGTATCAAAGGGATAAGCGCAGTCGGTCGTTCTGCAGCTGAAAGTAGAATGGCAGTGCCGAGAATCCAACATCATAGTTGAATTCAAAACGGGATTGCTAAAAGCTTCTTCCCGCGCAAAGCACTTCTCGACGCTTTTACTTTTGTCCTTGGCTTATCAAAGTGTTGTAACACAACCTACGCCGCTTAGCCACGCCTGCGGGCGTAGATTTTGCACTTTGTGTTGAGTCGGCCCAGTAGATGGACGAGACATGTGATGCTACCGAAACAACTGGGAAGAGACAATGCTGTATCTTAAGAGTTTGCCTAGGCCAGTTTTCTTGACTTTGATAAGTTCCGAAAGCTCAAGGCGTCTGCGTGGAGCAAAGAAATTTGATAGACTGGGGGTTTGAATGTAGACGCTGCGAAGCTTGACACGGCATTTATTATTTATCCAAAACTCAGGGGCTTCCTGATGACAAAAAGTTACAGCTGGTATAAGTATGGGAAATCAATGGGGACTTAGTGTATTCAGTACAAATAAATGGATATAGCTAGGTTACATAGGTTTAGTTAAATAAAGTGCACAAGACCTAATTGCCTCCCATAGCCCACTGGAAATAGCCGTCAAGCTGAAGGTTTCGGGGTCCAATGCTTTTATCCGTTAAAACGAGAGTTATACCCATTACTTTAGTCAAAGTCAACTTTCTATAATAAGATGTAAACGCTATTTTCATATCTAGTCATACGTATGATTAGCAGCACTAAGGGTTTCGAGCTCTGCTTGGAGGCCGACGCCAAAGCGGCTGTCTAGCGCGAAGGTGCCTCGGTGGCAGTGGACAGCCAGCGTTGCGACCCGCCTAAGCCGACACGGATAGGGAGGGTATCCTGCCGTTACAATCAAATCAATATATTTTGTGAAAATAGACATACCCATACATACGACCATAGACACTAGAAAACTCGGCATCCCGTCCGCTCTGCCCTAGATAAACTAGCGATCGCCGGATTAGTACTCAGGTGGGTGACCACTGGGGAATACCTGGTGTTGTATGTTTTTGTATATTTTTTTTATTTTTGCAAATCTGTGATTTTCGCCATTTGTTTTGCGTACCCGAATGGGTGGTTGTGGCATTATAGGCGTTCGCGGCGGGGTCGCGGCGGCAGCTCAACATGGCTATTATGCTTTCTTTACAGAAACACGGGGTTTCGCCAGCTAAAAAAAAAAAATCCCTTACAACAGCAACAGCTAGTATGTAACGTGGCTATGGATCAGATGGCATAATCTCCCCCTGTCCGCCGTCGGCTTGATCCTGGCGATGGCTTTTTTGAAGCTGAAAGCCGTCGATTAATATGCCCGAGAGAAGCTGCGTTGAGTCGACTACGGCGGCATCGCTCTATTTACCGCTGGCTGCACAATATTTATAGCGCCACTGGCCTGGGCTGGCGCCATATTTCCGTGGTCCTCGTACGAGACATTAATTCCACTGTGCTTAGGCATAATTCTCCTGTGCGCCTTCGTATGGTACGAGTCCAGGCCGATCGAACCCGTCTTCCCTTATCGGATAATCAAAAACCGGACAGGGTCTTCATAAGCTTTCTACATGGGATTGCTAACTTTACAATTATCATATCCATCCCTCTATTCTTCCAGGAAGTCTAAATGGACACCTCTTTGCAATCCACCGTTACGGTTCTTCCGATCTGCTGCGTCGCTATAGGCTTTGCCATTATAGCGGCAGTCATAATAAAGCTGATGCGCAAATACCGGCTTCTGATCCTGCTTAGTTGGGTGTTTGCCGCCGGCGGGGCAGGCGTATTTGCCCTATTGGATCGCTCCTCGACACTTGTGGCCAAAGCATCCTTTCAGGTGATACTGGCCATAGGAATAGGCCCCTTTTTCTCCCTGCTGAACCTGCCGCTCCAGGCCTCGCTGTGTGATGTGGACGATATGGGGCTGCCGGCCGGAATAATCGTGTCCTTTCGTATCTTTGGCGGGTTGGTAGGGCTGGCTATGTCCTCGAGTATGTTTGGTGCCTTGTTCTCCAGCGGGATCAGTGCCTTAGGGCCGCTCCCAGAAGAGCTCGCCTCCCTGCGTCATGTCAGAGAAGTGGTGGGGTTTATACTGAGGGATGTGAAGGCGACGCCGGAGCTTATAAACGGGGTTATCGAGGATTACCGCTTTTCGATATCTGCCGTGTTTTGGATGGTAGCGGGTTCTGCAGGTGTTGGAATCCTGCCTTTATTTTATTTTATTTTTATTTTTTTTTATCAAGGAGAACCTACCAGAAAAGGAAGAACTAGAGAGGCAGAAGTTCTAAGGAGATGAGTAAGGAAAGGCCGGCCTTATGTCTTGAAGTCTCGGGTCGTAATATACTAGCACATTCTGTTTCTAACCACGGGACCGGTCACGTTAAGGGGGCTCCAAAGTCGTCGTCATATTAGTCTTTATCAAAGTGTTTCATTAATAGCCGCTGGACCGCCTTGGTATTTGTTTTCTACAGCTGCTTCAACCGCAGCAGGCGGATTGACAGTTGCTTGAAAGCTGGACCTAAAGGCTTCAAAAATGGCTTCCTGCACCAGAAACGTGTCTATAGCTTCAAGATGTGCCCACTTGTCTTTTGGGAGTGGATGGTTAGGATTCTGTGATGCATCCGAATCGGAGTCTTCATTGTCCAGGGCTCCGATCAACCTAACTGACTGACTATGTTGGCCAAGCAGAATCCTCCGACGGCCCTTGTTGCTCTGTACATAGCTTCACCGCTCCACCGCACGAATCCTGTGGAGGAGGCAACAAGTCTGTATTTACATCCTCCCTTGTGTTTAAAAAGAAGATGATACTGACCCAGCCTTAGCGGCTGGCGTGCAACTTTAGTTCAACATACTAACTTTAGCTTTTTATGGTCAAGCGTCTGAAGCACGGGACGGCCCGCTGACAAAACCGTTTGGACTAGTTTACCAATCTCTTAGGTATAAGAAATAGTTCCTCAAGCTTTTCCCTGTTTATTTTTTATTGCTGTCTAAGCTACCTATAAGTGGCGTGTAGGGAGGATATCAATTCTTTCAGATATGAATTCTCAACCTAGGTTCACCGGGCCGCTTTATTTTTCGTTTCTTTCTTATTTTATCCCTGATTTATCATTAGTGCCGTACGATGAAGAGGAATGAAAACGGCGGAACAAAGAAAACAAAGCTGAAAGACGTCTGAAAAAAAAAAGGCAAAGAACCCCTACCTGTGAACCAGAAATGCAGATTTCTGGCCCACTCAAAGCTCAAGACTTGAACGCTTAGCCGTCACTCTTCACCTTCTCCGCCGTCCATCTCGCCTTTCACCCATCAAGTAACTTCCAGTCTCCACCATGGCTTGTCCTGCTGTTTCGAGCATGGTGCCCACGACATGGTAACCAGTGTCCACGACGTGGTCACCGATTGCGCGAGCACGCAACCAGCGGTAGTGGCTAGGACGGCCAACTGCTTGGCGCGGTCGGACGCTTAGGGTCGAGTATCGCGGAGGCAAGTTCCGAGGTGGTGAGTACTCGGGAGGGGGGCTCCAAGGACGCGAGGGCCGTGCAGGCAGCCTCGATGGAGGTAGGTTGCCGGGCGCTCGCCTTGATGGAGTGCGGGGAGGTGGTGGCCTGAATGGAGCCCGACGAGGATGATCTGGCCGTCGGACGGCAGGACGACGAATGAGTCCGGCAGGCCGCCACTCGTGGGCTCCAAACATGTCGGGTTCCGCAGAATCGCTTACCTCGCCCTCATCAGATGGACGCCCGACGAGAACGATCTGGCCGTCGGACGGCAGGACGACGAATGAGTCCGGCAGGCCGCCATTCGTGGGCTCCAAACATGTCGGGTTCCGCAGAATCACTTACCTCGCCCTCATCCTCATTGAATGAATCTCGGTCCTCCATGACGGTGTCACCACCACCCTCGCTTGATGCCGGCCAACGCCAATCCGGTCGGACGCCTGGGATGCTGAACCATTCACCCAACGGGGCCGTCCTTCCACTGTCCACAAAAGGGTCATTGTGGACATTTGCAGGCCCTCGAATACCCTGAGAGCGCCCGCGAGAGGACTGGACACCCCCAGCGTCGCCGCCGGGTACCCATGATGGCTGTCGTGATCTCGGTGGCCTTTGCGGCGATCGGTGCCGCGTGCTACTCACACGATAACCGCCTCCCATTGGAGGTCGCCTCCTCGACGGCGAGCGCCGGGTTGAAGAAGAATATGGTCTGGATGCCATTTCGTCAAGCCTATCTCCGTCTTTTATCTTGTTTATGGTAAATTGTTGCAAAGTGTGAATGAACTTGCAAACTGCGGGCTATTGTGAGCTATCAGAGAGTATCGTAATGTAATTCCTGTTCCTGTAAGCAGATGAATTGCTGAATCTAAACTCGAACTCATAATCAAGTCTTAGTCCCTATTTATAAGAGTTTCAACGTTGAGGAACACAGTCTCGTCTCAGATTATACGACGTCGCGTATTCGCCTTTGTCCTTGAGTTTGTCAGACTGAACAACTGTATTTGTTATGCAGGAATTTCCCTTCTGCACGTTTGGCATATGCAGTGTCTGAGACTTTACGAAACTGCGCCCTAAGAACACTTAACAATGTGTATGTCACATCGCAGACCCAAGTATGGGGATGAACAAGAACTGCGTTGTAGCACGAGGAAGTACAAAGAGGGTGGCTAGAACTAAACTTTATGTACAATAAACTGTTCTTTGTTCCCAGGAAGCTCCACTATGCCACCCTGACATTGTATATACTCTGCGCGCTTTGTCTACATCACCGCAACAAAGAACTTGTGAGGGCACAGCAATATCATAAAGTATTGTTGGTAGGATATTCTTGCTCGATAATGCGACCTCTTGCTCCGAGGGTAGGACTAGTATCGCACGGAATTACTATGTTGAGGTGGAACATGTCACTTGATCATAGGAGTTACAACTACAACTGAGCGGAGATAAACATGTCCATGCAGGAGAATTGATCTAATTCATTAGAGTGCTTTGATGCACATTCTATTGAGCCACTACGCTCTTCTTAATCTGCCTATATCCCGCAAGTTGTCTCTGCACAACTGCGTCCTGTCCAACGCCAATTTTTGATGGGGCTTGAAGCTCTCCTGAGCCAGCCATTGAAACCAATAATGCTAAATCGCTAGTGGGGTATATTTGTTCCGAAAACAATTGACAAGTTGTAAGTTGAAAAACCGGATGTATGTTTTATGCCGAGGGGTAAATGTGAAAATCAAATCGCTTGTATGTCATTGACATTGAACAAAGGAAGACAAAGAGGGGCGGAGTCTAGTTCGATCTCTTTGATGGTGCATCAAGGGGACTCAGAGCCTCGTCGACCTCCTCATAGGGAATCTCGCAGTGGTACGAGGGCGGGCTGGGGGGCACGTCCTGGTAGATTGGAGGAGCCTCGTTGTCCCAGCTCACGCCCAAGCCACTACGCTCAGTGACAATAGTGCCAAAGTGCATGCGCAGGATCCGTGCTACTCCGGTCGGGGTGACGTGCTTGGGCTGGTTGGTTGGTGCGTATTCCTGGGCCACCACCATCTCGATAACGAGCTGGTGAGTGACCTCGGTGCCGTCGTTGCTCTTCAGGTCGCACACAGGCTTGAGCGACGGGTTGACTTGGTACTCCAGCTCCATCTCAACATTGCCGTTGGGCGAATAGTCTGCTTTCCAGCCACTGGCAAGGTCGCCCGAGCCAATGGTGCGAGCCTCTGTGCGCTTCAGGCCCTTCTTGGTAGGTTCTCCCGTCTCGGGATCCTTGGGCGAGTGCTTCTGGCAAGCCGGAACAACCGTGGTGAGGTGTTCCTCAATCTTCCAGGAGAGTCGCTTCAGCTTCCAGTACTCAATGGTCTTGACATCTGGGTTCGACTTGATGATGCCCTCCAGGCGGAGCTCGAGCTTGTTGCTTCCAATGGGGTGGATGACATTGGGGTAGTGAACCGAGGCGGTGATGTTGGTGGGAGGGAAGATGCGGACCGAGTGGTGTGGCGTCTCAGGAACAGGGAGCGCCCGTCTCACATTGATGGTCTTGAGAAGTTTCAAGGCAGAGCCGTTCTTGGGCTTGGCCTCGGCGGTAAAGTCATATCGCACAGTGACCACCGAGTTGTCCGTGGATGCAGGAAGGTGACCTTCCAAAAGAGCAGAAAACGGATAGTAGTGCACGCCTATGCAAAGTTAGCACTTGTCTCATGTATGATGTATAGTCAGAAAATTGGACTTACCCTGCGACAGGGTGGCAGGACCGGCTATCAACTCCCAAGTCTTGAGCTCCGTCTTCTGGTTTACGCAGTCGTGGCAGTGATCCTTGTAAGGTCTCTTGCGGATGACGTGAATCTCTAGACGAGCCTTGAAGCCCTCAACCTCGAGGGGGGCATCCTTGGCAGTCAACATGAGTTGCCCGGAAACAATGGCGCCAGTGCTGTTTTCAGCATCGCCGTACATGACCGCCGGCGGCGACTCGATCTTCCAGTCAAGCGATGCATGTGGGTGCTGGTGGCCATGATCCTTAGACTTGTGGCCACCAAGGTGCAGGCCCGGGAAACTCAGGCGATGGTGGGACACTTCCTTTTCTCTTGCCGATTCCGGCATCCTGACCGGGGGCGCTACTGACTGGCTGCTGTTGGAGCGGGTCTGCTGGTTTTCCTGCTCTTCGGCTTCGTCGTTGATGGAATTGGGATACGAAACGGTGCGAGTAGAGCCCGGTCTCGGGGTGGCTGAGACTGGCGTCCTCGAGCTAGGACTTCTCCTTCGGACGGTGGCCTTGATTGTGTTGATGGGGTCGTGAGACGAGCGGAAGAAGCTCGTGATGTGCGGCATGATGATTGTATAGAGGAAAACAAAAAGTCGGAAGGCTGTAGAAAGAATGCGGAATACTCTCCAAACTGGTTCTTCCAATTCGCCAGTCGCAGCCCACTAATGCGACGGCTCTGCAAGGGTGAATAAACCCAGAATCCGGGGATGGCGCGAGCAGTGGGAAGCTAGGTCATGCAATGCAGAGTCTCGTGGTCACACGTTATGCCACTCGGGACTCTTGCCTTGCGCCGGGAACGGTGTGAGTCAAAGAAGCTTGTCGACTCCAATTGTGAATCTCCGTGTGATTTCCGGAATTCCCCTCTGAATGTTTTGTGTAACTCTCCAGTTGCTTGTGCACTGCTGCAATCTTTTTTCTTTAGAAAGAAATGCTGTACAAGTCGATGTAGCGTAGGTTCTCAGTATACACGAGTATAGTAGAACAGTGCCTTGTCAAAGAGCCGTGGGTTGCGCGGGTTCAAGTATGGCGGAATAAATGGTGTAAGTGACGTTGGGTGGAGGGTGATAGAGAATTGTGTGTAAGCGTCTCCTGAGCAGTCGCTAATAATAGAGCACGTCTGATGAAAGCTGATGATGATGGGATACTGCGAACCACAAAAAGTCCTAAATTCAGGAGGTTTATATTATTCAAGAGACTCCAGTTCAAGAAGACTGTGGTTGCGTAGCGGGGACTTTGGTTTTAATATGTTGCTGCTCGCCAAACAAAAGCAAAGACGCAAAATTTCACCTGTTGAAAAGTACATACATGCTCGCGTCATGCTTTGGAACATTCTCATCAGGTAATTTATGTGTCATGCGTTCCAAGCTCCACGATGCTAGTTCCGGGCCGCACCAGGGGGGGTGTACACCTACTTGGCTACGCTACCTGGAGAATCAATAGAGCCTGAAAACGGACAGACCTTTGGCCTGGACACGTGCAAAAATCCAGCGGTCAACAAGCAACAGGCGAGACAGGGCAGGCCATGACAGACGGTAGGTACATGTCCGCTGTCTACCTAGTATACACTAATGACAGACAGCGGCAGCACTAAAACAACCTTGGTAACTTCACGCTGTCTTTGTTTGGGCCCCTCGGGAAAGATCTGAGGGAACCCTTGGCAGTCCAGTAACGTCAAGACCCTTCCAGTCACGGATCTGTTACCCCGAGAAACTAGACAGACCCTGAGTCGTGAGCACCATCGCAACGTCTGTAGTATGATGTAAGCATGCAAGAACCACTATATCAAGTGAGGCAAAACGGCAAGAATATCAAGTAGACGACCCTTGTTTTTCATTCTTCCTGTTCAGAAGAGAGAGTATTGCAATGAAGTCACAGGTTAGGACTTTGATCATCTACCATGCCACCCTAGCAAGCCTACTAGGAGTGTATGTATTGTAGTGGTGTGCAACTTGCTCCATTGCTAAAGAATGGAGCTTCATGTCCGAGTTGCACTCCAATGCCCCAAAGCGGCCAACATCAAAAAATGGTGGTGCTGCATGGTCACCAGAGAGCCCTAATCAGCTAGGGCGCTGCATACTCTGCTGCCGTGACTCTTTATATGTCTTACTGGAGCACCACAACAGACTGGCATCTTGTATGCACAATCAGGATGGGGTCGGGGAAAGATATTTATATACAGATGCAGTTGTTGTTGTTATTCTCTTGATCTTGTGACCCAGGCTTTTCATACTGTTACGCATCCCGGCCAGCTTCGGCGATGTTGGGCCCGTAGCTTTAGGTACTACAAGCGACGATGGCTACCGTATAATCGATGTCTCGGACGATACGACAAGCTTTACAACACTTTGACATTTTCACAGCCAACGGTGAATTGGTTTTAGAGTACCTCGGAACCAGCGTCCGGCCCTGGCAACGGGAAACCTGCGACGACGGCTCTCAATGCCGCCCATACCTACCGCCCACTGGCCAACCGCCTCCTGTATTTGGACAGGAGCGAAAGCATGTACCATTTGCTCCCATCGTGGCATCGCCAGATGTGGTACGAGGCACAAGCACTCTCCTAACCCAGCTTACCCCATCCTTACTCGATGGAATCCACAGGCAATAGAACCCAAAGGTACTCCTTACTGCTTCCAGGTTTGCAGTGGACATCCAAAATATTCCAAAACAAGCTCTTGCATGAATGCTGCTAGCACGATCGAGAATTTCCAGTAGCAGTATCCACTATAGCCCAGTCCAACCAAGCCTCCAAGGTTCTAGCAGGGACCGCAGCAGCCTGGAATCGGAATTTGCGCTGGTAACACTGAACGAGAGGAAATTTTTCGCGCCGGGGGGCCGATCATTGTTTGTTACCCATGGCGGGGCATTGCGAGTCAGCTGCCCAAAAAAAATTTACAGAAAACAGAAAAATTCTTCTCGCTTTTCCTTCAATTTCTGCCACAACTGTACCTACTACAAAAAAGGTAGTAAACCGTCGATTACCGAATGCTCCACATGCGAAACAAAGAGCAGCAAAAAGTGGACATGCCCAGTCATTCTCTTCAACATCAGAGAAAATTCAAAAATCCACTTGACGCTATCGTGAATGCCTCTGTCGCGATGCACTTGCAGTATACGGAATGAGCATCCGAGCCCTGCTGTCCAATCCTTTTGGATCCGGGGAATATTATTTTCCCACAATGCAATTGACGATGCTGGCCCTTTTGCACATTGGCAGGGTACACCAGAATAACTTTTTCTTTCTTTCAGTCTGTTCCTGCTTACTATGGCGTGAGAAGGATGAGCGCTTGTGGAATAGGAATATTGATTCGATGCAATATGGGCGCAGCATTTGTTCATCTTGCGTGCTGAATCCATGTCAGCGAGAACCACCATGTAAGCTCAGGAATAGGCGCTTAGGTCAATGGCGTGCTGTAAAGCTGCGTTGTACGGTGAGACAAACGTGCCTGGTAAACGGAACGGCGAGTTTAGGATAAGGCTTATTGCTATACAAAGCTTCAACTGTGTAGACCTGTTCGGCTGGAAATCCCGAGAACCTGGCAAGCTATGGAAGCGGTCTGATGAGGAAACATCGTGAAACATCACCGTCTTCTTGCATCATTGAAAACGCCATCTTTGGATGTGCCCAATCCCAGCCCGAAGCGGCTCCCCCGCGTTACTGAGTTTTTCTTCTACCTTACCAGGTACTATGTAGGTGGTGATCGCGAGAGATCGCCGCTAACAGCTTCGAGTACAGCAAGCCGACATAGGGCTGGCTGGCTTGGCTGGCCACCCGCGGCCGACTCCGTCAATATTTCCGCGGAGCACCGAAACCCCAGACTTTTCAGGAACAAAACAAACGTGAATAGATTCATGACCTCTGACAGACGCGCGCACGCCTACGCGCTCACTGCGTATGCAAGATCTGTGGCTCAGCGGATTTGCTCAAGAGCCGGGGCGAGACAACGTAGTCAGGAATGGGGGCCAAGAGTCCCGGTTTCCCTAATTTCATAAGACCGTTACAATGGATTCCAAAGCCGCCACTCTGTGAACTTAACCGCTATACATATTGAATGAGGCTTATAGGCCGCGGACCAATATCCCCATGAAAAGACACAATTCCTCAGCTCGATGCTGCAAGGTCTTTTGTCTCATTGCCTAACGATGAAGGACGGACTGCCTGAAGCCATAAGAGAAATGTACCTTGACAGTCTCTTCAATTTTCCTTCCCCCCTTTGCTATACTCATAACAGAATTTCCAGTGTCTTTTGACAGTTATATTGCAGCGAGCCACTTACAGTCAAGCATTCATAGAATGATTTCCACGATTTCCCAAGAGAGACAGTTCCGCATTTTCACTGCATGATCATATGAAGTCATCGTGACCGGCCGTGAAGCACAGAGCTCCGTGTTGATCAGTGATCAAGCTGCATGTGCATACGTTGCCTGGTGGCGCTGAGTCAAACAACGTAGCACTGAGGCCCAGACTTGTGTCTCGTCCCTGGTCTAAGCCATATCCGTATTTTCATTAGCCAGCAATTACTCTATAAAATTCAGCCCTTCTCCATTGCCAAAGTCAACGACATGCCAAGTCTACGAATAGACTGAGCACGCCATGATGCATCCCGCCAGCCATCCCGCGACACGTGCAAAAAGAGATGAGGAAGCTGACCATTCAATCATCGACTTTGACCCCGTGTCGCAGCGCATAGATGCTTTTTGGGTTGGCGAATTGAAAGAGCGCCGATATAGGAGCTCCCGGGCGCGCATGCATGTGCGTAGTAAGTGAGCTTGTGTGGGAAAGTTTCAATGAGCCCTAGCTTTTACACGCTGAGAGTCAATGTGTAAGCCGGGAGCTGCAAGAGCTCCTCCAGCTCCTCCTTGGTCTGAGGCTAGCCAATTGGTGAAAATGGCGTGACTGGTTGACTGGTAACAGTCAGAGTCATCTCGAGTTAAGATCCAATTATTGATACCCCGTGGATTGATTATCGCGCAAGGGACGATCAATAATAACGGGTTTGTGTCGTCTCCTCAATGTCCACATACGAGCCAGGCCCAGCCCTTCTGTCCGTTCGTACCGCTTTCCAAAAATACCATGTCGTGGGTTCGTATTAGTGCTTCCTACCGTACCACTCCTGCCGGCCGCCAGTTGTCTTACATAAACATGGCCTCTGTAACGGAATGTCGTACTAGAACAAGAGGATCTTTGTTACCCAGCGCAAAAGTCGGGCCCTGCTTCCGGTGAGAACGGCTACGGGCCCGGCCGACAAGCAAGACACGAAAACGTAAGATTTTCACACACAGGGCAAGTCACCAAGCACAATTCAAAGGCAGAGGGCCCATAGCCGCAAAGGTGTCCTGGCTCTCTTGTGTGGTGCATGTTTTGCGTGTTACGCCTGCTAGTAGGGAGCTTGGGATCCGCAACGGCAATGGCGATACTTTTCACGGCGACAAAAAGGGGAGTGCGTCCAAATTGAATCATTTCCAGCATACGCCCCGTTGCCATGCTTGCAAAACAACACCCCATTCGGCTTCTTTCGGTGGCTCTCTGTATATGTACCATGGTCAATGGACAGGAGAGAGAGAGAAAGAGAGAGAAAAAATAAGTCGGCGTTACCCGCAATTTGACCCCTCTAGAAACCTAGTCAACCAGGAAACGCCGCAAGTTCTAGAATACAATAGCAGCCAACCTCTGACCTGTCTGGGATATTCAGGGCGCATCCCTCAGGAACGGGCAGCTTTGGGTTTAGGAGACTGTTGGCTTGGCCCCCCTCAAGAGAAGCTAATTTACACCTACAGCGGATGAGTCCCTATCCTATGGGCTTGTTTGTGGAAGAGGCGCATCCGCTTCAGAACCCGCCCAATCCCGCTTGACATCGGCTGGTGGATCTCTTCTGGAACGTCGGGAGCGGGTATTCTTAAGTAATGAGCCCGAATTGAGGGCGCGCCCTCTCGCTTGTACTCTGCTTAATTCGGTAACGCGCCCCCCAAAAAGCTCTTCGCGGCGATGCGCCCTCGAAGCTCGGAAATTTTTTGGAAGCCATCGTGAAGAGAAAATTTTGCTTCTCATCGCAACCTTGTGGATGTTACGATTGGAGATTGACCCGCGCTGCTAAATGGTACAAAGCGCTTCGACGCATTGGGAGCCAGGCCAGCACTTGAGAAAATTAGGTACATACGCACAGGGCTTTTGGAACTCCATGCCTTGCTTGTTACCCAGCGCTTCTTTGGACGGTGAAAATAGACCAAGACTGTAGCGTAGGGGAGGGTTGGTGATGGTATTACGAGTAATTAAAAAGAATTCAGGTGCCTCCATATTATTGTTATACGAAGGACAGAAGTAATAGCAAGGTACGATATGAGGTTTAGTTGGGAGAATTGCGTCGCAAGCCAATGTCAAGGCAATTATTTTTTTTTCATGCTGGCCAGCAACAGTTTGTCTTTGTCTCAATATAGTGCCTGGTCATGTGTAGTTGATGGGGTTTTACTGCAGAGGTCATCCTTGAACGGGGGCTCTTCACATTATCGATACAACAAGCAAAATATCATAGTAGGCAGATCCGAAGAGTTAGACAAGGAAAAAAAACTTCAAAAAAGAAGATCGAGATATCTCAGTAACTGAGATGCATCGGGAATTGAGCCCAATGCGGGGGTCGAACCCGCAGCCTTGAGATTAAGAGTCTCACGCTCTACCGATTGAGCTAACCGGGCAGTGAAGATCTCAACGCTTGTTGTTGACGTTTGTGTTCTTATTGCATCTTAATATAGCTCGTCAATCTGGAATAATGCTGGAGCGGAGGGTTCCCATGTATGTGGGGGCATCTCTTGTCCTCCCTAGAGCTTCTGGAGATGGCTCAAGTGACACATCCATTGGCCGGTGGATCCTCGAACTGGAATTGGAAATGGGAGTGTACATAGTATAATACCGAAAGGTCTGGACCGCGCCTAGACACGACTGAGATCATTTATACTGGGGATACTTGGTTGCAAAGACAAAATCATGACATCAAGTGTATCAAGCAGTTTCACTGACTGCCAAACGTATGATTCCCCAGGGAAATGTTATGTAATTGAATCAAGTTTGAACTGTATGGGTTTTGGGGCGCTGCTATAGGGAGATTGTGGTGAGTTCTAGACTAGCGCTGGTCTGCGTCAGCATGGTATACTGCCTCGTTGGCTGCTGATCAACACAATCTAAGGTTGACCCGATAGCATGTTACATCTATTTCTTTTATTAGCTGTAAGTTGTTGCGAATGGAAATTGTTACCTTTCGGCGAGTCCACGGTGATTACGGAATATGCATCGCCACCTTGCCATGACGTGTACACTAGACATCTAGCATTAGCAACCAAAAGTCGATTGAACTTTGTAGCACTCCGAGGAAGGGCGCCTTTATGCAAACTTGACGTATTTCGATGCTTTGATGGACGCGTTTCGGAATATTACGCGTCTTAACAGTGGTTGGCTACCGAGATCGCAGTGTTTTCTACAAGTCTTCAGGAGCTGAACTATTGAACCGATTACTAAACACTTGCGGATGGTAATACTAGCCTGCAGGAAATAGAAAAGACATGCAAGGATCTTGACACTGTCAATAATTTAGCATTATAAAGAACATATGAGATAAAAATGAGATGGCGTAACGGCATGACATATTTGAGTCCATGTGAACTATACGGAAGCGGTATGGCGAAGCTTGATGCTCAAGCATTCGTCGATTCAGTGTACACCAGAATACTCCGCTCAGTACCCAGAGCAACGTCAATGGAGACTCGAGTTGGTGTTCACCATTGCCAAGAAATAATCAATACAATATTAGATAATCGGAATGCAACTCTGCAAGCCAAAGGACTTCTCTGACTTTATCCATATTTTCGTTCACAAGCAGCCAAATCAAATCACTTCTCTTGGTCAGACATTGAAATTATGAAATTGCCGAGCTAGGCGAGTTATTGCATTTAAAAGGGCCGAGCTGTTCTTGCTGGTATTATGAGGATGCTATATTAAAGCTGGCACGATTGATCCCCCAAGGTGCCACAATATAAATAAGAAAGATAGAATAGAAGGTTCTTCTGAAGCGGAAGAACTGTCTAACAACATGACACTAAAAATCTGGAAGCATACTGATTTCCCGAGATGACCATGTCAATATCATCCTTGCCTAGACACGATAAATGCAAAAGAGAAGAACTTTCATTGATATTTTGTGGAAATCAATGTAGAATTACAATAGTGGCTTACTTGATGCGCGATGCAGTCAAGAACTGCATCCTGAGACCAGCAATATCGATACCAACATCCAAAGCGACCAATATTTCAAACGATCGACACAAGTAGTCCAAGACAATCCGATGGAAATTTGCTACAAGCGCTTATACAAAACGAGTAGGTAGTGTAAGAGGGAGAAGTGTGAGACGATTATTGAACCCTTCTGGGCATGGTTCTGGATGTCCCCTTTTATTTTCTCATCATGGCTTATTTTACATATTTTACAGGACTTTAAGGTAGTAACATTTCTGACAACATCAAGAATCATATTTGCTTCGTCTTCAATGTTCTCCACAATCTCCATGGCAGCTTCCAACTGCTTTTGACCATGAAGGGATCAAAATTTGTGCCTTCTAACCTCTGCAAATAATCTTGGGCTGGCACGGCCTCAAGTAAAACGTTAAAACCGCGTCTCAAGTCCGTCTTGGTTTCGTCAGTCCCCAACCCCGTCTCTGAGTAGTTGTGCTCGGCTTCGTGTTGATGCTCATACTCGTGGCCCGGGTTTTCTCCTGCTCTGATATTCTTGAGCATCTCCCTCGCAGTGATCAAGTGGTCATTTGCCCTTGTAGCAACCTTGAAAACGGCATCTTGGAATCCTTCCGCCTGAGGGCCGTGGCGATATACATCCTCTTCCTTTAAGCCCACCTCTGCCATGACATCTAGGGGTAGCAAGAGAACTGGATTTCGCCCACTACCTACAGTAGTTCCCTGTGGTGACTGTACAGGCGGCGCTGGGTTGGCCAGGAATGGTATCCCCCGCAGCACCGCGACAATGCCGCATGCCTTTCCGATATGACTCGCCAGGTGGTCCATGTGCATTGAGTTGACTGGCAGCGCGGCCAAGGTTGAGTACATGAGTGTGGAGTATGTGTTTTCTGCGTACTCTTCTAAAGAATCCATGCTTGTGAATGGCCGGTTGTCCATGTACTTTTCTCGTGTGTTGATCAGTCTTAGCAGCCAGAACTTGATGGAGCTGGCGCTGTGTGTCGGGTCGGCTTCTCGTAAATCGGTCAAGACTTTGTGGAGTAGAACCATGATTGGCTCTTTGGGCGGCTTTCCCGCAAAGGTGTTGGTGACTGCGTCTCTCCAAAACTTCATGCGCATCATACCGATGGTCGGATTCGAGACGAGCTCGGGGAGTCGCACCAGCTCGAGGTTGAAGGCGCGCAGTGCATCGTAAGCATCCTGTCGACTTTGCGGCAGTGAATTGCGGATCAAGTAGGCATCGTAGTCTGACTGCCTATTTCTATCAGTATGGATAGCACCTTGTAGGAGCTTCGGGGGTTGTGGTACCTCAATTGCTCGAGGCAGTATCTTCGTGCTCCTGCGACATCTGCATCGGTAATATAGCCTCTCTTATTGGAGGATGGCGCCCGGCGCTGGAGCTCGCGGCACCATTGCAGACCACGCCGCGCGGTTCGTGAGCGATACATCTGGGAAAGAAAAAGAAGTATCACCTCGTAGCCATATTACTGGGGGATATGCAACAGTTGTCTACTTGCACAAGGGCGAGGAATCGTTGTCGTGTTGCACTTTGAATGGTTTCTAATGACCTCATCCCCGAATTCCTTTCTTTGTGAGCGCAGCGGCGCGCGTCGAGTGCTAAAAGAAACTGCTACTGAGGCACCCCCACTTATCTGCTAAATTGAAAGGCAAACACGCCTAAGCTCGGCACCTAGGCAAGCGCGTCTCTCTAATGGAGCCACCGCGTCTCCCATTGTGCACTCACTTATAACCTTCATTATCTTTCCCAGTCAATGCCTGGTCTTTTCAGGTCCATAGACAGCCTTTTCCCCAACATGAATTGGCGAGACTCGGAAGGGCCTCCTTCGAAGAGAAGGAGATTCTTTTCAGACCCGGAAGACGAAAATGGCAGCATTCCGTCGACAACGGCCGCGCCCACCACAAGATCGCCGCTAGAACCCCGAGGCGATGTCACGAACCGAGGAGCAGGAGTAGGCATAGCGGATACGCCTTCTGCCGCCGCCGCAGCTGTACCAACGTCAAAGACACCGGTATTCGACCAAGCGACGTTCGAAGCATTCATTGGTGACAAGGTGCCCGAAGAAATCCTTGCGATTCTACGAGAAAAATGCGGTACCAATCTCGAGGCTGCTGTCAATATGTACTTCGATGGAACGTGGAAAAAGTACAAAAAGACTGCGAACGCGTCTGCAACACAGTCTACACTGGACCGAATTGGCGGCTCCCGCTCGTCTTCCAGCACCACAACTCAAGTTCAAGTGCCGATCGTCCCTAGCCCAACCCAAGTCCTGCAAGCCATGCCCGAATCGCAATACATTGGTGCGTTTGGTGCAGAGGGCTGGGCGACTAGAAGTGGAACAAATCTCCTGAAACATGGGGATCTTGTCAGGCTTGAACGCCAGAAATTACAAAACCAACGCTTGGGCTCTGGAAAACTACGTGTGGATGTCATTGTGCGGTTTACAGACTCGAAAGGCCTCGAAATAGGCCGACTTGCCAAAGAAGCCGCAAATTGGATTTCCGCACTCATAGATCAGAACGTATGCAGATTTGAGGGCACTTGTGTCTACGCCCCCGAAAGGCTACGGACCAACGATACAGTCTTCTTGCAGCTGCGTTGCTTTATCAAAACGGCTGTTTTCGAGTCAAGGCGACCCGCAACTGCAGACAACCGAAGTACAGGTCTCTTCGAGGTTGCGGAGACCGTCGAGGAGCGAGACCTTCGACTACGACAGATCGCGCTGGTCAAACTCTTTCAAGAGATCAACCTCGAGCCGAGCAGAGCTGCTGCCAAGCACAACCGGCAAGGTCTATTGACTGCTGCTGAGACAGCCGAGGAAAGGGAGAAACAGGCGGCCAAGACCCAGAAAACCAACGGCGACCCTGCATCATCGCCGCCATCTGATGAAGCTGAAGATGGTGCCGAACTTGAGCAGGATCAGCTAGACGCACTATACAAAAAAGCCCAGTCGTTTGACTTCAGTACTCCCGAGGCTGAGCCACCAGACACGTTTGCAATGACATTGCGCCCTTACCAAAAACAGTCTTTGCATTGGATGTTGTCCAAGGAGAAGGACCTCAAGAATGAGTCGAGAGAAGCGTCCATGCATCCACTTTGGGAGGAGTACAGATGGCCAGCCAAGGACGTGGACGACAAGGACGTCCCTCAGATCAAGGATCACCCTGCCTTTTACGTCAACCCTTACTCTGGAGAAATGTCACTAGAGTTTCCAGTGCAAGAACAACACTGTCTTGGTGGCATCCTGGCTGACGAAATGGGTCTGGGCAAAACAATCCAGATGCTCAGCCTTATACATTCACACAAGTATGAGAGGCAACCAGGTGAATCTGTTACACAAAGTATCGACGGGCCTGCTGAGTTGATGTCAAGGTCAAACGGTCCTCTCCAAAACAGCAAGACAACACTTGTGATCGCCCCAATGTCTCTCCTTGCGCAGTGGCAGAGCGAAGCCGAAAACGCTTCCAAAGAGGGTACCTTGAAATCCATAGTGTACTACGGAACCGAAAAGAGTACCAACTTGCAATCGCTTTGTACCAGTACTGCTGCCCCCGATGTCATCGTGACAAGCTATGGCGTGGTCTTGTCTGAATACAATCAATATAGCGGGAAGAACGGCAACGCAAATCCTCACAACGGCCTCTTCTCCTTCAAATTCTTTCGTGTCATTTTGGACGAGGGCCACAACATCAAGAATCGCCAGGCAAAGACATCTAGGGCATGTTACGCGCTTTTGGCTGAGCATCGTTGGGTGCTGACTGGAACGCCCATCGTGAATCGTCTCGAGGACCTGTTCAGTCTCGTGAGATTTCTCAAAGTGGAGCCATGGAATAACTTTTCCTTCTGGAGAACGTTCATCACCGTCCCGTTCGAGTCAAAGGACTTTATGCGTGCACTAGATGTCGTACAAACTGTCCTGGAGCCGTTGGTGATGAGAAGAACCAAGGATATGAAGACACCAGACGGCCAACCACTCGTGCCTCTGCCCCCAAAGACGGTCGAACTAGTCAGCATTGAGCTCTCCAAGCAGGAGCGGGACGTGTATGAACATATCTTTAACCGTGCCAAACGGACATTTTCTGCCAACGTGGAAAAAGGTACTGTGATGAAAGCCTACACCACCATCTTTGCCCAGATTTTGCGACTACGCCAGTCCTGCTGTCACCCTATTCTTGTACGCAACCAAGAGGTCGTCGCTGATGAAGACATGGCCGGCGCCGAAGCCGACGCTGCTGCGGGTCTCGCGGACGACATGGACCTTGATACTTTGATGGAATCTTTCAAGGCAACTATTGGCGACGAAAAGAATGCCAATGCCTATGGTGCCCATGTTTTGGAGCAAATTCGGAACGAGGCTGCTCATGAGTGTCCAATCTGCTCCGAGGAACCCATGATCGAACACACCGTCACAGGGTGTTGGCACTCGGCATGCAAGAAATGCTTGCTAGACTATATCAAGCACCATACCGACAAGGGTGACCTTCCGCGATGCTTCAACTGTCGCGAGCCGATCAATAATCGCGATTTGTTCCAGGTAATTCGTCACGATGACGACCCCGATACCCGATCATCTACCCCAAAGGTCAGTCTGCAACGGCTTGGTGTCAATGAGTCATCGTCCAAGGTCGTTTCTTTGATCAAGCATTTGAGAGAACTACGGAAAGAACACCCATATATGAAGTCGGTAGTGTTTAGTCAGTTCACCTCATTCATGACTCTCATGGAGCCTGCTTTGACAAGGGCAAACATGAGATTTCTGCGTCTTGATGGATCCATGTCCCAAAAGGCACGTGCCGCAGTTCTTGAAGAGTTTCGCAACTCTGACCGATTCACCATTTTCCTGATCAGTCTCAAGTCTGGTGGCGTGGGCCTCAATCTGACGCAGGCCAAGCGGGTTTTCATGATGGATCCGTGGTGGAGTTTTGCTGTAGAGGCGCAGGCCATTGACCGTGTGCACCGCATGGGCCAAGACGATGAGGTCAAGGTGTATCGCTTCATTATCAAAGACAGCGTGGAAGAGAGGATGCTGAAGATTCAAGACCGAAAGAAGTTCATGTGAGTTTTCAACCATCGAGCCACTAGGTATCGTGTACTAACACTCGTCTAGCGCCACATCGCTTGGCATGATGTCTGACGAGGAGAAGCGTCTCCAGCGGATTGAGGATATTAAGGACCTGCTCAGTTAATATCTGGCATGATGTAGCAGCATTTACAGGAGTTTGGAACCACTGGAACATATTCACAGCGCTGATTCCACTAACGTTTGCAATGAGACTCCATTGCTTGATTTACAGCGACACTACATCATGGCTTTATGACACAAATGAATGGGGAGTCAGGAGTCACAGATGGTGCTTTAACATGTGATGGTAGAAATACTAGTTGTGGAGATATTGTTAAGAGAAGCTGTGTTATTTCAAAGACCAATCAATTCCGTTGTACGGTTTCCAAGCCAGGTGCTGAGGAGCTATGATTATACCCGAGCAAGTGATGTACCTTGGGCACCATCTACGTCAGTTGGGTAATCCCATTAAGAAACTTTACGAGCTTTGAGATAGACGTTGAGTGGCGGCTGGGCCCAAAGAATGTGGAAGCGCTGGTTCTGCGTCCAGTTTCGGTCGTCCTGATTTACCAGCTCAATGTCATAATTCCATATCAGTTTCGCCAAGATCAATCTCATTTCTGCATAAGCCAGGCTAGTCATCGTTAGCGACATCTCTGACGAGTTGCGTTGTGAGTAACCGACTTTTTGCCTAAGCAATTTCGCGCACCGAATGAGAATGGTTGAAAGGCAGCTTTGTCGTCACTGTCAAAACGAGGATCCCCGGTCCACCGCTCGGGAATGAATGATTCTGCCGACACCCAATGCTGGGGGTTGCGAAACATTGTCCAAAACCAAACATCAACAATTGTCTGGTATCAAATCATCAGTATTGCGCATGGTGCCAACATGGGATTTGAACTCACGTTTTCGGGCAGATAATATCCACACAGCGTTTGCCCGCCCTGGCGGATTACACGTGGTATCGACCCGGCTGCCGCGGGATATATTCGCAAGGCCTCGTTCAGAACTGCCAACATGTAGTCAAGCTGCTGCACGCTTACCAGTGTGATGTCGGCGTCCGTTGCAAATCTTGAGCGAACTTCATCGCAGAGTTTGGAAAGTACATCGGGATGGGTGCATAATAACGCAGTCACCCCAGCAAGCCTGTAATCATTGAGTCGGTATGCGATTCAAGCTAGACTGCACTTCTTCAATAATGCGAGCTTACGTGGAAGCAGTAGTTTCAGACCCGGCAATGATCAGAAGATTGGCATTACCGCAAAGTTCCTCAAAACTCATCCTCTGGTGATTTGTTAGCTGTTCATGGACGCACATGATGTTTCCACACTGCCATCACAAAATTAATTCAACGTACCGGAGTGCCGTCTGTATCTTCTCCCAGCATGGAATCCATAAAGTCAGGACGCATTGATTCAAGGGCCACGCGTTTCCTCACTTTCAACTCTGTGAGATCTCGATTGACCTTGATCTTCTTGAAGGCGAGCAGACGCAAGACGGACCCTAAAAGGGATCCTACGAGGGGATACGCGCGGCGGAGTTGCGACAGGATCTGCGCTTGTGGAAGCTGCTCAAAGATCATGGACACCCAGTAATGATAATTCGAAGTCTCAAGACAGCCAAATGGTTCTCCAAATGCCAAATCGCCAATCACGTCAAACGTGGTGTAATTGTACCAGTTCACCACATTCACTGGCTTCCCCGCGTCGCTGTGTTCCTTCATGCGCCGGAAGAGAAGATCAATGTGACTTCGGATAATCGGCTCTTGATTTTGCATACCCTGTGCAGAGAAACCATGGGACATGATCTTGCGCATACGAGCGTGATCCTCTGAGTCGGCGGTGATGACGCTATGCGGGAGTAAATCGTCGTAGAAACTCGGATGCTTTTGGTTCTCCTTTTCCCCAGACTTTCGATGGCTCATGAGCTCTTTCCAAACGTTTGCATCTTGGATGGAGACGGAATTTGGGGCCGTCCGAACTATTGGGCCGTACTTTTTATGCAAGGCCAGAATACGCTTGTGGGCGTATCCTTCACATTGCATAAGAGCCTGAGGAATCGGCGAGATGGCAAACAGCTTTGGACCTGGAACTCGGCTTAGAGGGTGAAAGAAGAGAGTAAAAACAGCAGTGCATGTAAAGTATCCCACAGTCTTGTCAAAAGTTAGCTAATCAAGAGAATTCGTCTTGTGAGCATTCAGTATGAACATGCTTACTGCAATAAGGACGAGAACTAGCGCTGATGTGTGCAGCTCAGCGGGCAGCCTTGGTATATTGAGATAAGCCGCCATCATGAAAATATGTATTTGCGAAAATACGAGTCACACCGTGGCGAGAAAATAAAAGAAAAAAAGAAGAAGAAGAGAGAATAATGTATTTAGGATCGGTCGACCCTAGATTCTCATTCATCAGATAGGGTTTCTGGCGTTCATAGTTTCCCGGTCTAGGATTAGGTTCAGTATTGGTGGTTATACTATGCGAGAGGAGTGATTGCGCTGAGGGGAATCTGGACTTTGGCACATATACTACCCCCGTTCGTGCGCAGATGTACATCTAGGTCAGACGTAGCGTAGCATTGCATAGATTCAACCTGGACTGCATGCAGCTCGCTGCTACACCACTTTAGGGTATACTTTGCCTGTATTTACAGTGGCTATGCCTTCTTTGATCAGAGTATGACAAGATTGAGTGTATTCAGGCATTCAATTGGTCGCCATTGGATGTTTTATAGGCATGACCGGAAGAACATCTCTAATCGTAGGTTCATTCGCTTTCCAGTACCATAGGGATACATCCTGGGATAAATTTCTTCTCATGTTACACAATGCGGTGACAAGAAATCATCTGCCCACTCATCACGCGAAACCACCCACCCTCCCGGGGAGATGCATGCAGATAGCAAATAACAGGTTTCAAAGGAATGTGAGCCTTTGTTATCTCCTACAGCGGAAGAGGGACAGAAAGATCAGCAAGTCTGCTAAGCGGCGTATAAGTGGAACAGATCATGTATGAGGTTTCAGAGGCTTACGGCGGCAAAGACTATACTATACTCTATACTCTTTGGTGGAGATGCAGGGCAAATACGAAGAGGATCAGAGGCGTTCTCAACTCGTACAGCCGGCCAGGCGCATTTGTGGGCATCCACACTCATCAGCTCAGAGCCTGCATGAGTTCAAGGTGGCAATACAGGTGGCTTGAAATATATGTATGCTACACTACTCTTTACTCCATGCGGGGTTTGGGCGACATTCTTGCCAGAAAACAAACCGCTCTGGTATTCCCGAAGAAGCATAATATCCGGCCATGATGTATTTGCTCAGAGCTTGTCGTGATAACCATGCTTCGGTCTGATAATCATGTGAGCGAACATTCTTTTTCCCCCCTTCCTGGCAAGCTGAGTCGGATGGAAGCCGTATCTGCACTCAATTTGAACACATTGAGGAGACATAACGGTGGAAGATATTCTGTTACAAACGGATCATGTCAACCATATGCATAATGGACACCGCGATTTTGGTCAGACAATCGACCGAGTTGAGTTTCTTGCATTTCCAAGACTACAAGATATGCTCGCTATTGTAAAGGATGCATCGATCACACAGCTGTGTAAATAGACTTGGAAAGCTCCATCAAATATAGTGCGCGTATTAAGCTAGGTTCAGCTAGTTGACCGACTCTAGTCGCAGGTGTTGGTGCCACCAGGCAGCTCCACGCACATGTCCGAGCCTTCATACTCGCTGACATCGTCTCGCTCTACAAGCGTCATTCCTTCTTCAGGAATACCGCGATCTTTCACAGCCGAGACATCCACTCTGGACTGTTCCTCACTGCGTTTCTTACTGCCCCTGAACAGGTGAAGCTTGTAATCTGAGCCCATTACCTGGTCATAATCGTCCATTCTATATTCGGGATGGCCGCCAATATGTTCCTTGATATTCCGGTCGCAGATTGAGAAATCTGGAGGATCTTTAAACAACGCCTCACAATACCCTCCTCGCCTATTACAATTTGTCAGTTTAAAACCCCTGCAGGAGGAGCTTGGCCTTGTCTACTTACGAGTAACCTCTGAAGGTGATCCTGATCCAATCACCACGGTTGATGGGTGTTGCCTGACGTGTGCTTCTGAATCTGCCTCCCAGACTTGAGCCTTGAGCTATTCATGAGAGGGTCAGCCGCCATGATTCCTTGTCAGATCTTGAATGTGTATAGAGTACCTCTCTGCTCTGCCATGGTTGTCGGGAACAAGTGTGCCCCTGTTCCTCCCTGGGCGAGGCTCTCCCAGGGAAACTCCTCGCCACTGTCGGTTGAGTCATCCAGACGTTCCGCATTGCGCTTATCAAGCTCGCCGGTGTGGAATGGTGTGAACTTTGCGCCCGATTGTTGGTAGTGAGTTCTCCTCTCGGAGGGGTCTTCGATTCTTTGGCTGTTGTTCATAGATCAGCATGGTTGCATCTTATGGCTTTCGCGTGGTAGAATAATTGGCTACACACAAATCTCTATTACCGCCCAAGACGCAGAGCATGACGTAGCAGTTGAATTCGGCAGATAGCGGCCATCCCGTGACATCGAACGAGGCTTCAATGGGTTCCGCCTGGTCGCCTGTCGCCCGTGGCTTTATGTCTACATTGGTAGGCGTCCCTGCAGTATCAGACTCCAGAATTGGAGTTGCCAATGATGGAGAAGCCGCAAGGAAAAGCAGAAGGGCTTTGGAGACTGAAGAAAACTTCGATGGCATCTTGTGAGTATTTATTTGATAGTAGTAGTAGAATCAAGATATGTTTTTGAGTGATTTGATTACGATTGATTTAGGGTCATTGTCAAGACACTATATACCTACATGAGGATTCTGCGTCTTCATCATCGCTCTATATTTCTCACTGATCGGGTTCTATACTTTGAGTATGATGTCAATCTCGTGCCATAGGAGTAATGGAACCTTGCTATAATCGTCCTTCGAGATGATCCCAATGTAACTTGGTAACGTATGTTTGAAAATAGAAGACTTACAGATACAGTGTCTTATCGCTGCAGATGATATCATGTTTCAAATGGAATATACTATATTGAATTTGAAAGGAATCTCGCTATGCCGAGTTAAGGATCAGAGGCAATCGGCATCATGCCAATAACATTGTCTATTGCAAGGCATAAACGATAGTGACATATGTCTAAATACACGATGCAATCTAACCGTGCCGATTGATCCGAAGATCTACACGGTCCGAAAGCCTGGGTCCGAATCCGCTGAAGATACGGTTCGCTTCCTGATGCTGGATCATCCGGGCCGAGGTGGCAATGCTCAGCTTCACTTCAATGTTTTGTTTGGGGCGATGATGTGTTACGGTGACCATGTTATGTCAAGGGCTGCAGGGATGCCTAAATCCTGGGGGCGGGGTGACGATTTAAGGGCACCTTTTCTTTGACATTCCTTTTCTCTCCCCGTTTGGCACCCATTTCGAATCAAACAATAATTCCCACAATTTCACACACACCACCAGTACTCGTCCTAAGAGAAACATTTCCGAGAAAGAAAGAAAGCATGGGCATCCTACTCTTTTGCACGGCTGAAGAAGCCAAATTGGTCAGTGTCCATGTCTTGTTATTTGAGTGATGTCAACAGAGAGCGGCTAACCGGGTTGATGCATAGGTCGTTCCTGAAATCTTGGCGACGGAGCAGTCGCAAGGCATCGATCTCTACGTCCTTGCGCAGTATCGCAATCCTGACCAAGCTCGACAAAACAGTCTTGTCGAGCTCAAGGATGGGGAGACTTTCGAGAATGACTTCATTGGTGCCCACGAGACTGACTGTCAATCCTGGGCACGAGAGCAAATTGCACTTGACAAGTCGCTCGACGCTGAACTCATCGCCATTGCGGACCAGCGTAGCGCCCGCGACAAGACAATAATGATGCAATTCTTCAACAAAAAGCCCGGCATCGACTTTCCGCCCTACGGCATTCTCCCACCCGAGGAGGAAGCATGGTATAGCTTCCGGATTCCCGCCAAGGACGCATTCACCTTGGTCGCAGCTCTTACAGAGACCGCGCTCGATGTGGCGTATCCTGTATACTTTGGGCGGAAGGATGAGTTTACTAATGAGCAGGGAGTGTTTGAGGTGCATAGAGCAGATAATGCAGCTGCTGGGGAACACGAGAGGGTGGCTTGATCCTTCGGCTCGGCAAGCCGCTATGATATCAGCCAGGATTTTAGGAGATATGTAACATTGGCATCCAATCACCAGAGTCGTGAAATCTATAGTAAAGAGATTACGCAATACTATAATTCGGAATGTTGTCCTTGTACCATCATTGTCAATCACTATTCAACTCCATTCATAATGCGGTAATTGATGATTGCGTTTATTTTTAGCCGCACTAATCCACACTTCTATCTTTTTCCTGTTCGAGCAAAACATTCCCTGTACTCTTCATCGGCCTCCAGTGGTATAACCAAGTGACGCAGCAAGGGCTCTGCCGACATCTGGATATATAATGCCAAGGGCCTTCAACAATTGTCTGATTATTTTCCCAGACATTCACCAAAACATTCAAAATTATTTTTGTATCATCAAATTTTCACATCATATAACTATCACTTCATCTTTTGAGAAGGAAAAAAAAAAAGCCAAGTCACAATGCTCACTTCTTATATCTCTCTCCCGCTAATGGCATTTGCTCTGTCTGGTGCCCTCAGCGCTCCATCATCAAATGTTGAAGCACTAAACCCTGGTTCAGCAGCCCGTGACGAGACTGGCCTGGTCGACTTTGGAGGCAAGCTCGACGACGAGGACAACAAGATTTCCAAACGCCAAACTGGAATGGTCGACTACGGAGGCAAGCTTGACGATAATGATGACAAACTTTCCAAGCGGGATGATGATCCTTTAGGACTAGGCGACAGCGACTACATATCCTCGTGCGGTAGCGAGTGGGTGCCTGTCGACGACTTTCAAAACAACGTGCGCTGGTACATGGGGTACCGCGAGGCCGTCAAGCTGTTTTGCACGCACATTACATCTGATTACGAGGGCAAGCCCGCCGTTGTGGCTCCCAAGTCCTACGCCGGAACGACCATTTACACCAACGACGCTCGAGAGCAGATTGGCCTGGCCGGTGGTGAGGACCCAAGTACAAGCACAAAGGTACTACCAGGCCACATTGAGTTCGAGATCCACAACAAGCAGAAATCTGGAGATCACATCCCTACCTGTGAGTACTTCCCTGGCGTGACTTGCAACTTTCTACTAGCCTTTTCTTCACACGCGTATTGCAATGCACACGGAACATACACTTTGTTTCCGCCCAACAGTCCCACCACACTGCCTATTTCACTTGCCTTGATTTCAACACCTATTGACGATATGTCTACCTCATGACAGTGGACAACTGCAGGTTCTACTTGATGAAGATGGCTACAGAAGGGCAGAGTTGTTTTGGAGATGACAACAATGATACCAAAGGTGGTACTTGGCAAGTGGGAAGCAAGGATGTTTCGTATCATGCACTGCCTAAGAAGAACTAAAAGCCTGTATCAGTTGAGGCTTCAATTTACTTGTATGATCTAGAAGAAAACATCACGCTCGCTGAAATGTTATATTTTTCACATAAAAGATAACAAATTTTGTTAATTGAAATGTTCTGTTTTTCATGTAGCCGAGGCCAGTACACCTGCTCTGAAACCAGCCAAGCCTGTGCGTTATGTCAGGCTCTCGCACCTCACTAGTGCTCGGAAGCCGGATCGATCAGCGAGCGATTTGTAACGCCGTTGCTATGATATTTCTCCGTCTCCATAATGGCGGCCAGAGAATTGATCCAGTCTTGAAGCTGGTTCACTGTGTAGTGCCCACCAGCAGTTGCAAGTTCCACTTCCAGATGACCTCCTGTCGGCCTGGCAGAAATCATAAGCACGTTATCTCCCATCAGTCGCCCCAGCGCAGAACTGCCCTTATACGATTTGATTTGGAGATTGATACCCGCAGATTGTGCCTCGGCATCACCAAGATCTTGATAGTGCGTTACGCAGCCAAACGACTTGACGTCTGAAGGCCAATCCGTGCAATCACTGACGATTTTGTCAAACCCGATTGTTTCATATGGAAGACTGTCAGCATGCTGCTCGTGGACCGAGGCCGACGCTTGTTGCCACGAGAACTCGCTATCGAGGGTCACCCTAACAGGGATAATATTCACGCATGGCCCGATGGTGTCTCGTACGTGGACGGGTAGCATGGCTCGTCCGGACACTAGTCTTCCAAAGGTAACATCCGAGGTTCCGGTGGCTCTGGCTAGGAATAAGGCGCAAGCAGCAGTAAACATGGTTGCAGGGGTGAAGCCAGTGGACGAACGAGGCATGGAGAACGTCTTATGCACTGCAATAGCAGTTGAGCTGCTGCTTGTCCTGTCCCCTCTCTTGTCAGACTTGAGTTTAGAGACTTTTGAGGACCGGAGTACCCCCGACCAATAGGTTCGACACGATCTTTCGTTGCTGGCTGCATGTTGAAGAAAGGAGGGAAAATTAACCAATCGTGGCTTTGTTTCGTTTCCTAGGAACGATACGAGAATGCGCATCGCGTGCAGCAGTGTTGTGCTGTCATACTGGGCATGTGACAAGCGCAGGATTATTCGTGGCGGGTCTTCGTGGCTTGCAAGGACACTGAAGCGCGTAAAAGGCGTACCGAGGACTCCAGCATGTTGGAGATCGTCCTCGCAGACTCTTGATGTAATGTTGTCGTGAGTCGTCCCCGTGGTTGAGTAGTGCAGAATCGTTGGGGGCAGTGCTTCTGTCAGGACCTGGTAGTATGTGCCTTGATGCTCGACGAATATGACTCGCAGGATCTCCATGTTATCCCACAGGAACCCGCAGACCTTGACTGCATCCGACCTTGTATAACCAGCAGGAAGATCGAATATGAAATGTGACCATTGTCGTGGGGGAGTCCTTCTCGCAAGATCAACGCAAGCAGTTTGCCAAGATGTGACCGGAAAGCAGTCTATCACGGAATTTGACGAACAAAGATGGCGAGGAAGCTCTTCGTGAAGAAAGGTATCTTGGCGGAGCTTGTTTTGCAAGAGCGAAAACCGTTCCACGTTTGCTCTCACTGCCTTGCCAACAGGACGTGCCGCTCTAGCAAGGTCGCAAAGGCGCGGCTTCTTGAACACTTCGGAGACCGTGAACGACAAGCCTTCTTTACGCGCTGCTGAGACGAGGCGCATTGCCGCAATTGAATCGCCACCTATCTGCAGGAAATTATCTTCAGTGCCAATCTGATTTTTGGTCCCGAGAATAGCGCCCCAAAGCTTCTGCAATTGTCTCTCTGCGTTTGTCTCGGGCTGTCGCTGGTGTTCAGCTTGTGCCGCAGATACAGGAGTTGTGAGCTGCTCCAGTTCGAGTAAGCTGCCAATCGTACGAAGTTTCTTCCGATCCAGTTTGCCATTTGGGGTTATAGGAATGGTCTTGATCGCCAAGTAGGCTGCTGGGATCATGTGGCGTGGTAGTATGTCGACGAGTTTATGCCCCAAGCTGACCGTAAGGCTGTGATCAACAAGTCGCAGACCTTCGCGCGCGCCAAAACTAGCCTGCTCAGTTTCTACAAAGGCCGCAAGCATTTCATTGCTTGTGCCCTTTGGTGTAATCACCTCTGCCACGACCTGAGTGGCCGTCGAGCCTAGAGCAACGAGACTAAGCAGTACGTGGTGCTCGATGTCTCCCAGCTCGACTCGCTGGCCTCTCAGCTTCACTTGGGAGTCTTTACGACCCATGTACGTCAGTGTTCCATCTGAATTGTAGCGGGCTAGGTCGCCCGTTCGATAGAGGCGGCCTCTGCGACCGCGATGGCCAGGGGCGCCGCGTAGGAGCCACGGAGGGTCAACGATGAATGCCGCCGCCGTCTTTTCCTCGTCATCCAGGTATCCCCTCATGAGTCCAGGTCCCTGTAAAACCAGTTCTCCGACTACACCGATTGGTGCGAGGGCACTTGGGTTTTCCCTCTCGACAACCCAGCAATTGCAGAAGAAGTTGGACCCGATAGAGCCAGTGTTCCATGCTGAACGTTTTACAGGTGTCTGACAAGAAAGTGCGCACTCGGCAGGACCGTACCAATTGAAAGTATTCACCTCGTCAGCCCACTTGGCAACATCAGCGTCCGTCACGGCCTCACCTCCAAGTACCAGCGCCTGGAGATTGCGAGCAGAATCCGTGGGGATGGTCCTTGCCACAGATGGAGGCAGGAACACCCAATTTGCCCGGGACTCTACAAGTGATGCGGCGAGATCATTCTCCCTAGCGTATTCGGATGGAATACAAAGACAGGCTCCAGACGTCAAGGCAATAAATGTGTCGTAGATGCTGACATCAAACAAGTACGACGAAAACTGGAACAGTCGCGTGTGGGGCCCTACGCTGAACTGCTGGGCGGCCCGGAATGCTGTTGTTGAAATGCAAGCGTGGCCTAACAGGATCCCTTTTGGCTTGCCAGTTGTGCCAGAAGTAAATTGTACGGCAACAGGGGTAGACAAGCTGCCGCGGTAGGGCAGCGAATTTGATGTCACTCCTCGCTCTTCAAGAACAAGATCTCCAGGGCAAAGCGTAGGTGTGGTTCCAAAAAGATCCCTGTGCTCCAGCGATGTGATGACCACTTTTGGCCTGACGGCATCCAATATAGCAGCCAGCCTGGCACGTGGAAGCGATGGCGTTAGCAGAGTAAAGGTTCCTCCTGCTTTCAAAACCCCAAGCATCATGACTGGTGTCCATTGAGACTTCTCGAAGCACAACGGTACCACGACTCCCGGCTCTATAGCATCACAGTGTACGTCAGCAATTTGTTTGTAGTTTATGTAAAGAGCCACTCACCAAACCCAAACTCATATAGCTTGGCGGCTACCCAGTCCGATTTCATCTCCAGCTCGCTGTACGTAAGGTCCCCATCGAACGCGCTTATTGCCACGGCGCCGGGCTGCTTTGACGCAGTCTCGGACACGATATCCTGTACGCACCTATCCAGCGGCTGTGGTACGGATGCATTCCAGCTCCACAGGCTCCCTAGATCCTGCGCGCTCATTGTTTCAATCGTCGAGAGGCACTTGCTCCCCTTTCCAGGGATGCACAGCTGTCGCAAAACAGTCTCAAATTGGTCAATGATTCTCTGCATCTGGCTTCTCGCAACAATGTTCGAGTCAAAGCTAGCTCGCAGCAGTACACCTTCACTTTGAAGCTGGAACTCAAGCAATAGTGCATACGGATTGAAAGTACCAAGCCCCCAAGTACCTTCGAAGCCCGCTTCGAACAGCTGATCTGGCTGCGTTGGTTTGCGGCTTGGGGGCTGAATCACGATGAGGGTCTGAAACTGGCAAGCTCGCTCTGATTCTGCGCAGATGCTTCGTATCCATTGCAAGCCCATCTGCTCCACTGCCATCGTATCCAGCGACTGCTCTTGGATGCATTGCAATAGCTGCTCCACAGTCTGATTGCGATCCAGCTGTATCCGAACTGGTACAGTCGCAACTGTTGGCCCTGTCATTAGTTCCACGCCAGGCACATTCGCTTGCCTGCCCGTCACGGTCATGCCGAAGAGGGCTTCAGACGAGCTCGTATACTGAGCAGTCAGAATCGACCATGCCGCCTTGATCAAAGTCGCCGGGGTTGAGTTTCTGCTCGGCCACCGCAGATCCAGAATGAGGTGTGCAATTTCTCCATCTGCCTGTGGTTGGTATGTGGCAGTCGGCAATTGGGGAAAGACTTGAGCTTCCATGTTCTGGAATTGTTGACGCCAGACATTCCTTGCCTGGGCTTTGTCAAGGTTCTGGACATGGTTGATGAACGCTTGGAATGGTGGGGGAGGTGGCATCGATTCACCCTGGTATATCCTCATGGCCATGTCAAACACCAAAGGTACGGACCAGCCGTCGCACATGGCGTGGTGTATTGTCAATCGAAACAACCTTCTGTTATTTTCGGACTCTGTGACCACCTCAATTCGTGTCAATGGTGTTCCGAGTCCCATGGCACGTTTATTATCGCACTGTGCCGCGGATATCCATTCTATCCCTTCATCAATCACTGCCTGCATGAGGCCATGGCTTCCAAGGTCGACAATACGTGTACGTAGTCCTTGTGAAAGCGCCACGACTCTCTCCCACGCTGCCTTGAAGCGGCCTAGGTCAACGCCAGCTCGCATTTCTCGATTGACAAAAACCATATAGCTGTTGGGCTTCTTAGCACTTAGGGCCAACAATCCTTCTTGAAGTGGCGTGCATGGGAAAATGTCCTCGACCTGTGACACAGGTACGCCACATTGATCCGAGGCTATCTTGCGAAGTGATTCCATGTCACGGCCAAGGAGCGAGAATGGCGCCACGGTGATTCCGTCTGTCTCCAGTGATGATTCCAGCTTTGCGACTCTCGCCAGATCACGTAGTCTTGGTTGCTTGAAGACGTCGGCAACCTGAAGAGAAAGATTTTCCTACATTTCCGTGTGGGCTCAGTATACGTCATCTAAAATTATACAGTCTCAAAGGCTCACCTCTCGTGCTGCTACTACAAGCCGCATAGCTCCGATCGAGTCGCCTCCTATTCGCAAAAAATTGTCATCTGCACTCACAGTACAGACATCAATATTCAGGACGGCTGCCCATAATCTTTGAAGTTGCTTCTCCGTTGTCGACTCTGGTGGTCTCCAAGGCGCCCGTGTCAGGTTCATGTCAGATAGCTGCCTCACTGTGAACCCAGCTCCCCATTGCCGTAGCTTCCGTCGATCTGTCTTTCCTGTCTGGGTCATGGGTATCTCATCCACTGGTAAGAAGAAAGAGGGAATCATGTATATAGGAAGTGCCTGCATCAAGTCCTCCTGTACGTGCTCAATGGTCGCCTGGGATGCGTCGGGGCTGACGAGAAAGGCAGTAAGCATGGGGTTTTCGCTCTCTTTGGGCTTCACCATGTCCACTACAAGTTGAACTTTCCAAGCTGTTGGCAGGCGCTCGAGTATCTGCTGTTCAACCTCGCCCAGTTCGACTCGCTGCCCACGGATTTTGACTTGTGCGTCCTTCCGACCGACGAAAAGCAGGGAGCCATCGTTGGAATTATCATAGCGTACCAAATCCCCGGTTCTATACAGACGCCCAAGGCGGCCTGGATATCCAGGCCCTCCTCGCGCCAGCCAAGAGGGGTCCTCAACAAAGGCTTCCGACGTCTTGGTCTCGTCATTAAAGTACCCTCGACCTACCAATGGACCTTCGACCCACAGTTCTCCAACCGACCCGACGGCCGCTAGCATAGAATCATCCTCACCATCCACAATCCACACGCGTACGCCAAGGCCATGTCCCAAGTTTGAGCAGGTTGCCGTGTCAGTCGATACGGTACTGAGGATTGAGCACTCGGAAGGGCCATATGCAAAGCGCACCGTAGTCTTTGATCGCATTCGAGCGACCTGGAACGGATCCGCCGCCTCTCCAGCTAGCTCAATCGTATTCAGGATGCCTAACGCCGCTTCATCAAGCAAACCGCATATCTTTGGCGTCAAATTTGCAAAGTTTGGTTGAAGCTGGCAGATGGACCTAGATAGGTCGTTGTAGCGAGACTCCTCTGAGGGGATACAAAGACAACCGCCGGCGTAGAAGGTGTGCAGGACATTGTACCACGCTGCATCGAAGGCGTAGGAGGCAAAGTCGAGCACCCTCGAGCTTCTTTTGAATCCCAACCTTTCGGTTTGGTGGACTAGGGCGCTACTAAAGTTGCGATGTGTGATGATAACGCCTTTGGGTGTGCCTGTGCTTCCCGAAGTGAAGACCAAGTATAGAGCATTGTCGGGCCCGACTAGCGTTGATCGTAGATTAGGTGTTGACATGGGTAGCCGATCCAGGCTTGCCTTGTCGAGTGTCACAATGGTACCTGTATGTGATATGCGGCTTGCAAGATCCTTACTTTGCTTCGAAGTCAGAATGATTTCTGGCATGATTTGTCCCATTATAGTTTCGAGTCTTGCTTCTGGCTGGGTCACATCTACCGCGCACGATGCCGCACCAGCCTTCATCACGGCCATCATCGCCACAGGCATCCACATGGACTTTTCGAAGCACAATGGTACAACAGTTTCTGGCCTCGCCCCAAACGTGATCAAGTAGTTGGCTAGACGAGAGGAGAAATCGTCCAGTTCTCCGTAAGTGAGGCTCCCGTCCCATGCGCATACTGCTTGATGTTCGCGGACGATCCTCTCGGAGATAATTTGGTGTACACAGGCATCGATAGGCTCCGGTACCACGGCATTCCAACACCATATTTTGCTAAGGTCTTCATTGGAAACAGAACCATGGTATGGTTTAGTTGAGACGTTGTTATCTTCTGATGTGACCATCTTGTATTGAAACGTATACAGCAGAAGTGCGAATAATGCGCCACCATCAAGATTGCTCTACTTCCAGGCGCAATTGCTTTCTTTTTTCTAACTATGAGAGTGAGTAAAGTTAGATAATACCAAGCATACGGCAGATACCAACTCCGAGATGTATTTGCTATACCTACAGACGCATGTATGCGGGTATAGTTCTCGGGTCAGATTATGTGATTGATGTCCGTCTCGGCTATTTTGGCGGAGCAGATCGCCGTCTGACTCGGTGAGATTGTTCATGCATGTCAGAAAGGCATTCGGCGACTTGATTACACTGTTGAATATGCTTGATCAATCCTTCTACGTAAACTATTACATAACAGTCAGCGTGGGGACTGCCCGAGGATTCCGGGGGAGCGCAACTACGGGGCATTACTGTCAAGTGGGATCCCGCGCTCGACGCGAATGAGCATGGTCTAGTGTCTATCAATCCAACACTTCTCCAACCTCGATTCTTGTGTTACTTTGATTGCTCTTCTTCGGAATCTCATCGTTGCTTGAGGACATATACAGCTTCTTTTCATATCTATTGTCCAGAATACGCAAGCCAAAGCCATGAATAACCAGTCCACACATGATGGCATCAGAACCATCGACATTTCGCCTTTCCTGAACAGCGATGATAATGCTGTCAGGAAAGCGGTCGCTGATGATATCATAGATGCTCTCCACGTTCAGGGGACCTGCGGCATCATTGGCCATGGAGTTGGCAAGCCCAGGCTGGACGAAGCGTTTGGTTGGGCAAACAAATTCTTCGCTCTTCCATACGAAGAGAAGATGAAGGCAAACCATCCAGACGGTATCGTACCTCACCGTGGTTTCTCTGGTATAGGGAGGGAGAAGTGCTTCATCTACACAGAGGATGAACTCAAGTCCATGTCAGGCGAACTCAGTGCAACATCCCAGAAGCCTCTTGACTGGAAGGTACGCCAACATACAGCCACAGCCACGAACTCGCTAATATTGATGCAGGAGCATATGGACATCGGGAGCGACCAAGAGAAGGTGCACCATAATCTCTGGATCGACGAAAAGGCACTACCTGGTTTTCAAGCCTACTCGCTCGGTCTGTATTGGGAGCTTGAGCGGCTCAGCAGTTCCGTTCTCGACGCCTTGCTACTGGGACTGGATGTCGACGAGAAAGGAACCGCGTATTACCGCGACGTCCACACGGGCCATCAGAATGGCCTGCGATACATCCATTACCCCGAGATGCGCGAGGCTGATATCGACCGCACGTCTACCACATGGTGCCCAACGCACACCGACTTCACCACGTTTACGCTCCTCTTTCAAGATGGAAAGCAGGGGCTGGAGATTGAGGATAGACTTAACCCAGGCACCTTCATACCCGCCACGGCGGAAATCAAGGACAGACTGTGGTTGACAATCGGTGATTTTGGAGAAATATGGAGTAATGGATACTTGCCTGCATCGAGACATAGGGTCGTGATTCCGCGTCCCGACGATGGGAGGGAGTATACCCACCCGCGTTACTCGATGCCATATTTCATCAACGCTAGGCATGACTCGATCTCAGGCCCACAGTACACTGGGAAACCGGGTACCATGCCAAAGGGCGGCTTCAAAACTGGAACGGTCAAGGAACACATTGACTTCAGGATGAAGTTTCAGTACTAGGCTTGGATGCACAAATTAAGAAGACACGAAGTGATTGTATTAGGACAAAGGCCATAGTTGACGTAGCTTTCCAAATTGATTTGACTGCTTCTGAATCTAGTAGAGTGTCTTGCTGATCAATGCAATATCGAAGATTAGTATGGCCTGAGCTTGCAAACAGAAACTCCTGGTGATGTTCCCAATCTAAAGAAATTTCCTCGATTCATAGTTTGAAGCTTCATGGAGCCTAATTGAATGCATATGAAAGAATCCCGTGTCTTCCAAACAGCTGGCTAGCGCTGACCTCCGAAAATCACGACAAGAGGCAAATGATAATGGAAACAATGCATCTTTCCCACTAAAGCCTAGGCAACAAGTCTAGCATGAGGAAATGTAATTTTATTGTTCCAGCTAAACATATGAACAATACCTTAAGCGAACTCTAGATATAATAATCCGGGCAAGACCCTCCAAGACTTCATATACTAGAAATGCACTCTATTTCTGGTGTAGTGAATGCAAAAATGCAGTTCTGTTCCTCTGAAGCTGCAATGCCGTCATATCCTCATACTTGGGGGGATGCTTTTCGTCGATGAACTCCGGAAGAGGGCCAACGTTGGTGGATCGGCTCGCTTTGAAAAAGAAGATGTGTGTGTAGCGCTCGGGTACGATACTGTCTCCTGGCATGCCTCGCATATTCTCGGGTGGAGCCACCTGGTGTACACCAGCTGGGATCTGGTCGTTTGCCCACCTCTGGAATGTCTCACTAATGTTGACAGCCAATTCACTGTGGGACCCGGGCGCGTTTGGCGGAACTGGCACGAAGGTTCCTAGGTCGGAGCGATCCTCCATCTCGAGCCCGCCAACATGATCCTGGAAAACTAGAGTAATGATACCAAAATCTATATGAGGCCATCCCCTCTTGGAGCCGCCGCCCAGAAGTTGAGAAAGTGGGACAGCGGGATAGTGGTTGAGGCGCAACTCGCTAGCCGTGTCCGCGCATTTGTCACCGAGGCTACCGTGAGGAAAATCAAGACCAATCTCCATAGCCTCGATTATTTGGAGACTGACGTGCTGGCACAAGTCAAAAAATCTTTCCACTACAACAGCATGTGTTAGCAATTGTCTTTTCTGGTAGATAATGAGTTTGAAGAAGCTCTTGTGAGAAGTTTATCCGAGTTTTCTTTCGTGAAGCGCCAATTTGGGCAATGCTTGCTAATGAGACAACCCAGAGAAGTGGAGAAATGAGATCGGAAGTTGCTTACTGAACTCACGGAATCCGGGCAGGGCATTTTCACGAGGCCATAGGTTCGGGTACTCAGTATCGTCTGGTGCGCTGCAGTCGAAATGTTCCTGCCAAACGAAAATTAGTATTTTGGCTTGCCTTGCCGTCATTATTCAGCACAAATCTAACAGACCTTTTCGTCTTTCAGATCGAGGGCGGTGCCTTCCTTCAATCTCTCCGGTCTCAGGTATGCTGTAGTTTCGGCACCCTGACGACTCCATCCTCGTTGTGGTGCGTCCCGGGGCAAGTTGGCCATTGCCACCTTTTCTTCGAATGATAAGGCAAACAGCTCAGAACTCTTAGACCTGATTAGCACGCCAAATAAAAGTCTTGTTGCTAGGTTCTAGTTCGACTTTCGCATACCCACTTGAACATATCAGCTGTCATCTCCTCACTGATGCCATAGTTGATGAATTTGGCAAAGCCATGATTCTTCAAACTTCGAACGAGGTCGCGGGCCAACCCTTTCTTCTGTACCTCGCTTCCATGAGTGAACTTGGCAAAGTCTAGAGTTTGTAGGGGCATGTTGGTAAGGCTGTGAAGACTGTAAGAAGATGTCAAAGGATAATGAATGATATTTCATTGGTTGTTGGGTGATTGAATTCGTCGGACCATTCCACGTCTCGCCAGCTGCTCAAATGCCCGTAGGTTCCCTTCTTTACTTGAACATAGTTGACTCCTTCCTTTGCCATGGCCCATACCACTGTCTTACCAAAACAATGTAGAGAGCTCTCCTCCGGACTCGCGTTCGGATGGGGTGCATAAAAGCACCGACACCTATACAAGTCGCCGATGGATATTAGACATGATGTTCAAATCATAGTGGATGCTCAGTACGGCGCGAAGTGTTTAGGGTAAGCCATGCCCCTGGAGGCTCTACCTTCGCGTGTACGTTGTTGCGAGTTCTGCGGTTTTAGGCGGTAAGATTTCCCAATATGGCCTACCCGAGTCGATCTGCATATGCAGTGTTGATTACGGCGGCTTATATTACGCCTCCCGCTTCCCGCATCGTATACCCCTCAGGCGGCCACCCTAGGCACGGGGCTCGGGGAAAAAACGCCATGTCTAAACAAACGTCATGTCAGATGTGTCAAGATTACCCCGGGGTGCAGCTCATGTCAAACAAAATGCGGGGTGAAGCATTACACATGCACAGTATAAGACAGAATCGACACACCTTGAATGGACTGGATCCTTCACAGCCAGCCACGCCGCGCGAATCCTACCGGACTCCGGATGCTCGGGAATACCCGCCTCATCTTCAGGGTAAAAGGCGGTCTGCTTAAGCCAATATAATGGTACAAGACGGGGAAATTGAGACCTTGAGTCGTGCGTAGGGACGAATACGACGCTTCATACCCATCGATACCTCCAAGTAGCAATGGAACAATCACGACAGCGCTTCGCCTGCGACCGTTGCCATACGCTGAAGCTTCGATGCCCGCGCGTGGAATCGACGGGCGCCTCATGTGCACGGTGCTCCAAGGCTGGCAGTCTCTGCGTATTTTCTGCACCCGCGCGATTGGGACGGCCGCTAGGATCGTCCCAGAAATCACTAAACAACAATACTGCTCCCGCCAACCATCATCAGCCGACCGCAAATGATGCCGTGCTGATGGAACACATCGGTACCATCTCCAACGACAACAACGATGGTACAGACTCAACCACGCCATTGGACGATTTTCTCCCAGATATGCTGTCTACCGATGCCGGTGAGTGCTTCCCTCACAAATGTCATCAGCCGCATATTCACATTTCTTGAAGCTTCCATGGATGCTTGGAATAATGCCTCAGTGTTGCTCGATAATGGTCAAATGTCAGTCGTAGCCCAACACGATCTGCCTTTGGGACCTCTGCAATTCAGCCCGACCCACAAATTCAGCACAAGCCGTTGCTCTGCTGTGTCACCCGAGCATCAGCGACACCTGTCTAATACCATGTTAGATCAGTATGAGGTTGGGAACACTGTGGAAAAGTGCCTCGAGTGTAGCACAGCCATGATGCAGACCGCTGCCCTGGATGCCGACGGGGACACCATTCAGGACATTATGTCTCAGCTCTCTTCTCTCATTGTTGCTAGTCATGGGCATAGGAGACTGGCTGACGGCCAGCTACGCCTCCTTCAGCTCCGCCTTAAACACAAGCATGCTGTCGTCGACGAAGCTTTAAGTCGGTCGGTAATACCCGAAGACATGACCACAGCTAGCGACTATTTTACCACTCGGAACTTGATAAGAACACAGCAGTCATTCAGGGATGTCATTCGGCGGGCGACGAGGGTGACGACTGACAGTGACGGACATTTCCCATCGCCTGTTGCGAGCTCGTCTCGTGGCGATATTGATGCTGCACCGAGTAGTCAATCTTTCGGCACCATCGACAGGCGGTATACTACAAAGTCGACAAACACTAGCCCAACCCAACGCCAACCCACAATGGAGCAAAGTAAGACCAGTCAATACAATGATTACCGGAACGAAACGTCTCACAGCTGTGTGCTGGCATTGAAGCTGATTCTCAACTGCTACTCAGAGATCCTCGATATCTTTGCCACGACGTTTGCCATGATCGAAACCACCATCAACCATTATCCTTCGTTCCTACCAATTAGTCTGACAGTCCCAGCTTTTCTACCGAGCTCAGGAAACATGATGGATGCATCTTTCTCGATATTTACTGCCAACCAGCTCACACAACGGCTTTTCGAGATGACGAAAAAGGATATGCAAGATATGTGGGATCGTCACAATGCACATTTGCTGCAAGCCGATGGAGATTCAAGTAGCGGTGATATGCCTCCAAGAAGAGTTCGCAGCAGCTTACAAGACTCGGTCATCCAAATGACTTTCCAGTTAAGCTGGGAGAAAGAGGCCTCTATAGCGCGAGTAATAGAGGATATAGGCGAAAAGCTGAATGAACTCATGGATATGTCCTGACTAGGAGGCTGAACCTCTTGGTCAATTATTGCCGAGGCTATAAGCGATGTTTGTAAAAGAGTGAAAGCTCTGACGAACAATCCCTGGAGGGAAGCCTGCCGCCCTCAGTAGACCGGATACGTTTGCATAATGCCTGACAGCGAACGAAGTATTCCCTGGTGCCTTTACAGCGGGAAGCACGTCATATAACAGGGACACGGAATCGTGACTGTGGATCCGTTGATCCCACATGCTTTGACGATGCCTTCCTGCCTCAGCTGCGCCTATGCTCTCTTCTATAGTAATTTATATTGGCAGAATCGTTCTAATCTTGTGACCAAGGAACTAGCCGGCCATCGGTGACTTTCTAAAGACATTGGCCGCCAAAAGATAAGCTAGCAACGATCCTCATGTGCAGTGCATGAATTCAAAAATAGTGTGCCACGTCATATTGCCATGTAGTCGCTGCTGGCCGGGCATAGATGCTTTCGGTCGGGGACTTTTGGGACAGCCTTGGCTGGTTCAACCCTTGATTGGAGCTCGCTCTCTCACGGCCTACCGCTTGCCAAGCGCTGTTTAGAACTCGGCGAGTTTCTGCACGTACTTTGTTAATGAAGTAACAACAAATTACAAATAAACTAGGAGGAATGAAAACTCATCAGAATGAAGATGTAGCTTATTCCAAGCCAGACTCATAAGTGAGACTTTGATCAAAATTGCTTCATTATCGAACCACAGGAAGTCGACAGGATAACAAGGGAGGTTGACCATTGACAATCAAGATGGCTGCTACTATGGAGACATTCATGAACAAGACAAAGGCTGAAGACGACAATGTCCCGGAACAGGCACGGCTAGAGGACCAGCATGACACGATCATGTATTCCATGGGCGGGAAGGCATTGTATGCACCGATTGATCTGACCAAGCCAGGACTTAGGATTCTGGACTCGGCATGTGCCAACGGTGAGATTATTTCCCACCTAAAGAATATCATCTTTTACGGCCTCTAACAGCAATACATAGGCCGTTGGATCAAAGATTTACAGGCATATTCCCCCGCACCCCACAACTATATCGGCACAGATGTCGTGTCGTCGCTGTACCCAAACCCACCACCCACGCAAACTCACTTCCAGGATCAGTCGATCAAGGAATCTTTCCCTGATGCATGGCAGGGGACCATTGACGTTGTGCATCAGCGGCTGGTCATGGCCGCTGCGGCCCCTGAGCGAACACCGATTGATGTAGTCAAGGGTCTTGCCGGCCTTTTGCGACCAGGTGGTTGGTTGCAGATGGTCGAAGTGAGCACGACGCCAGTTCAAGGCAACGGAACGGCTGTCAATCAATATATCGACATGCTGGATACTCTGTATGCGAGGCTGTATAGTACCTCGGACCATTTCAATCGCTCCAACTTGTGGGGCGGTCTTCCGCAAGACATGAAGAATGCCGGATTGACTAATGTGGCCAAAGAAGAGGTGCTCGTTGCGTATGGAGCGGCGGTGAAGGACTCATCTGTGAGGGAAAAGAGCATCAGGACAGCAGTTGCAGGAGTGCCCAACTTCCTGGCAGTACTTCGAAGTGAGTAGTCTTCTCGGTGCTAGGCAATATGACATGAAACTCTACTAATGATCTGCAGCCATGCCCAAGGCATTGTGGAAAGATGCTTGGGAGGATTTGCCAACCAGATTACACACCGAACTAGTAGAGACTGGTGGTTTCGTAAAGTTCATTGTATGTTGGGGCCAGAAATAGAACGCTTAAGATTTAACAGGAAGACATGATTTGCCATAGAACACTATAGAGGGTTGAAATCACGAGCTCCCCTGCCAATTCGGATTTTCAGGAGAAGTCATGGCAAGGGAATATTCAATAGTTGAATAGACCAGGTGTATCAATGATTAGTAACCCCTAGAAAATGCTATGTATTTTTTTTTCTTGGGGGCGCGTATCTCATTCCCATGATGTCAATCAAGATCGTCTTTTTTGATAGAAATTCTTGATAGGCATATTTGCCCAGAATCTCGCCTCCACCTGTGCACGTGATTCGATGTTGGATAGAATTTGGCTACGTTTAGTGTTTTTTCACCTACAAAAATACACAGAAAACTACAGAACTAGACAATAGGGATTGCCGTATAACAGTTGCTTTCGAGGGGCGTCGGACTGACGTCGTCTGACTGTGGCTTGGCTGAAAAAGGATTGATTGGATATGGTGGGCACCGAATGTTTGTAAAATCCGGGGCAGCACTCGGCGATTTTAGTGGGTTCTGCTCAGGTACTGCAGCCACTAACAATAATGAACCGAGTTGCTGAAGGATTTTGCGTAATACTCGGCGATTACCTTAGGTACCTAGTAAATGCTCTACGTCTCCCTGGCGTACTTCATCGGTGCCGGGTGCGGCAAATTTATGTCGTCATTTGTTTAGCTGGCCATGGACTGAACCGTCACATTTACTGGGGAAGTCCTACAATGGACAGCGCTTTGCAGGGTTGTCACTCCGTGCAGCTGGCTTCACCTCCGTATCATATCTTTTTTTTTTTTTTTTTTTTGGGTCTTGGCATTTAGCTGGAGATACTTCGGACATGGCGTTTCTCTTCCCTTGCATCTAACAATTCACTATTTTCTCTTCCGCTAGTGGTGGCCTTTAGCTCTTTCTGGACCGCGGCGCCTGTATTAGCATGGTGATTATTAATTACATCCAGTGCCGCATATTCACGCTGGCCTTGTGGGTGACCGCGCGCTCATTTGCCATGCTGGCCGTCTACGCGGTGCTTAAGGGCATGTGCGGTAGTACTGTCGTGTCAACGACGACACCAGTGGCAGCTAGTATCCTAACCTAGGTGTTCGCGGTCTCGGTTCCGCGCTAGGCATGTCCTAGCTGGCTATGGCGGTCCCGTCGTCGTGTGCGCAGCCCATGGCCATCTCACTAGTCGGCTATTCCATATGTAGATACTTTGGGACGTACCAGCGCGAATGCGTAGGTATAGTATCAGTATTGGACTAACCGGCGGTATCTCGTTTGTCGGAATTATCGCTCTATGGCAGGCCAAAAGATATTTGCAGTTCGTGGAAGGTTTTCTGAAAAATGTGAGAAAGTAATTATAAGTGTATGTAATCTAGGCCCTTAACCTCAAACTAACCCTTATAACCCTTAGCTCACTGGAATTATAATGCAGCAACATGTGCATTGAGCAGAGATTGGCTACTAGCCTTCTTGAAGATTGTAATTTTCGACTTCTTCAAGTTATGAAGACGCATATACATGAAAAACTCCTATGATGAGAACAACGTTTTATAGATTTGAAATGACATCCGTAGGTATCGAGCCGATCGATGTCGAAGCCCGTGTAGGCATAAAACGCGACTAACGCTACCTACATCGCGGCCAATAATATCAAGTCCAAGCTCACGATAGATGCCATCATGGGAAGTGCGGTCTCAAGACGTGATATGGTTGGGGTAAGATAGATTAATGAAGGACACTGTCTCGTGAAATACGATTGCTGAGCCTGAAGAAAATCTACGACCATGGGTTATAGCCTCATTTTAAAAAAGGAAGTATTACAGAGAACCAAATCTGGAGTTACTATCCTCGTCGCCATTCATCTGGTTCGACTACGACATTATGGAATCCATCACAGAGACATGTCGTTGTCGGTATCAATGGCCAAGACCGGCTTCAACGCCAGCTTATGCATTTACATCGAGCAATCACATCACAGATCAAGTGATAGTACTGTTCCTGCAGCAACAACAATCACCGCCCATGCATTGGAAAAATGAGACGTTCGTCACGAACAGTTGCGCCTCCAGAATACTGCTTGGTGGACGACAAAATGTGAATCACGAATTGTCTCCGCCCTCCATATAAAATTTGTTGAAGATCCGCGTTCTCTCCCAATCCCAAACATCGGAAACATCACCACGATCTTCTACATTGCCAAGCATACCAGAGCTCTCACCAAAATAACCATCATTATCAAGAAGTAACATGTCTTTAGCACATCGACGCAATCGGCGCTTAGAGCCATACCATCGCCCCAGCTCGGATGGACGCGGCCGTGGATTCGACGAGGGCGTGTACCAGACAGCGCCGCAGCTCTTCGTGCATCCCAGTGAAACTGTCAATGGCGGAAATCTTCGGGTTCCTCAAATGACACCGACGTCACAGATTCGCGAGCCGGCCCGGGCCCGCGACACCTCCTCCCAGGACGACGCTGCCACTCCTGAAGAGGTGCGTCAGCGTCTGCAATGCGATTTCATGGGCGCCGCCAACAGTCTCGCCGCGGCAATTGTCGAGCTCCATGACCTGTCCGAGTTCCTGACCGACAGCTGTTTCGACGACCTCCGCATCGGGGCCATGCTGTCGCAGTTTGTCTTTCGCGAGACTGCGCGGCTGCGCGACGTGGAGAAGCACCTCTCGTATGCGCTCTACCACCTCGTGCCGACGCCCTTGGATATCGACTTTTGCCTGGGCTGCACGGTCCAGAAACGCATCGCGGAGATACGAGAGGATCACGGACGCTTGGCTGCTGGGCCCCTGCTGCGTGTTCAGGATCCCAGAGCCCACCCAGGGGATTACATGGTGGCTTCTGATGATGACGCTCAGACAGGTCCTCTGGCTGAAGGTGAGGTCCGTGGCCGTTCTGAGCACGAGACCGGTTGGGTAGGTGTCTCGGAGCAGGAGATCAAGTCTGAAGATGAAGCGCCTTTTCACCACTAGATTGTCCGACTGATGTACCTAGTTGGATAGTGAATCAAGATCGCTATGATAAGGGAATCTTAGAAAGTCACAAAAACATGAACAGATCTGAATGATTTTAATAACATAGCTTTATTCGATTTCTCGGTGTCGCATAGAGAGCTCACGTGATTGATGTAGTATTGATGCCACTCAAGTCACCCATCATCTCCAAAAATGGGGTTATTGGCTGATGACAGGAACGCAGCCGATTTGTCCTGCTCGAAACTTGAAGGCTTTGCGAATGAAGGCAGTCACACAGCTGCGATTGGCTGGAATCGTAGTCGGGATTCCTGCAAGGGGGGTGGTAGGCTGTGTTGGCAATGCGGAGATGCGACCTGGCACAATTGCCAAATATGATGCTTCCGCGGTTTGGTGGCCATATTACCCCGGCTTTAGAGTATAAATCAGTGGTGGATTGGGCAGCAATGCTTGAATGGCTGTAATAATGTTGGAGAGATTGGACCAATTCGAGGGTTTATACTAATGCACGACAGCATTGAATATTTGATCACATTTTATTTATACAAAATTGGGTTGAAATGACCGCATAACCTTCGTGCCCAGTCGTAAGAATGTTCGCTTGCCAATCCCCCCAGCCGAAATCGTCGCTGGGTGGCCTTGCTCTTTCCATCCTCAGCCATTGCCATAACGCCATGTCTCTGTTATCCCGTGCGCCCAGTGATAGTATACAGTTGGTAAAATACAAACGCCAATGACTCCATTAAAGAGAATAAATAAGTATCGCATGTTTTTTTTTTCCTTTGGTCATGATGCTGTGGTTGATCGAAGCGGTCGTTCAAACCACGCACTCGCTCACACAAAACGCCGGTGCTGGATTGATGCCCGTTATCTGTATGATCACATTTCGTCTCGTGGCAGAATTTCATAAAGACAGCACGTAGCAGGAACCCTAGGCAGCTGGAGGCGCCGCCGCCGCCGATGCCGAGGCACCGCTGTCTGATGCTTTTGAGCCCCTTGAACCTGACGACTTGCGATGGCGGTGATGTCGCTTTCGTTTCTTGATGCGGATTGAGCCGCGATAAATGTATAGAAAGGCAATGCTGGCAAGGACAAAGACGCCCAAGAGAACGCCAACTACGATGCCAATGGTGGTGTCGAGTTGGTGCGCAGTGGTTCGTTTCCGGAGTCCGGAACCGCTGTCTAGGATGGAGGCTGTCCAGGCGTGCAAGAGCCGTCCGAGCTCATGCTGAATCAATTGCCATGTCTCATTAGAATCGGATTGTTGCGGATTGGCATGACTGGTAACTTGATTGTAACTGGATCCTGGTTCGTGGCTATTCCCAAGGATGTACGCTCTTGGGATATGCATTGGTGCAATGTGAATAGAATCGGTGCTAATTGGGGTATTGCGAACTTGAATGGACGGACAGAGGAAGTGGAGCAGTAAACATAATGAAAAGTCAACAGAGAAAGGGAAAATCGGAGGGGGAAAATGAAACTCGGAAGCTGCATAAAGTCCAGAGGACGATGCTGGGCGGCGGAAGCACCTGATTTAAACTGACATCTGTACCACTCTTTCTTTTCTTTTCAGCCACGGGCTTTGATGCACGCCGGAGTCGATGGCATATCTCAAATGGGGGTCTCACTCGACTGTCATTCGCTGCTGATATGGGTGTTACAGCTCACAGCTTGCTGCGTAATACCAGCTGCTGCGCATGCAATGCGGGAATCGCTTCACGTTGGGATAAGTGCGTGCATCTCGTCTTGTTCTTCTATTCGTCCCGCTCGCGGGGAGACAGAGTGGGCTGCAGGTGGCAGAGAGGCACTAGAGAGGAGGGCACGCACTTGGGCAGGCAAGCGGCAACGGGAGACGGCGCCGGACTCGTGTTGTTGTGCGAGGATTTCAGGGTGTCTCACAGCTGAATGCGAGGTTGCGACATGTCAAGAAGCATCGGGACGAGACAAGTGTCTCGATAAGATCACTGGTACGAAATGGTATCACAATTTCCCGCCGATAAAAGTACAACAAACCCGAGCAAGTGCCCGCTCGTTTATTCCAAGAGATTCTCGAGGGGCCTTGTACATGACAGGGGAAGATATCGCGAATTTGGGGGCAGGTACTCTGTAGACCACTAGAAATCTGGGGGGAAAGCTGCATGCGACGGGTAAATTGGGCAGGAATTGGCGGGTTTTCTGCGCCACTTATAGGCGCAAGCTCAACTGGGCAGGTTTCTCCAGGGGCCTCCGCATTGCAGAAATCAACCAGAGGGAAACGGTGCCAACGCACGCTCCAGACCAGTGAGACGTGCAGCAAATAGACGAGGAAAATCGATGCAATCAATGGCATTTATCTCGACGGCCACTAATCAATACATGCATCGGGGGTCCCAGCCTGCATGAACCAGAGCATGCAAAGAATAGGTTACTTCGTGTGACTGGTTCATCTCTTCTTGAATAAATGTGTATGTAGCATCCTATTGCGGTTGACGCGATAAAGGCAGCAGGTGTGCTATAAAGTGGCAAGTTCTCGCATCTGATTGAAACCAGGTAAACCCCCCATTGAACAGGGTAAACGTATGCAGGGACTCTTGAGGCTCCCTTTAGGACAAACCAACGCCACGTGCACGGGTATATCCAGTGGCCTTCAAAAAGGGGATATCGACAAATAACGAAATCGGACATCTTGATGGGCTCAATCTACTGCTGTTGCGCCTATTACATTGGTCAGAGGATTATACAATTTTCTTTTCACGTTTTTCATCAATTTCCACTGCAGCCCAAGCGATGGCGTTCCTCATCCTCATCCTGTTGGGTGCCCAGTTTCTAGATATCAAATACGCGATCTATTCTCCTGTCTTTCGACCTTCCACGGGCAAAAGCAATATATATATTGAAAAGAGATATTCCTTTCATGGTCATTCTCGTGAGATCGTTACAGTCAGCGACGCCACCCTTTCAAGGCGCAGCCATCCTGGTGACGTACAACTCGAACTCACCGATCTAGCAACAACCCCCCCAGCATAGACGCGGAAGAGTTGAAATCTTGATCTGTGCCCAGAACGCGCCAATAATGTCTCGCATTCACTTCCAAGCTCTAGTTGCGATTGTATCACTCCGTCTGGGCAATCCAGTGGGGGATTCGAGAGATGCCGAAGGAATTCAAAATCCCTCTTCTCAATCCTACAACCTCATCCACATAAGCATTACATTCAAGTCGTTGCCTCTTCTGCCAAGAATCTAGACCATGTCCGGGCATCACGTCCCATCCACAAACTTACTGAAGGTGACTTGGGATTAGTGATATGATGAATCGAACTTGTGATCCCGAGCTTGTCGTGAACCGAAACGCCGCCGGATCCGGTCGTCGACCCTCTGGGCCGTCACTCCTCCAGAGGCAAAGACTACCAAGGCAGTAGTATATCGGTGATAGCAGCGCAATTGCATACGAGCATTGGTAACGAGGCTGAGGACGAGAAGTCCGCTAAATCCGAGAAGTGGTTGTCGCCAGGTTTGCCAGTGGTTGTCCATATGAATAGTAATTACTAAGCATGTGTTCATCTAGCGCCGCCCTGAAGGAGTGTATAAGGATGTAAGCACATTCCTTGTAATACATCTCCAACTTTGCACTAGTTCAAGGTTTTCAGGCACCCTTCTCAGATCTGGAAGCAACTGAAGTATGTTTTGGTCATGCGACACATTCCTTATGGATTGACAAGAAGATGATGCGCGCATCGGGCAATTCTAAATGAGATATGGACACCGCCGGTAGCTGATTGCGGTAACTACCATGATGTGTTAGTCTAATTTCTCACTATTTGGGTTGTTCCGATCGAGTGGTGTAGAGAACATTGGGTATGCCAAGTGACTGAATTGCGTTGTCCCCTGGCGATGATTACATTGAACATAATGTTTGCCCTCCAACACAATGGCCGATCTTCAGAATACGTAATTTCTATTGTCAGCACAGAGATCGACAAGCTGGGCAGGTACAGTCTGACATTGGCCCAGAATGGAAGATTGAGAAGAGATGGGAAATCAAGTCCTTTTCGTGAATCACCGACTGCCAGCCGGTCCCAACGAGCCATACAGGTAGGCATAGGTAGTATGCAGAGAAATGATGAACATAAAAGCCATCAAAACAACAAAAGATTAGCCCTTCTCCTGGAGGGTCATGTTCTCTGTACCTGATCCTAGTACCGCCTGGAATCCAAGATGGCTATAGAGTTGTCGTGCTAAGCCCAGTCCAGTCCGGGCAAGGAAAATCACACAATGGAGCACCCGGAAATGGCAGATTCCCCAAGAGCCGAACAAGGTTTATAGCGGACGCCAATAAACGGTGGGTGGCTTGGCGCTGGTCGGGAGGCTCATCCAAAGGCTTAGTGTACCCACGAAGACCACCTTTTGTTAGCCGTCGGACACCAAGCGAATCCAGGCAAGAAAAGAATAACTTCATGGACACCCCAGTGACTAGCGCCATTAGGAATCGAACCTAACACTCCATATACCCCCTTCCAGTGTTGCGTTCACCAACAAGGCAGGCACATTTTGAGTTTGAACCAAACATCACAAACTACGGGCAATTTTAGGGTACAGAGCATTTCGCCTTTTCCTTGCAGGCCTGACAGTTACAGAAACTAGGATAGCAGGTAACCCAAATAATTCGTTAGCAATGCATCGTAGCTCATAGCCCGTGCCGAGGGACCGAAATCGCCGAGACCCATCACTGATATGTGGTGGCCGCGGAGTGCGTAATCGCAGGTGAGGACTGACTACAGAGAAGGGCAAGAAACTTGTAGTAAAAGTCTGCAATATGAAAACTGATCCTCAAATCAACACACCACTTTGCTTTGCCGGGTCCTCAGTTGTCATCTTGCTGTCTCAATGAAAGATGCTCTTGCGTGACCATTGAAAATAGCAAGAAGGGATAGTCAAATGTTCTACAATCGAGAATTGCCGCACCCAGAGGCACATCGGAGAACATTACGGATGCGTATTGGCGTATATCCAACAAGCTGCCAAAATGCCCAGTCCACATCACGAGACATGATGATTCCCAAACTCACACACATCAGTGATTCCTGTAGCACGTGCTTACGCATAATTTTGTATTCTCCAGACCATTTTTAGGGCTTTGATCGTCGCTGACCTACCTACCTATCCAATTTTGTCTCCTCTGCGGGAAGATGCGGAGGTGTTATTCTCAGAACAGCAAAGCATCTGGTATTTCTGTTATATCTATTCATACTTGCGAGCTTATGCACCGAACCAAACTAATGCACGTCATCCAGTCCTCCCGCTGCTCTTACTTTGGCTAAGTATAGTATGCCAATCAGGTCTCCCCACAATCAACTAATCCAACTTGGTACAAAACCCTGTGAAGAAAGAAAACGGCACTCAGCGTCGCCAGGCCTACCTGAAGCTTCGGTTTCTCGGAAGACAGCTTACTAGGGACCGGCACTTTATACTTTGACGGAACGGCACCGATGTCTGCACCTTTTCTCCCTTATGCCGGTCATCGCATTTGATGCCAATGATAGGGCTGACAAGATGAAGGACCCGTCAGCTAGCACTTTGTCATGATTTATCCATGTACATGCGTGCTGGCTTTCATTCGCCATCCTGCGAGTTGAGGGATCTCTCTTTTCAACTTCTAGATGAATTATGTGTCCGACTTTTGAGTGCACGGCGCTGATTCACCTAGCCCCGTGCATTACTTGTCAGGTGACCTACTGTACAGTATTTGTAGGCTCTATGCTGTCGTATGCCACACCTTGCGAGTATATACTAGGTGTATTACATCGGATCTGAGAAATGTAGCTTGTCTGTCCCGTATATCCCGCGTGCGTATCAAACATGATAAATTTTGCAAATTGTCAGACCCTATGTAGTGTCAAGCTCCACGCGGAAACCTATACATTGTACGAACATCCTCAAAATCCACGAATTTTTCCCTTTTACGTGTGCTCGCTGCAAGCTTGGATCCATTCATTCATGTTCGAAAGCATGACAACTCAAAACTGAAATTGGGTAGGCCTGCCAAATCCTCAAAGATCATCTGCGCACTATTCTAGTGCCAGATGAGCCGTGGAGCGGTGGTAAGTTTGGATCGGTGAACTCTCCCCAGATGCAATAAGAGTTTAGTGCTAAGCAGCACTGCCCTACGAGCATTTTTATAGTTTATCCCTTTTATTTTGATCGCGTAATCGATGCGTGCCGTACAGGGCACATCGGAACTTGCCAATATGGCCTTGCAGTAGGGAACCCCAATACGCTGGACTACGGTGAGTTCACAGCAACCAGGTGCGGTTAATGGTGCCGGTAGCGATTCAAAGACAAGTATATATATCAGTGGTTTCTCAAGCCTAGAAACGATCTTGTCTTCCATTATCAACAACAAAAAAAAACAAAACAACAAATATTTCCTAGTGTCACATTTCCTTTGTCACCATTTCCTATCTGTCATATCATCCGATCACTCTATTTCCTATAGTCACACATTTACTCTTCGTCATACCTTTATAATTTCTGCTACACAGTCATAAACATCAAGCTATCTTATCCCATCATCAGCAAAAATGGTTTCCAAGCTTCTACTTGCTGCCGTCCTCCTCGGCCACAATGTTCTCGCGGCACCCGTCGCCAATGGTGGAGTTGAAGTCGCTGTCCCCAATGAGGCCCGTGGCCTCGAGCAGTTTGACGGCTTCACCAAGCGCGATGAGGGCCCCGATGTCACTCTCACCTTGAGAGATGACGACGACGAGAAGAGAAGGGGCGGCGACGGGCGTGGCGGTCGAAACGGCCGCGACCGAGACGGCGGTCACCACGACGGTGGCAACCGGGGCGGCCGCGACAAACGGGAAGCAGACCGAGGCCATGACCATGACCACGACCACGACCGTGATCACGACAGGGACCATGATAGAGACCATGGCCGACACCACGATCATGATCGCCGGGATGAGCACCGCGACGGCGGAGACCGAGGCCGCGATGGCGATCGTCACCGAGATGGCGACAGAGACCGGGATGGCGGTCGGGGCCGAGATGGTGGTCGTGGCCACAACAAGCGCGACGACCGCGGCGGAGACCGTCACAGAGACGGAGACCGCGATCGCGACCATGATAGAGACCATGACCGTGATCATGACAGGGACCACGACCGGGACCACGACCGCGACCATGATCGCGACCACCACGGATATGACCGCCGGGACGAGCACCGCGGAGATGGCCACCGAGATGGAGACCGCAATCGTGATCACGACCGGGATCACGACCACGACCACGATCGCGACCACCACGGATATGACCGTCGGGATGAGCACCGTGATGGTGATCGCGATGGGGGACGACGTGGCGGCAACGACAGAGACCACCGCGATGGTGGACGCGACGGTGAACACCGCGACGGAGACCGGGGCCACGGCCGCGACTAAGCTTCTGGCTCGAAATGATCCAAGCTACTGGCCTTGCCAATCACCTGTTCGGCTGATTCACAAGTTTCAGTCGGCCAGATGGTCAGTCGCTGGAGCTATTCTGTATCCCTTCGCGCATGTCAAACGCCCATGAAATTCTTGGAAATCGCAATGATGGGAGAATGCTATGACTTGGATGCAGCGGATTCATGTATAATTTTAGGAGCATCACTTTTAGCGACTTGGAGTTTATGGCTTTTGGATTACATAGTAGTAATCGACACTCTTTTAGTTTAAAATGTTCGCTTTCAAGTTTTGTGTGAATGTTTGAAAAGACATAAATGCCTGCCAGGACCTCTCCCATATGTACACAATGAGGTCCCAGTCCTTTTGTATCTACTTTCTTTGCTATGTACTCGATGCTACCGCAAGGGACGGTGCATTCTTTACCAGTAAACTCTGCACAACCTCCAGCGCTGAGAGCTCAACTCCGAAATCAGACTGGTCGTTAAAGCTCGTGTACCATTGGCTTCCGCACGTCGAGTTGTCATATCCAGTGCAACTGGCCGCGGCGCCCTCGGCGCTTGCCGTCAGAAGCTCCATGATCGTGTCGCTGACGCTGGGCACCAGCACAGCCGTCTTGCCCAACCAGCGCGACAAACTGGACTTGAAGCTCGTCTGGTCCGTCCCGCACGACCTGGTGAGCTCGCACTTTTGTTCGTACATGATATCGGGCGCGTCCGTCGTGGGCCCGAAAAAGGTGCTCTTGGCCGTGCTGACCAGTGCTTGTACCCTCGATTCCCAGAGGTCCTTGGTCTCGCCTTGTTCGCTGAGGGCGTACATGTGCGCGGCGCCGTGGAGGTAGCTCGCAATGTTGTAGCTCCACTGGTCCTGGTTGATGCCCGTGCAGTTGGCGCCGTCATTGTCTCCAGCACCGTCGTAGACGTTGAATGCGGAGCTCACGAGCCCGACGCCGGTCGACCAGTCCCAGATCTTGGTTGCCCAGTCGGCAAACGTCTGGTTGCCCGTATACCGTCCTAGCCGAGCGGCCGTTTGAAAGAAACCGCCGTTGGTGACCGAGTTCTTGTAGTAGTAGCCCGACTCACTCGTGCGGTACTGCCACTTGAGCCCGCCGTTGCATGTCCCTGCGTCGGCCTCCCAGCGGCTGACGAACAGATTGAATGCGTTTGTGCTAACGGCCAACCACGAGTTTAGGCACGTTCCGTCGGCAGCCGTCTCATCGCATGGCAGAGGCTCAAAGTTGTACTCGAGCGCCGTCAGGGCGTTGTAGACCCAGTAGGCCTGGTCATCGTTTGCCTCCCAACCGTATTGCGCAGCCGGCACAAAATCGCGGTTTTCGCCTATATTTTCGGCCAAGGCGGCCAAGAGATCGGCTTGATATGTCGTATCATTGGTATATACTGTATAGTCGAGCAGGCCGTTCCACCCGTTTCCGGACAGCCACCAGAACCATGGCTGCGGCTGGTTGAAGTCGCCCGTCGTGGCGCTTTCGTTGTGATATAGGTAGAGACCCTTTGCGATCTCGGATGCGGCTTGCTTGATCGAGGTCTCATCGCTTGTGTTGAGATCGAGCGCAGTCGCAAGCGACGCTGCCGCCGTAAGGCTAGAGAGTAGCCAAGATGTTTTGGTCATGATGTCGGTTGGCCAACTGCGCACAACTCGTCGATGCTAAGTACTACCAGTAGTATAATCTTGCACCTACAAACACGACAAAAGCAAGACGGGCTGGATCAGGATGCCCGTAGGCCCTTATACGGGAGGACGCCCACGAGAATCCCTCCTTATGCCATGTCAGCATCTTTCGCACTGGCGAGAGGAAGTCGGCAGGCGCTGAATGTTTCACGTTTCATCCACCGCTGACCTATGGATCCTACGTTCCCCTTTGCCACTTGTGCTCTTTGAGTATAGTCATTGACGGGGTACTGCAAGTCATGCAAGCTGCAGGGTATCAAGAGACCCTCCCAGAACGACAGAGGGAAGTTCTTTGGCCACTAACAGAAGCGACTAAAAGGCTCCCCCAGGTCTCCTCGGCAATTGCAGGGGCAGAGGAAACGCCACGAGAATCTTTGTTTGGGGTTTCCACCAATCAGGTATGCAAGACTGTAGTCCATTTCCACAGAGGAGTAGCCATTTGCGAGAAGACTAATTTTAGTTCGGTTAGGCGCTTTTCACTCAGCTGACAGCCTCTGACGCCCCTGAATTTCTAACGGGCGGCGTCAGCGGGATCAGCAGAATAGCTTAGATGCATTGTCAGTGCAGAGCAGTGGTCAGCCCAGAGCTCGAAAGATCTCATAATTGCAGTCAAAGCGTATATGCGCGCGGGTATCTAGGGTCAAGGTCGAGAACCCACATGATTTAGATTTAACGATGGATATCCGAAACAAAAACAATAGTGAATACTCTTTAGTCACCTGTGGTTGGCCAAACCAAACTATCTAGTTCCTACTTCGGGAAATGCCAACAACACGGGAAGCTATAAGTGTCTATCTTATTGCGATTCGAACCAAATAATATTGCAGGTATCGACAATCGAACTTGCAATAGCAATGTTTTAGTCTTTCGGCAGCACCATAACTAGGTACTCTACGTCGTACCTTACGCAAACTCTTATTATTGACTTTTTGATGTATACATTGGTTTGGTAAGGTCTTCAACTACATAATGGCATTGCTTTTCCAGCCCCGCACTGAATGTATGTTCCCGCTCACCGAAGCTTCAATCTCTTATTTCGACAACGAGCAAGCCTCATTGACCCCGCGTCTGGTGCGCAATTGGCTCAGCCCCCAACTTGCACTCGCAGCCTGATTGAATTGGCAAGCAGTTCACTGGATTTTCTTCCTTACGTCCTCTCTCTTTCTTCGTCTTGCCTTCTTTTTCTTCTACATACTTGCAGACTTATCGCTTGCCCGACCCATGTCCAGTTGCCATGAAAGTCAACCACCATGCTCTGTAAGATTTGCGAACGCGCAATTCAAGCTGCCGCCAAGCGGTTCTCCAGGGCCCAACACTTGGGTGGGGACGTTCAAGATTCTTTGGTTGAGACACCCTCACATATCTCGCTCCGCAGCTTCTACAACTCGATCCAAGAAGGATGTGCCCTGTGTCGACAGTTGTGGGCACAGATATTGTGGGAATCGAGCGACTCTTTGTCACGGCCACTAGGACGTTCGCGCTTATGGGCGCCGTTCCTAGATGATCTAGAATTCGCAGCACCAACAAAATTTGGCGATTTAAACCGCCAATGTCCTGGGCTCACGAACGGGGCCGCAGTAAGGAATCCAAGCACCCTGAGACCACTTATCAAAAAAAGAGCTTTCGCCACTGCCTGCGCTGTCCAAGGACTGTTTGTCTATTGCGCTAGCATCACTCGTAATAGGTCATTTATTCGCTACATCATTCCGGCACAAGAACGACTCAACCAACGAGCTGAGTGTAGCATAACCTTTCGTGGGTATTACTTCACTGTCAAATCCTCTACTCACAATACTTCTACCGTTTTTGACTTGTCGCCGGTTGGCCCAATAGGCAAAAATGCGGTCAACGCTTCTGACTTGAGATCGGAAGTTGCGTCGTCTTCAATGCCTAGTTCGATGGGGCTTTGGCTTTATTGGTATCGTACATGCGTATCAACTCATTCCAAATGCAACGTCGCAAGACATAGTTTGCAACCCTTTGTACCCAAAAGACTCATCCAAATACTTCCAGAGGATCAGAGCGGCACTACAAAATGGAAATTAAACTGCAATCCCGCTGACGACGCCATCTCATACCTCACGTTGAGTCACTGCTGGGGTTCGTCCCAACCTATCCGCCTGGAAAAGGATAATATCTCTGTGCTTTGTGCCCCAAATGAGATTTCATTGCTACCCAAGACATATCAAGATGCGCTTATGGTAACGCAGTCGCTCCGATTTCAGTACATTTGGATTGATTCCATTTGCATCATCCAGGACGATGAAGAGGATTGGGAGGTACAGTCCTCGTTGATGGGGTCGATCTATAGTCATGCAGCCTGTAACATTGCTGCAACTTGGGCCTCCGACGGCAGTAAAGGGTGCTTTGGTAACGGTGATCTGGCGGCGAAAAGTCCTACTTTCTTGACGCTTAGGGGTTCATTAGGAGGGTCCTACCAAGTATGGAACAACAAATCATACGAAGCTGATGTAATTCATGCACCGCTGAATAAACGCGGATGGGTCATTCAGGAGAGGTACTTGGCAAGACAGCAGCTGAGCTTTGCCCGGCGCCAAGTTTACTGGGAGTGTCGAGAGCTCATGGCTTCAGAACAATTTCCGGCTGGTCTTCCCGAATCAATCTCGAAACATCAAGCGTGCCTGGAATTTGAGAATGAGTTCGAAGCTCGAAAAGCTTGGAACCACATCGTTGAACTGTATTCCAATTGTCAACTCACCAAGAAGTCGGACAAATTGGTCGCCATATCCGGCCTTGCACAAGCGCTGCAAGAAAGTATTCATGATGACTACATTTGCGGATTGTGGAGGAAAGACCTCCACCATCAGCTTCTTTGGGTCAGCGAAGGAGACAATGGCCAAGTCACTACTACTTATGGTCAAATCGCCCCAACATGGTCTTGGGCCAACATCGACGGTCCAGTCCTTTTCCTGAAAGATCATCTCTTGGCAAAAAGTATCGAGTCAATGCCTTGGATGGAGGTACTTGGTATTCCAGCAGGCCCGACGAACAGGCTATCTTTGCGAGGTATTGCAGTACGATCCCACATCCAAATCTCGGACGACAGGAATATATTGTCCCACGAATTCCGGCACATTCTGGACCGCAGCATACGAAAATCGATCACAAAAGTCTTCAACCTTCACCTTTCCGAATACAATCGACTCTATAGCGCACCCGATGTCGTACTTGACTCATATAATGACCTCCAGCGAAATCGTGACTTTGATCTCATTTTCTTCATGATTTGTCGCGATCGTGGTGTTGATCAGGGCTTGGTGCTTCGAAAATTGCCGCCCATCACCGATGGGCGTATGCAATATGTCCGAATTGGAGTCTTTTGGACAGACCCTGCATTTATGGATCCATATTGGAAGCATGTGACTGATCGGCTTGGGTTGCCGGAACCTGATATATACGGCATGGATCGACCCTTGGATCTCGGTGATCCTAGACTGGCTGACCTGGTCCATACCGTACATATTGTATAGCTTCTCTGTGGGGTCTTCAGGTTTTTTATGCCATATCCTGAATGTGCTTCCAACTTTGCGCTATGGAGCAAGTTTCTAAACTAGAAGAGTATCAACATCAACTTGGTACAGCTCTCTTTTCAATACAGCATTATTGAGACTGGCCATTGGAATGATACATATGTATAAAGACATGTTGTGCTCACCGTAGATTGATGACTGCACATTACATTGGTACAAGATGCTAGAAGAAACATATTTCCAGTTGCAAGCTTGTTGCAGTACGCTCCCTATCTTTGTGACACAACCCCGGAATTCTTTGTGCGTCATAGGCTTTCGGCCTCGATGCCATAGTCTGGCGAAGGAAGCATGGGAAAGATATAACAATACACTATCTCTAGTGATATCGATTGCAGCGATCATTCCTTACAGAGCGTTTTCGGAGCTCGGCCCATGCAGTTTGTATAATGCCGGAAGTATATCCTCTGTTCTACCAGTCTCCTCAATGTTGTGGCGAATCCAGCGCTCGCCTGACGCTGTCGTGTAAATAAGAGGCATCAAAAGCCAATTGATAAAGAGCCCAATGATGGGCACATCACACCCAACGACGGTCTCGGCGTAAAAGGCGAGACCATCTGGGCTTCCAATGGTGCAATATTTGTGTAACGACATTGCCGAAAAGCTTGACTGAAAAGTTGAGCTCACTGTCGCTGAGAATGTCTGTAGTGGATCGCACGTCGACGCGATCGTGAAAGTCGTTGAACTGCTCATGGACCTCGGATAGCCATCCCTGGATAAACCCCTTATTGACTTGGTCGTTGGGGCTGCTGACGGGAATGATGGCAACGTGATCGCGGTGGTGCCAGAGGTGATAGAGTGAGACTTCTGGTCCGCCCAATGCCTTGCCGTCCCATGTCGTTGACTGTCCGAGATGCTCAAACCACCAACGCATCATTTGCGGTGTCACACCCTTGATGGAATCGTGCTCAATCTGGACATGCAACACTCCTGACCAAGTGCGGAAGATGTTGACCCATTTGGCAGAGGATACGGGCTTGAAGCCAACCGTGCCGGCGCGCACAAGAGCATCGCGAGCTCTTAAGCGGGCAGCGCGAAGATGTTCCGTCATTGTTATGTGAGGGTAGAGTAACGAATTAGAATTCGGCGCTGCTTATGCTAAAGGACAAAAAGAACTTATGGTTATAATGTTTCTGAAATCGTATTTACCAAGGATCAGGTACGTAAGCAAGATTTATATTCCATTTTTACTGCCAATGGTTTTCACATTATACTTGTTTAGCAACGGTGATTCCGGAGGTTGCGTCTTTCCCGACTCGCAGTCTCGGGCTGGAACCGTGGCGCCGTTTAGCTGCCCTTGGGACCTACTGCGTACTACCCACGCTCACTAAAACTTCGCGGAGCCGTTAAGTGGATGCCCCGGAGGAGACTTACACCGGTAGTCTCCAAAACCCAGATGAGTTACAGCGCAGGTCTACTTACTAGACTGATCATCATCAGATAAATCCTAGGTGAGTTTCTTTCTTTTTTTCCCGCCTTCATTGTTCCTTCAACAGCCTATAAATCTTTCCCAAATTTGGGGTTTTGCTAGCTCTTGGTCCAAGAGCCATTCCTAATAACCGAAGGTGAACCACAGAACCGTACATTTGGGGGGCGATGCTACGGGACTCTCAAACCTCCGCCTCGAGTCACGCAAGGTCGACTTGCCTCGGCACAAGGAGTCAAAAAGCTACAAGACTATCGAAGAGACTGTCGAATATCCATGTCTAAGTTTTTCTATCAGATCTTGAACACTAATTACAAATCTAGATTCTCCGTCCGACTCGGCGCCAATGATTCCTAACCTAGATGATTCCGCTATATTCAAATATTTCCGTATTTCCGCAACACAATGCTGAGCGTGGAGAACCTCCCGGCCGGCGCCTGCCCGTGGGCACAACCCGGCTTCTACGTCGGAAAAGAGGACCATCCACGACGGATCTACGCGACGCTCTCAAGGTTTTCGGCTGCTGGCACTTCACAAAATCGGAATTTGCGATAATGGCCCCTGAATCTAGGCTGTCGCTGGGTGATAATTCAATGATCGCGCCAAGCTGAACGACGAGATTGGACCGCATCGACCAAGTGTCAAGTCGCGCCTTATGCGTCTCAAAACTTTGTTTTTTTTTTCTCGTGGATTATTCCGATCAGGCTGAACAAAGAGGTCTTGATTGCGCAAGATTATTTCAACCGATTTGCTTTTGATGGGTGCCAGAAGACCAGAAGATAAGGCGCGATTGGATTGATTCTCAACACCCCATAATTGTCGTCCCCATTTCTCCTGACTGAAGTGTATAGTCAGATCATTCCCGCTCGTAATGTTGTCTTCCTAGCTCTTCGGTTTCCAAAGTTAGGCTTTCTACAAAAAGGGACGTCAAGAACCCAAGTGCTCCAAATCCAGCAAGAATCATCCAGATGTCGCGCATAGCTGCCGCATAACAGCCCCGGATAGCATCCATCAAGACTACCGGGAGGTCTACGTTGCGAAGCAAGGGGATGAAAGCCACGGCTTCGTTGGGGTCGCTGAGTGCCGCAATAGACTCGGGTAGTGTCGCCAGGTCCGCAACAGCGCTTGCAAATACGCTGTTGAACGTTGTAGACCCTATCGCAAGACCAACCAGAGCACCAAAGAGTCTGAAGGAGACGAGAATACCAATGGCGAGTCCCTGATCCTCTACCGTCGGGGCGCTGGCCTGCATGGAGATGGCAGGGACCGTGAAGATTGTACCGATACCAATGCCGGCAATGGCCTGAAAGCCAGCAGTTGCGGCCCTTGTGGAACCAGCAGTTCCGTTGCTGTCCCAGAGGGCAAATATACCAGTACCGACTGCGAGGAATGCCCACCCCACCCAAATCTCCCAGCGGTAGTGGCGAAACAGTTCCACTGCCCAGGCAGCAACTCCTGTAAAAACCATGACGAAACAGCAGACAGGAAGCACCGAAATGGCGGACTGTAGCGGCGGCTCCAGGTAGACGGCTTGAAAATAGAGAGGCAAGTAGAGGAGTAGTGTATAAAGGACCATGCCGTGAATAAACCCGCCGATCAGCGTGACCTGAGCCGTCCGGGACTTGAAAATGCGATAGGGAAAGACTGCATGTTCTACTCTCCCCTCGTGGATGCCGAACAAGACAAAGAGGGCGGTTCCAATCAGTAGAGGGACAAGTGTTTTCCACGACGACCAGGCGTACATGACGCCAGCCCAGCTCAGCGAAAGAGAAAAGAGAATGCATGCGAAACTGAATAAGGCAATGCCAAACCAATCAATCTGGGCCAAACGGGATCTGATTGATTGCTCAATGGGCTTGAGACGCAGGAACAGCGTAGAGAGTGCTCCGGCGATGGCTATCAGAGGCAAATTGATCCAGCCAATCCAGCGCCAGTCGGCGAATTCACTAAACAGGGCACCGAGTATGGGACCGAGTATGCATCCCACGGCCATTGGTACGGACAAGAGTCCAATGTACAATGGGCGCTCCTTCAGCGTCGTTATGTCGGCCACAATGACCTCGCTTAGAACATCGAGGCCACCACCGCCCAGGCCTTGCAGTACACGGCCTAGTATGATGACTGCCATGGACTTGCCAACCGAGAAGACCACGGAACCGACAGCGAAGAGTGAAAAGGCCGTGTTTAGCAGGAGCTTGCGCCCAAGCGCATCCGACATACTGGTATAGATGGGTTGCACGATCACGACGGCCAGGGTAAAGGATATACTGGCCCAGAATGCCTGCAAAGTCGACGCCCCCAGATCGCTTGCAATCGCCTAGGTAGCACATGAGCAAGATGTTCGTTTCACAAGGGCAAGCAGTCGACTTGCCGGAATGGCGACTGCCAATATCGTCGCATCCAGCGACACGATCAACACGACAATCAGAAGGGATAAGAAGCCAAGGTAAAATGCAACCGGTTTCCTACGAGACGGATTCTGTGCAGCTTGCCCGACCGCGTCCGTGTCTGGTGCCTTTTCAGGGTCACGATTGGGTGCAGTTGATACCGGCTGTGCCTCGACTGCATCAATCTCTGCTTCGTCTTGAGACTGCATTTTGCTTTGTCGCCTAAGAAGCTGAAAGTATTGACTGGTCCTCTGTTGGATACAATGCGGTCCAGGATTGATATTCCACCATTGTTTACATGCCCAGTCAACGGCAGAGCGGTTTTCGGCACCTCATCATGCCATGTTGATGCCCCGCGTTATGGCGGCGAGATGGCTGACAAAACGAGTTGGCTGACAAATGGTCCTCAACCAGCATCAGAAACGACACCCTTGCAGGGCCATGCACAACCGACGTGAAGGTAATGGCAGGGATCGTGATATGATCCGATTGAGCACGTCGTATACTTTTGCTTATAATGGACCAGATGAAGAGATGCATCTCGTTAGACAAGTCCTGCTACGATCAATCAGCCTTTCTCAGGAAGTTGCGATTTGATCCAAGGTGCCTCGCCGTCTGCAAAGGCTGGCTGTCCTGTCAGGGTCCTTCGCACAAGGGACTGTATTTGTGGGACAGACGTGCGTGGCCTTCCGCATAAGGAATTAGCTGGCTATCAAGATGGCGGTGCTGGCTGCCAATCCAACGACGAAACTTTCCATACAGGATCGGGAGGCCAAAATGAAATATATAGGCCAAATCCTGGTGAGAAGACAGCTTTTTATTCCCAGAGCTGTGTAATTGATGGATTTGACCACTAACATGAAGGGAACAGCTCTAGCGTACGACTCTGCCTTGGCCCAAGCTGGTGCACGGCTATAGTTTAGTGGAGGGCGCCGCTCTGTAGGTACTCTCATATACTGGGGTTGCTTGCAGTACGTAGAACCCCCGTACGAGACTTGGATGGCAGTCATTTTGGATAAGTACATCGGCGACATTGGAAATCTTTATAGCCATGTTGATTGAATTGGAATATTCGATTTTTTAGATACCATTGAGCTGAGCATTGAACGGATGGTGTTGAGAGCACAGTCCCACCAATGACTGATCAGATGATTGTGAGTGATGCAAGGCAGTACCAATCACCCATCACCCAACAGCCATGACTTATATCGAGTATTTAATGAACAAAACCCAAGCAACAATGATTGTAGAGCAAAGCAAGACGATTCCCACTAGCGTGAATTTCGCTGAAGGCTTTCGTCCAACGGGATCACCAAGTTCGTTATTCGCCTCGGCGTTCATGCGCTTCTTTTCACTCATGGTGAGCACACCCGAGAGGAATCTGCCAATCAAATGTCAGTACAACAAGTTTTCATGAACGCGGCAATAGCCAAAAGAAAAAAAAAAAAAAAGAACATACCTCCTGTCCAGAATGCCATAAAACATTCCCAGACAAAACTCTAGGCCCTTTACTGCGACGAAAAACGCAATAACGCGCTCATATGTGCCTCCGGGTGTTATGTCTTGGAGCCGTCCGGCAATCATATCAACGATAACACTGCTACTGTTATTGAAGGCTTTCCAAATTCCAAAAACCAGTCCGAGTTCGACCTGAGATGGCACCATCAAAGGAATCGACACCAGGAATGGGATGGCGTTGAAAGCCGATCCGAGGGAAGCAATGATCATGGTGCCCAGTGCATTAGTCTCAGTAAACCCAATGAGGCAGTACACTAGGATCCAGATGGCAGAAGTGAAACTGACAACCATCATTCTGAATCCAAAGGTATCAAAGAACAAGCCAATCAAGGGTGTGCAGATGATGGGAATAACCTGCTGTAAAGCCGATGTATAGCCGGCAATCTGCGCCGTGGACCCCCGAGTCACGGTGATGATGTCGGCGTTGAGGCCGTTGAAGCTACCGACGACGCCAGCTTGTAGGATCTGAGTACATGCCACGAGCCAGAAGAAACGCGGAACACGGTTGATGGCTCTCCAAATGCTCCTGATGTTGAATCTGCGGGTAGTGCCAGCGGTCACCACGGTGCTCACGTCGTTGTTCCTCGCCTGAGTGCTGTTGAATTGCTTTGATTTGGTGCGCAGCTGTTGACCAGTGGGTATGTGAGCCCATGCTGGTCGTGTTCGGGCCCACCACACGTAGAAGATGTTCTGCAGCAGGTTTGCAAAGCAGACAATTGCCGGAATCCACAATGCCCAGCCCCAGAACGAGGTAGCATCTCGCATCGGGACAGCGGTAGCCTTGGCAAGCAACACGATGAGTTTTCCTGCAATGAAGTCGTCAGCGCATCGCCTTGCTTTCATGGAATTGTATACTCACCAATTGAAACATCCAGACCGTACACCAAACCCAATCCTCTATGCTGGAACCAGTGGGCCAAGATCTTTGTAACCCATTGTTAGTTTTACATGCAACTTTGATGCCTCCCAATAGGTTAGACTTGCCTTGGATGTACAAGTTTCGATGACGGTACTACCAAAGCCCATAATAATTCGCCCAGTGACGACTAGAGTGAAGGAATCCTGGTTCGATCCGGCGGCCGATATTGAAGCACCGATGAAGATTGCAATGGAGCATGCCAATGATCCCCTGCATGTCAAGAGTTTAGCGAGAGGCTCCAATTGTGCTCATCCCAAAGTCCTTAAAGAAGTTTGGCAGATCTGAGAGAAAACTCACCACTCTACTCCATAAAAGTCCAGAGCATATCCACCCACAATGGGAAGGATGGTATTCACAAGAGACGTAGCCGAAGAGATGGCTCCATACTATGTACGGCGTTAGTCACAGTTCCGTTGTTTGACTAAAGGATGTCACATTAGATGCCCACTTGAGAGTTTGTGATATCCAATTCTTTTATCAGCGTGCTTTTGAGTGGACCAAGTGTGTTTTCTGAAAAGGATGAACCCCAAGAGAGGGCAATACCGCAGGCCAGGGCCGTGAGTTTCCAAGTCCATGGGAAATCTTTTGGTTTCTCAGACTCTTCTGCTGAGTAGCCCACAACATCGGCGGGGGCCTTTTCACTAGGGCGAGTAATTGTTTGCGCGGCTACATCGCTGCCATCGGAAGGAGGCGAACCGGCAGACATGGTTTCCTCGGCGCCCGCTCTGAGAGATGACCACGATATTGATGGATGAGGAGCTCCTGGTGGGAAGCAGCCTGTGTAATGAAATATTGAATCAAGCTGGACTTAAATTTTCACCAGGACGTTGACAGCGACAGCATTCTTTCTATATATACAGATCAGTCTTTCTCAAAGTGCGCATCAGTGGAAGTGTTGGCCTGCTTGGCTCGATGGATAATCTTATCTGATCCCTGGAGCTAGACGCTCATTTCGGACACGCCCCCTGGGCGTGTTCTAGAGGACCCGTAATTTTGGTCAAGGGGGCCCCTACTAGTAAAACGTCACGTACATAATCAGATCCGATGATTCTCAGGTCGGGTATTGGAGTGGAACTCTCCGGCTCAGTCCAAGCTGGTCGACATTTGGTATGTAGCATTCACTTCGTGCGCGAAAATTGAGGACTCCTCGGGAATTCTTGTTCAGTTTTCTTGTCAAAATTTTTCATTTTCGGGCTATCTTCCGATAAGTCACCCACTGTCGAACGCCTCGCAGTGTACTTGTAGAGCGACCTCCGACTTATCCCGCCATTTGTCCGCCGAATCTCTGACGGCATCCATAAGTGACCTTGGGCCGCAAGCGGTCACAAGAACCCGACTCTGGCTGTCCAAAGTTTGCAGACTCTCGCCAATAACTACTTCGATGTCCATTCTCCCGATCTTAATATTGTGAAGCTCCGCAAAGCCATCATCTGCAGGTCCCGCTAAAAACTTGGCCAACATATCTGCCTGCTGAAACGTTCCATACCTTGCTGTGCTTCTGTCTGATACTAGTGAACTTTGCGTCCCTATCTGTGTTTCATGACATACTTCGTAGGTGTTTGCAGCGATATCTCTTTCGGCTGGTGGTTCATGGCCCGTCACATAGACTGTTATAAGGACGGGCAGCCCAGAATTAGCCAGATGGTGTAAACTCTCATGAAACCAACTCATATGCTCTGCCGAATCGTTAGAAGGGGGTTTAAATGCATAAAAGGTCATTCATTGGCTCACCTATATGCCGTATGGTCCATATAAACTCAATCGATTGTACCTTGGCCATCTTAGACTGGTCAATGATGCGATTCAGCAGACCAAACGTGAATGCAGCCCCGCTTCCACCTGCAATCATGATTAACTTGTCGTAGTCTCTGGTATCTGCAAGTGTGCCATAGGGCCCATCTATCGAAGCCCAAGTACAGCGACCCGGGTAGAGGGTAGCAAAAGTATTCACAGCTTTGGTAAACCCTTCGTGTGACTTCATGACAAGCTCTAACCCTGAAGGACCATTGCTGACAATGGTGAAGGGGTGGTTTCCAAAAAGATGGATCCTTGGAATCCATAGAAAGCAGTGCGACCCTGGCAATCCAATTTGAGCGCCCGGCTTTTTCAGGATAACTCTAGTTCCTCCATCGGGAAGCGGATAGAATGTGGCGGAATTGTTGACCAGGTTGCTATACATTCTCGCTGTTCGAATCGCACGATCCAGTGTCCAGATTAAAGCGATGAATATCATCACAACTGGAAGTTTCCCGGACCATTTTGGTCTATGAAATGTCACTAACACAACCGAAGCGATGAAACCTACAATGTGGCTGACGTAGAAGATCTCATATCCCTGATGCCTGAAAATGGCCATGAGGAGTATGAGGAAAGCAATGCCGGCGCCAATTCCTTGTAGATTGCCTTCCTCCAACAAAGTCTCCCAGCGACCTTGGCGGCCAAAGTGTATGGTATAGAATATCGCATGAAGAAACACCAAGAAGATTGTGGCATAACCCACGATCCGATGAAAAATGTTGAGCTGGGTGTGTGACGTATGCACAAAGGCAGCTAGTGGCGTGTTTTTAAATCCAAAGAAAACGCACAGGGCCATGTTGGCAGCACCCAGCCTAAGAAGTGTCAGCTACAAGAGGAACTCCTCGAGGGGCGCAAGATGAACACTTTACCATCCAAATCTAGAAGCCCAATGATTCACTCGAAAGGCGGCGAAGATTGTGAAAGATAATATGGTATTACCCAAAACAAAGATGCAAACAAGTAAAATCAGGCCAAAGCACGGCCTGCCCAGCCAAATCCAGTTTGTCCGTGTCTCAAGTTTGCTTTGAAGCTATTAGTATAATGCAATGTTGAAATCACTGCATCTTGATTGACATACTTAAAAACTCTAGTGTAGGCCCTGCGACCATGATCCCGCAGTCCACGTCGCGCCGAAAGTGGTTGTTTCTTGTGGCAATAATCATTTAGCCAATGAGATACAATGACAAGGATAATCAAACCGCAGAGAAATGCAGCATAGATTTTCAAAACTTTCTCATTCTTAAGTTGCTTCAGCGTCGGAGGCTTCATGGTCGCCATGTCGGTCATACTGAGACTGAAAGGCGATATAGCTGCGGATGGAACGACAAAGTTCAATCCTGATCCGATTGATAAGATACAAAGAACATCAAACCAGTCCTTAAGCGACGAAATGCGACTGTACCATACAGAGTAATGACCAGTACTCCACTATAGCTGTTTCTGGAGCCTCTTCTTCTGGACCCTGGCTACCTACCATCCGCGCTTCATGACCTACCAGCCCATCATAGACCGACCTGCATAGCGAGCAAACGCTAGTGCAAAATCAAGCGTACAAAGTGGACAGATCCGAGGAGACGGACCCGAAAGAAACCATGGACTCATGGAGAGAGGACGGGGTGAACCATTTCAACGGGAGTGTCGATCGCTACATGTACAACCCTATCATGAGTTTCGCAACGATTATCTGTTCCGATCATGAGCGCCGACTAAATCCGAGAGGGCTAACGCTTCGCCAAGAGCCGTGAGCCACATGGAGACTTCTTAACACCACGATGCCAAGACGCGATGTCGATAGAAGCGGGTCGTTTCATGGTGCAATGGCGGGGATCAAAGCTTTTGCATTTCTCTCACAGTGACAAAGCGACTCCCGTGATAATCCTGGGCCACAGATGGAGACCCACAGCAAATTCTCACGACAAACTCTGCGATTGCAAAGAATGAATGCCGATATTATACCCAGGAGACACAGAGAATAGCCGATATCGCAACAACATTTCGCCATGTGAATGGCAAGAAGACTTTGGGGAAATCATGATCCAAAATCTAAGCACATGATTGCGACGGTGTTGGGGCCAGATTTATGGTGGATTAGACATGGAATTTAGGTTCTAAACTACCCTGATGGTGCAGCATCTTGACCGTACGCACATCTACAATAGGTACCAAGTCAGAAACAGATCATATCAATCTACAGGCTCTGAAAACTTGAATCATGCATTAAAGGCATTAGAAATAGAGCTTTGTAGAACCATGCCAATCAGCCAGACATGTTGACATCGTCAATCCACCAAAGAACAGCCCAGTTTGCGACGGCAATGATACCCAAGAGCCACAGCGGCAACCCGACAAAATTATGCGCCAGACCCCATCCCAGCATGAGACCGCCAACCGTCGGTCCCAGAATCCTGGCCGCGCTCGAGATGCTCGACGCGAGGCCGTGGACGGTGCCGAGGAGATCCGGGCTCGGCGCGCAATCATTAACCAGCATGATGGTTGCCGGGTTGACAAATGTCCTGGACATGACATTCATGGTCAGAACCATGGACAGACAGGTCCAAATCAGGGCGGCCTCGTCGGGCAGGAGAACAAGGTAGGGCAGCGAAAAGTACGCGACAATGCTGAGCGGTAGGAAGATGCGATAAGAGCTCCTGACACCAAGGCTGCTAATGATTCTTGGGTATAAGAGGAGCTGCAGTGGTATGCCAATCATGCCAATAGTCATGTTGGCGAATCCCATCTTCTCGCTCGATAGTCCAAGACCGCCGGTGAAGCGGAACGGCAAGTGGAAATCCTGGTTCTCTGCTCTTGGAGCTGGCAACAGACTAAAGAACATGGAATTGAAGGCCGAGACGTGCAAAGACTGCAAGAAACGCTGAAGCATGTTGAGGCAGACATTTCGAGTCATGATGGCACGCAGCGGAGTTTGCTTCTTGTCCTCGGGTTTCGCTGGCCTTTCGTCCGCCTCCTCCTCGTCCCAGAGTGAATTGAGCGGCGTTTCCGCAACGCTGGACGGTATTGGCTGGTAAGAGTATGCCGAAGTTGGATGTCGCAAAATCTTGCGCATGATGAGCTCGCCGAGTCTGCGTCCAGGATCTGGCCGTCCCCGGAGTCGAGGATGCGTCTCGTCGAGACCGAGTATAATCCCAAAAGCGGCTGCACCCAAGATGAAGGCGCAGAACAGGTTGGGGAGCGCGTACGGGAACATTCTCAGGAACTCGACGCCATCATCGCCACCAAGAAACGAGCCAGGCCCAAAAATGCCAGGCATTGAATGAATGGGATCCGCAAGGAAACCGCTCAAAAGTGGTCCAATGATGACACCGACATTGAAGCACATAGGCAAGAGAAGAAAGGCTCGAGATTGATAACTATTCATATATTAGCATTCCGCCTTGATCATATACTTGTAATGAATTGTTCATGGAATCATTTGACGTACCGTTTATCAGCAACTACTTCAGACACCATGGTCCTCAGTACGCCGACATTGCCATTGAGAGCACCAGCACAGAATCGGAAAAAGAAGGCGGCAATCAGAGATCTAGAAAACCCCATTCCCAGGGCAGAGAGGGCCGAGCCGGTAAGACCAATAATCAAGACGCCTTTACGACCCAGGCGAGGATTATCTGCAGCGCGACCCCACCACATGGAGGTAAGACATTGTGCGGCAGCGAATACAGCAGTAAGGTAGCCCGCCTGCTTGGCAATCTCAGAGGGACCAAGGTGTGGACTGAACCATCGCAATTGGTAAAAGAGGTAAGATGTCAAAGACCGCTCGCTCAAAGGCTCGGCTAAACGAGCAAAGACAATGACGGCTAGCTGCCCTTTCCTTGGAAGTGACATCCATGAGATAACTTTTGTGTCGCTGGAGTCCGAAGGGCGCTCAGATTCTCGGAGAAGAGACGTCGTCTCGGATGAGTCCGCCGTCGGCGACGACCCATCAGGTGCTTTCGCCATGGAAATTTGCTCGGGACTCATCTGACGCTGTATGTGTAGCAGGAGATTGGCTTAGGAAGCTAAATCCAGGATGAGGGGGATTCTGTCTGCGCATCTGCGTGGAAGAGAAGACAATATCTATTTAATGTCTAGCACAGGGCCCATTCAGTCCGATGGGCTCGGCTCGGCCCAATATTCCAATACTACTAGTTTATATCTATACACACTATAGTAGTATGGTAGCGGTGACCCCTGTTGACCCGCCTGCAGGGTTGGTGGACCCAACCTTGTCTTGTTGACGGTGAGGAACTCCGAGAAAAGATTCACGCTACCTACTGCACATGCTTGGCACAATCATATCTAATCAATCTGACCGTCCGTCTGACCAGTCAACAGATACTACATGGCCACAGGTGGGATTCCTAGAGATCACGGCCTCGTGACGGTGCGCGTGCCGCCTGGAAGCATCATGTTCACCGACCAACCTTCCATCGCATGAACCTCTTGAGCAATCTTTTGCAGCCAAACTGTGGGAACAACGGATAGCCAGAATTCGCATCTCTCGTGTTTCAAGATTTCTGATCCAGATTCCCACGACTGCTGGCCACCGTACCTGTCGCCAGTGGTAAGTTGTGCGTGGGCGAGGGACAGATATATCATGGCCGCCGTAAACCCGGCGGTAGAATTGAGAATGTTCATGTTCTGCACCTCCCAAAGCGCAAACATCCATTGGTGCACTGCCTCCTCGCGGTCGGACCCCAAGTGGACGATGCGAGCTGCGGCAAGAACTATGCGCATATGCAGTTGCTGGTCGTGTATGTTGTCCAACTCCCGAGGTTCATGATTCCGAAGTTCATTCAATAGGGATTGCGCCGCATCTAGTCTTCCGAGTCCGATATTACTTTCCACGGACGCCAACAATAAACGTCGGAAATCACGGCGTGATCGACCCGGTCCGACGGCGCTGTCAAGTTCTGGCTGAAGTATCTCGAGAGCCTTTGCATAATCCTCCATTTCGCAATACATGTCCGCGAGTCTGCCAACCAAGAGGCGTCGTGAAATATCACGGATGGGCTTGGGCGAACTCAATGCCATGAACTGTTCAAGAGACGCTCTGGCGGCACCAAAGTCTCCAATGGACTGAAAGAACCTTGCCGCTGTGCTCTGGAGTCTGAAAGTTACCTCGGTGTCGAGAGTGGACAATGGCAACTCAGCTCTCCACTTGTAAATGAACGAGGGTACATCATTGTCGAAGCACTTGATTTTATTCTCGATTTGAGAAATGTGTAGCCGCCCTCTGAGTGCATGGTCGCGGCGCGTGGCTGGCTGCGGGCCGCGCCACATGAAGTTGCGTATTTGCGCCTCGGACTTGACAGTATCTCCATCAATGCGACATAGTATGCTCTGAAAGAGCACAACAGAGGCCTGGAGATAATATGACATTGGCTTTCGCACAAGAGCTTTAGCTCGCTCCATGGCCGCGTGCCGGGTGGAGACCGAGTCTCTCTCGGCAAAGTAGAGAATTGCCTCGAGAACCTGAGATCTATCTGAACTTTGCACTTTCTGCATCTGTATAGCATTATCTAATACCATCCAAACTGCGTCTTTGAGCGGTATAGACCTAGAAGATTAACGTGAGAGAAGATAATTGAGTATCCAAGGACTGAGTCGTACCAGTCTGTATTGCCCTCATAGCATGGTGGGCAGGCAAAGCACAACAGCTTCAATGCTATTGATCCAAGCTCCTCCATGGCTTCGGGGGTCAAGGCTTGGGATAGGAAGAGGCTGAATTCCGGACGCAGAGACCAAGCGACCGTGTCATCTTCCAGGACTTGCTTAATGATGTAGGGGCTTGCTGCCACTGAGGAGAATACTGTTTCATCTGACAAACATTCGACCACTCCTTTTGGGAGCCCAAAGTCTATCGCATTGATACTCTCTATCTCTCCATGGATATTCCAACGACGCTGGGAGAGGCGGGCACTTTTCAATAGAACGACGGGAATCTCAGTGCCACCAAGTCCATGAAGCAGGAGTAAGAGCTGGTCAGAGTCGGGAAGGACATCAGCGTAGTCGGCAAAAAGGTTGTAGTATGATGATTGAAGAGAAAGATCTAGGAAGGTGAGCAGGGCAGTTTTTGAGTAATGATACACTGCACAAGAAGACTAACCGTGCAATTGACACAGAATTGAGCGCTGCACAAACCCTGTATAGTGCTTAAATTGTGGACGAAGAGAGAGGAAATGACTGAATAGCTCCCCGTCATCCACGTTTAGATATCTCTCGTATCTGTGCAATGTTGAGTATGCCCTCTTGTTTTCTGAAATATGTCTGCTTACGTCGAATGTGGAATATTGAGTGGGAACCAAAAGATAGCTCCGAGACCACCGAGTCTGCGAGCGAGCTGAATATACTTTCTCCCAGAATTCCGAATGTTTGTATAGTTGGGTTGTCCGACGAAGAGTTTGGCGATGGGAGGGGGCACGGACGCTTGGGCACTCAATCTAGACCGGAGAAATATCACGACGCAGGCAAGTCGCCGCCGTAACTCGGCGTGGACGGCGTCATCGTCAAAGACGGTCCAGAAGCCATCGACATCACCTCGGAATCGCTCGCATACCTGGTCGACAGGCGTGAGATCGACGGACTCGACGGAGAAGACCTTGTTTGTCCGCTGATTGCTGGGGGTGATGCGATACTGCACCTCGCGGCAGAGAGCTCGGGACTGACCCAGCACGGCGACCAGATGCTGCAGGTGCGAGTTTAGAGCAGGGATCAGCTCTTTAGCTCGATCCTCGTCAAACGTCTCGGCCAAGCGGTGAATCGAGGTACAGAGACATGTTCCCATTGCGCGCGCGAGTTCGGCAGAGACTTTATCGCCGAGAGAACCTCCTCGTTATCTGCTGGTAATTCATTCACCAATTGTGTGATCTCAAACAATTTACGCGTTGTTTTACCCAGGGTCAGTGGTACTCGGGACTCGGCCCCAGGTGACACGCTGCCCCACTTGGTCCGGGCCACACCTGCGATAATTTATCTCGATCATCTTATCTGATCCGGCATCTTTCGTACACTAGAATCAGCAAAGCTTCAGATGGGTGGGTCTCTCTGTGGTAAGGGTGGCTAGTGATCTATTTTAGAATCTGATAATTCTCGAAGGCCACGAAAAATGCATTAGATAGTTTCTGCGCGTGGTGAATGATCCAAGAACAAAGACAACTGACACTGCCCGAAAACACATACACCGACGACACGATCAAAAATGCAGCGGCTCCAGTATACATCGTGCCCATTTGTCCTATGCCAAAGTCGTCTCAGTTGTGGCGCATGCTTCTCGAAGCTTCTATTTATAGTCTTCATGATAGGAGTCTGGAAAGCGCCCTTTATAAGCGTTCTCAAGACCAACCGATCAACCACTTCTAATGTCTGTAGTCCTTGCTTGTTTCCTCGAAGTTATCGCGCGCATCATGTTGTCCACTCATAACATTGTCATTCTTCCAGTCGCCTGGGATCACCCAGACGGTATCCACCTACGGAACCTCCAACGAACTGAAATCGCCGTTCTGGGAGGCTTAGAACCCGGGATTCCACCATCTGCTGCCGACGTTCCAGTTTTTCTTGTTGCATATTGCAATGACATTCCAGTTGGCTGCGGCGGTCTGCGTCCACTATCTTCTCCACCGGATGGTGTGCTTATCGATGCCGCTGAGATCAAGCGCATGTTTGTCGACACAGCATACCGGGGGCCATTGAATTTGCCCAAGGGCTCGCGCGGTACCATTGCAGAACTGATACTTGAGAGGCTGGAAGGAGAGGCTCTAGAAAGAGGCTGGTCATTGTTGCTATTGGAGACTGGCACTTTTTTGGCGAAAGCAAGGCGCTTCTATGAAAGACGCGGGTTTGTTCAACGCGACATGTTTGGAGACTATAACGAAGCCGACAATAGTGTCTGTTACGAGAAGCGGCTGGCTTCGGCCCAAATGGCTTCAATAACTTCCCCAAGCTAAGCCTGGCGTTCTTTGCCGTTGCCCTTGCGGTTCTAGGAGGGCATGATTAACAACTACTTAATACGTGGTTGTCTTGAAGTGAAAATCAAGCTTGTATATAGCTCCAGCGGGACACACACGTGCATGTATTCAATTGTCTGCATGTCGTCAGACGATTCATGTTGGTCTATGCATCAAGTTCAAGACTTATGAAAGTGCTTATGCTGAGTAGTTCTCGACGCAGTGCCCATTGTAAATGCCGCCTGCTTTCTTTTTTCCATCCCGTTCACACCAAGATATTGCCGATACTCGCGGCAATCCCGGGTGGAGACGGACGGCGGCACATACCGAGATTCAATCATTTATAAAAATGCGTTCCGGAGAGTAAAAAGGTTAAGGGAGACTCACTCTAATGGTCCAGCCCGGAGACGCAATTGAATACGTCGGAAGCTTATAAGCTGGCGGCAGGGGCGGGTCTTTGGCACCAATTCTATGCATCGGCAGTGAAAATACGCAAAGCTGATTGCTTACCTACATGGCTGGATGGGCTTGAACAAACACTTTTCCGATATTCTTTTTCTTGGTTTTGATCGACCTACTCATTCACGCACCATTTCTTTCTTCCTACATCGCTTGTATCCATGAGACCAAAAAGGACTGCCTTTCATTGCTTCATTCAAGATGGCAGCTAAAATTACAGGAGAAGTGGTGGTGATCCCAACCAATCCGTGTAGTCTTCCTTACTACTCAAGTCTCAGCTCTCTGATCGCGACAAATGAAGCTTCTCAATCGTTCTGTACTCTGAAGTTCGACGTAGTTGCGCCTACCGCCACGAGTAGTTAGTATTTACAATTTATTACAGTCTCATCATATGTTTGCCGGCTAACAAAAACTCCACAGTATTCGTGGATGGTGCGACGACGACCATAACCGTAACCAGCACGTCAACATCGACTACGACTCCTGTAGAAACAACTACTGGTTAGTCTAGCTGATCATTCCAACATGTTCTTACACGACTGAAAGAGTTGAAACAAAACCTGGCTACCTTTCTCCCAGACATCTCACGGCCCAGGTCCCATATTCTTACATGGCTCATACTTAGCCTAAGTACTGATCACTCTACGTTTGCATCTTTACAGAAGTAGACAGCACTTTTGCAACTGTGACAGCTGCACCTGTTACGGAAACAGCCACAACTACTACGACATCCACCGAGATCGTGAGCCTATTTTCTTCTGCCTCTATACCTCTTTTCCTTTAGGCTGCCTTTAAAAAGCTTTTCCTTCCACAAGCTATCGTGAACTAGTCAAGACTGGAAAATATAGGCACCGTGGACAGAGATGGATCAGATAGTGATATTGACAGCGACTGATTCTCCTCTTCAATTAGGACACTGGAACCAAGACGGAAACGGAGACTGCCACGACCATCTCTACCACCAGTGTTTGCGCCACAATTCGCTTTCCTGAGACTCTGAAGAAGCGGCATCCTAAAGGTACTGAATGTGCTGGTGGTAAAGCCTCCCGCAGCCGTCCGAGCCACTCAAAGCAAACATGGTACTGGCAGGGCAGCTCTGGCTTTCATCCAGATGGTCTTTTCCGCAGCCACACGGACGGTGCAGGAAGTGGCCACGGGCACGGCCACAATTTTGGTCATTCCGCTGATGAAGACAACAATTACGGCGACGATGGCAATTTCCGTGGTGAAAGTGACTCCATCCACGTAGGAGTCGATAGGAGTGGGTATGCTGGCATTGATCATTCTGGCAACAAACCTGCGTATTATACTCGACCCAACGGCGGTGATCGATTTGAGCCAGGCTACGACTCTTCTTACACCGACCCTGGTGCCTCGAACCCAGTATACAATCCGTCCTTTACCACCGAAGCTACCGAGTCAACAATCCAGTCGCCCATTCGTACAAGCACTAAGACGAAAAGTGATCAGTTCACCTTGGATCCGACTATTTGCAGCTGCATCGCGACCACGATTACGGAGACCACAACGACAACCGGCCATACTTCAACAAGTACCACGATTGAAATTACTACCGAGACTTCTCCCACGTCAAGTGACACCTCAACAACAACAATCACTGGCACAACGACGACGACTCCAACTGTGACAAGGACTGTCGAAGTCACAGACTCGACTACAAGTACCACGACGACGACGTTGACGGCCACAACAACGTCTTCTGTCACCGCCACTCAGACCGTTGCCGACGGGTTAGTCTTCTCTCATTTGTTTTTGTTTTCATCCACCATATCTGCTAATCTTCAATGCAATGAGCTAACATGTTTCTTGTGATAAGCAACTTCTATTCAGGCGGCACTGCACCTGTGAGTTTGATTATTCGTCCTATATCTCGCAATCTCCATCACACGCTTCCAGGCGAATACAAAGACAATGCAAGAGCTGGACCTTGCGCTTTAGATGACAACAATGCCTTGGATGATTCCAATTTGCATTTTCTATTTCTCTCTTTTTATTTTTATTTTTTCTTTTCAAAAAAGGATACTGATATGATTTTGAAAATGCAAACAGGGCGGTGACGGCTGCATGTGCACGTACTCGGTAACTTGTGTAACCGCCGCCTCTTACCGGTATACTCGCAGGGCCCTCCTGGCCACAGACTTTAATCAGTGCATCGACGTCTGCAATCGCGACAGCGACTGCCTATCTGCGGTATTTGACGACACGAATACCTGTTACATTTACAACAACGCCATGGCGGATGAGTCCCTCGGCGGCTACGCCGATCGCTTAGACGTGGCCAACCAGGAAAGATGCGCCCTTCCTGCCGGCTCGCCTGGGTGTAATTGAAGTTTTTGACGTGGAGCTAAAGATGATGTTACGTTCAGCTGTGAAACTCGAGTTGGGATAATCTTCGTCAGTGCAATAACAACTTACTTCTTGTAAATCCCGTACATTGTTGAAAGGCAAAAGACAAAATCAGCTGTGAGCATATCAAATCGAAAATCGAATATGATTTTTTTTGGGGGGGTAATACCGGGATTCGGTGCATACATACCTAGTCTCCTTGCCCTCCTCTAATATTCGCAATGGGAATTATGATGCACACCCCTTGTAAAGCACTGTGAAAGCGTACCTGCGCAAATATGCCTTCTCTTTTCCCAGCACTTCTGCGTGATATGACGATTCCTGGCGCCACCAAGTGCCTGCAAGGTCCCCTACCAAGTAGAAGCGACGTCTGATAGTTCCCCCCACGTTCTCTACCTTACTAGGCACAATAGCCAATGCAGCCATGACATTCTATGATATGCCACATTTTTGGAAAGATTCTTCCGAACGGATAATGTAACCTCTTTTTGGAAAGTGAAGCCGCAGCCCGTTCTCAATCTCAATGACCACCTTATGGCGAGCAGATCCAATCAAAGTACCATATTGAGGATGAGACCCAGGAACCGAACTAAAATTTGTAAGTAAATTCCTTGACCTCATGATGTATGGTAAACATACTCAACTGTCTCGACCACAACTCCGGTGGCAATGGGAATTGCATGGAGATCAACATTTGACAAGCTCAATTGACCCGGCTCGGATTCCAAGATGATGGCTGAAGCTTCCTCTGCACTAATTTTGATCACAGCCTCGGGCAGTGGTATACGGGAGATCCTATGGATACTAGTCAGCATAGAGAAACGAGAAGTCGCACGGAAGATTCGCCAAGGATATTTGTGATACTGACCATGCATATACACGCGGAAGATCAGCAGTTCCGAATCCAGGAACTTTTTCAAATTGCAAGTCAAGCAGCGCCCATCTTACAACGAAAACAACATTGATATCAGCAATGGTCATAGCATCACCAGCGACAAACTTGCGATCTGCAAGCATTTCAAATTCCAAAATCTCAAATATGGACTTGAGCTCGCTCAATGCGCTCTCGCGCAGAGTTGCGTGGTCCGGCCTCGTTACCACCGCTTGATTATGTCAGCATACGAAGCAATTAGTCTTTGTGGTTAAAGCTCAGACGTACAGAAAATAGTGGCTCGATCTTGCACGAGCCCAGGAAAACTATCTAAAGCGAATGCCCTCAGCATGATACCGATTATGGTGTTACCGTATGCTTCAAAAGCCTTGTCGGATGGGCTAGATTGTAGCGTGGCCGACAAGGCCTGTAGAGCGTCCACGGCAACCGCAGAGTCGCAATACACATCCTTGCCAATGGCCATGAGGGGGATTCGCCGATGAGTGATGCCGAGCGCGGTCAAATCTGGACGGGGGAGCATCATGGGCTGCTCGCATTGTTGAAATGGGAGGCCAGCGGCCGATAATGCTAGGCGAACCTTTTGACCGTAGGGCGAGAAGCCTGTGCAAAGTTAGATCCCTGTTTGCCTAGCGCAAGCGCTTGTCCTTACCATAGTCAAATAAAACAATCGGAGGCGACATGGAGGTTTGGACAAGATTAACAAGTCGCAAGAATGAAAGTGTTGATGTGAAATGGCTTATTAATTCAGTTGTGGCTACACTACATACTAGCAGGTATTTATATATTTCTTGGTGCGGAGGTTGTCCGCAGTACCCGCAATATTTCGCAAAATCTATACCCAGCTAGTAAGGTTTGTGAGACTAAATAGCTCATAAATGTTCTCTTTTCAATTCAATGGATGGGGTTCACGGTGATAGTTAGCATAAAAGTACCTACTAGTGACGATATCCTGAAGTAAACAGTTTCCTTTTTAAGTCAATGAGTTTATCGCCACAGCAAAGAACATCGTGATGTTCCGCAATAAAGGCGGGGAGGGCTACTATCATCGAGGCGAATGATATGAAATTGCGGACCGATCGGAGAATAATGAGCACCCGATGGCCCGGTTGAAGGTCATGATATCCATAATAACATCATTGCAGATCCATTTCTGGTAGCTCGGGTCCGTTCATTAGCTAGTTGCACCTACGCAACGTTCGACGCCATAACACAAAGCGTCTACTAATCCTTCAATAGCTTCAGCAACGCGGCTGCTACTATACCCATGCACCACGGGAAAATAGACAATGAGCGGCATCGCAACCCTAAAAGTCGCATACCCCCGAGTACCTGCTTTACCAGGTGCACACGCTAAAGAATAAGCTATAATCGTTTCTCATTCACCTGAAAATCGAAGGATGATGGATTATTGTTCTATGGACAAGTGAACGTCTTTTCATATGAGCCATTTCACTCATCAATAGTGAATATGGCTCCCTTCTCTTGGCCTTCAAAAACCAGCACCAAAGCTCTTTGAGGTTCGCCAAATACCCAACCTTCGGAATGCATTATACCTATTCTGGGTCTCTGTTCACCTTCCACGGCGCTACGCGAACTTAAATGGTTCACGTCGTGTAAGTCGACCAAGTCCCTCAGCCTAAGTGCAATCTCGTCCGTCTCATCCTCCCCAGGTTCTCTCACTAGGGGCAGATCGTCTGGAAAAGTCCAACGCGCAATCTTCTTTTCTCTCAATCCGTTCTCACCGTCGAGCGAGCCAAAGGCCCACCAGCGGATTCCCAAGTCGCTGGGCACGATCTTGTATGAGTCACCCGGCCGGAGGAGGCGGAGCAATTTGTCCTGTACAGATTCATCCTTGTTGCCCAGGCGTTGGACAAGTCTGTCCGGGGCCAGCTCAAATGCAACTTCAGCGTGACCTTGTCCTAAAGGCGGAACAGTTATGAAGTCAAAGCCATCATCAACTCCGCGTTTCAACAAGTCCGGATTGCCAGATATGCGCGTGGTGGTGATGTGTCGCGCCACGGGATGTAGCGGTAGTTCTGGGGCTGGACATTGACTATCCGATGCTGTTATCTGGGGCGATCTCATGGTACGGATGAAAAAGGCATCCTCTGTTGGTGTTGTGTCCAAACACGAGTACTTGGTCAGTATAGTGACAGCACGATCGGGAAACGGTGACGCAGTCTGTTTGATAGAGGCGATGAGTTGCAAAGGTTCTGATGGGTACGGATCCTGGATGGAAATGGCGTGTGGAGGACTCGTGCTGAGGCTGAGTGAGAGCTGAACTTTTTGGGATTGCTGCTGCATTTCCTGTGCCGATCGCGGCTGAGAGGTCATGATGAGTGAATGTACGGTCTTTGCGGCTTTGGTCTACACGCTCCTATTGAGCGGGGTTGTTTGCTTGTGAAACCTGTAGATGGAAGAAACTAGCTCCCTAGTGGTCTAATAAAGATAAACAGTAGACAGGGGAGAGTACAATGTTAGTCAGATCTACGACAGACTCGTCTAGCGAATAACAAGTCAAGCATGCCAAGTGCATAACTTCAGGTCCCAGACTTGGCTTTATTACCTAAATACCTAAATACCTAAACAAGCCAGGGCTAGGAGGTTCGGATACCCGGCGGTACGTTCTTCATTCAAGAATTGCCTGTCTCTCTCATCTTTGAGCAGCCTGTGAGGGATCCATTCTGTTTTCTGCCCTACCAGAGCTTCGCGCAATGAAAAATTGGCGCCGTCGGTACCAATGAATAAATTCGCATGAATTATTTCTGGCTGGGCTCCTTGCTCTTCGGGGTTTAGTTTTATGTGGCCGCTGTGAAGATCGATCTGATCTGCCCCGACGGTCATCCCAAACATGACTTGCACGCCAAGAGCTGTGGATCTGTCATAAAGAGCCTGCCGCAGATGTACTCGATGCACTGACAGACAAGGAGCGGCATACTTCTTTTACTCTTCTAGAATATACTGAGTATGAAACACTGTGCCGCTGTCGTACTGTTTCAAAACCAGTGTTGGTGTGCGGACGGATTTTGAATATAGTTCTTCATAGACGCCGAGCTGTTGCAGCACACGAACAGTATTTGGCTGCAATTCCAGACCTGCACCTCCTGCCTTGTCTCATTGTCAATTACACAGAAACAATCCGCACTTGTGATTTGGTAGCTGACCGCCTGCAGGGTTTTATTCCTCTCCAAAAGCGTCACCTTGAAGCCTTCCAGCCGAAGAGCGATTCCACAAGCCAAGCTAGCGATGCCAGCCCCGACAATGCAGACGTGAAAACCAGCTTGAAAGTCCGTTATTTCCGTTCAAGGTAAGTCGTTGAATCTATGAAGTCTGATGAAAGATGTGCTACACCAAACTGTGCATTTGAGCATGCTAGATATTAATCGTATGTTAGCTTATCTTTCGCAGCAAGGAATGACAAGTAAATGCTCGAGGTGCCGGGCAAGGCTCAGCCCTGAGGGTCGCAGAACAGGTGGGACAAAATCCCTTGCATCTTTCGTTTGCCCCCAAAGTCCACCAACTGCATGATTACCGGTCTGTGCCGCAGGCGGGAACAACGATCATTGGTCCAACGGGTATTAGCGTCTAGAAGGATTCCGAGATGCAATACAGTCTGAGCTACACTGTGATACTTTTAGCACATGTATTATATTTGGAAGCCAACGGAACAGTTGCATATGTGGTGTGGGTCATGACGGCTCACTATGTCTGCCTGCATTCTCTTGTACACAGTAGCAGGATACAAGGTTCGATTGTCTCTCACCTCCAAAACAAAGGAGTAGATTCGACATTTGATTCTCTGACTATCCGCACCGCGCTAACATCTCCCGAGTTTGCGTTGACAAACAGCCACCACTGATCGCGACCTCTGTGCTGTGATCGATATCCTGCTTGTGGGCCCATTAATCTATACCAGCCCCCGAACCGTCACCATGTCTTCCAAGCTTGGTTCTCAAGCCTCTTCTGAGTCTTCAGGCCTCGCCTTCTTTGGTCGCCAGTTCACCAAACCCAAGCCATTACCAAGCGACACCCAGCTCTCTGAGCACGTCGCCATTGTCACTGGTAGTAGTTCAGGTCTTGGCTTCGAGGCTGCAAGGCAGCTCCTCGCACTTGGTCTTGCTCATCTGATCGTGGCCGTGCGCTCGCAAGAGAAAGGTGACTTGGCGGCAGGCAAATTGCGAGATGAGTTTCCAAAGGCTACAGTATCAGTCTGGATCCTGGATCTGGAGTCGTACGACTCGATACAGGCATTCGCGGAGCGTTGCCAGACGCTACCTCGCATCGACATAGTCGTACTCAATGCCGGACTGCGAAAGCCGTCGTTCACAACCGTGCCTAGCACGCATCATGAAACCGTCATTCAAGTCAACTACCTCTCAACGGCCTTGCTCGCAATCCTGCTGCTTCCTGTCCTGAAGTCAAAGGCGACCCCTACCAGGCCTCCTACCCTGACGTTTTCAGGGTCTGATCTGATGTACACTGTCGCTTCAAGCAAGGGCAAAGACCCGATTTTGCAGCAGTTTGATGATGCAAAGGCATATAATCAGTTCTCGGTATACTCCAAGTCGAAACTATTGCTTGCCGTCTTCGCTGCTAAGCTTGCCGAGTTCGTTGACCCTAAAGACGTACTGGTCCACGTCACAAACCCGGGTATGACAAAAGGGACAAACATGTTTCGGGAGTCATCAGCGCCCGCTAAACTCATCTTTGGTGCCCTGAACAAAATGATGGGCAGACCAGCGGAAATTGCCGCTTCAAATTACGTCTACTCGACCGTCGTCTCAGGCCAAGATGATCATGGCTCATTTGTCAGCGACTGGACCGTGAAGCCGTGAGTTTGTTCAACCTCTGTTACGGTTTGACAAATATTATTAACACTTGAACGCTTAGGTTCCCCGAGATGTGGTACACACCCGAGGGTCAAGAATACTCGAGTCGATTGTGGGATGAAACTATGGAGGAGTTCAAATTTGCCGGAGCATCAAAGATTCTTGACGATCTGAGAGGTGCCCAGTGAGATATAGGTCCTTCCACGCCAATAATTAGACCTAGCTTGGTAGGAATTTGCCACGAATCATGTCCTAAACCTAGAAATGCGGCGTCAAATCATTGTACGTTGGTGTTGGAACTTCATCATTAGGGATATGTGTATCTTTGTGTATTTGCAGAAAAGTGAGGATATACGAAGGGAGTATGCGGCACGAGTGAGACGGTAATGCGAGGCTGTTTAAGAAGGAGTTTCACATTTCCAGTCGGTATCGATTCCCCAATATCCATGCTTATAGTTGTTCTCGAATAAATGTTATGGAAATTAAACAGACCGCGCACCATCATAAACGATTGGAAGTTGGACTTGTAAAGCTGTTTGCTATTTCTCAAATAGCGTGTGTTGGGTTCGCGATTAACTGCAACAGTTATATATACTAATCATTTTCCATACCAAGATACCATCGACTTGCATTATATTGCAACAAATGTATGAGACTCGTCCCATTTCCTATTCAGAATCAGAGCATATGTAGCTAAAACTATTGAGATCTAATTATGTGTGCTGCTATGCAGAATTTTAGAAACTCAAAGAGCGAACCATTGGTTAAAGCGCTTGAGTGGGTCATATTTGTGCCTGAGCTGCTTGAGCTTGGGCAGGCTCTTGCCAGAGATGCTGCTCAAGGCCTCGTCACCATGAGCAAAGTTGATATAGCTATTCTCATATTAGTAAACATTCCATTTATTTATTTTTGGCAGATTTGGCATTGAGACTTACGCGCTGAACTGTGTGTTTCCAGCAGATTCGTTCAGGTAACCCCTCACGTCCTGTCCGAATTGGTTGCCTGCAGTATCGAGCGACTTACTTGTGTACCATGGGATGACCATAACGTAACATTGCATACCGCGCCAGGGGTACGATGTCAGAGACGGGTCAACTTTTGGCGCAAGTGTCGTCGGGTAGCACTTTGCCAGCACGGTGGAGGCATTCGCCTCGGGATATTCTGCAATGAAGCTGGTATACTCGGTCCAGATATCGCGCCATGCCGTACAAAAGTGGTGAAGCGGCGCCCACCACCAGCCTCATGCAGTCTCACTGCAGGCTTCCTGCTGGCCATGCGGGTAGCCGGCCACCCAATGTGCCCTATTTGGACAATCCATGGGCCCACAGTGCGAAAGATCCGCCTGATGGCTTACAGTACATAGGTATGGTGTGGGCCAACGATTGCATTCACCCACCAACAACGCGGGGCACTAGACAGACCATAAGCCACATTCACCCATCTCTATACAACTTTTTTTGATCCTGGTTTTGACTGTAAGAAGTTCACGCTGATCCTGATCTTGACAAGAATTAAAAAAAAAATGGCAGACTCCAACTTCATCTCGTCTCTTGCCGGCTCGCTCTCGGCTGAGTCGCGGGTTTTAAGCGACGAGAGGTCGGCAGATTGGAAGGACTCCATGAACAGATGGTCCCACTATGGCCTCAAGATGCCCTCCGCCATTGTCCGGCCAAAGACTGAGGCAGATGTAGTCACTGCAGTCCAGAAACTGGTATCTGCGTCTATCCCTTTTGTCCCGGCTTCAGGTGGCCACAGTCCCTTTTCATATATCGGAAAGGAAGGCGTGGTTATTGATCTCAGCCAGTTCACCGGCGTCGAGGTGAACGAGACCAAAGACTTGGCCACAGTAAGGGGCGGTACTCTGATGAAGGAGCTTCAAACATCACTTCATGCTCACGGGAGATTTGCTGGTACGTTGAGCAGCAGACAAGTTCAAGCTTTACCAGCATGACTGACGTGAATATAGCGGTTGGAAGCGGCAACACAGTCGGAGTCATTCCCTACTACATCGGAGGCGGCATCAGCGCCTATACACCCCTGTACGGCTATGGTTCCGAGAACATCGTCGCAGCCAAGATAGTCACTGCAAAGGGCGATCTGGTCAAGGTCTCGGAAAGGGAGAATGCTGACCTTTTCTGGGGTCTTCGAGGAGCTGGCCAATTCTTTGGCCTCGTTGTCGAATTGACAATCAAGATTTCCCCCTACAGCTTGATGGGCAATGACCAAGGCCAACGTATGCTTGGCACCTACATCTTTACGCTAGACAAGCTGGACGCTGTGAGCGCCGCAATGGTGCCCATCATGGAAAGCGAGGAATGTGCTTCGGCTGGCCACTTCAGCATTGCCCTCGCGCCGCCCGACTTTCAACATCAAGTCCTGCTCGTGGCACCGCAAGTCTTTGCTAGTGCTGAGGATGCTGAGAAGCTGCTCAAGCCCCTGGCAGACCTGGGACCTATCATGCAAACATTTGTGCCTTCCACTTTCGAGAAGCATAGCGACCACTTCGACTACCTCTGCGCCAAGGGCAGTTTCAAGAGGTTCACCCAAATCGGCATGACTGGCTTCAGTAAGGACAACTTCGCAGAGCTTATCAACCTCCACAGTGAGCTCGTAAAAGGCTGCCCAGACGCTGCCATGTCTGCATTTTCAGTGGAATGGCACACGCCTTACAAGGGATCCCGCGAGGTCGTTAGTTTCGGTCATGCCCAGGTCGATTATTGGATGTAAGCCTGTGCTGTCCGACTGTTAAATTTACCGATTTAGCGCTAACTTTATTCGCTTCCAGGAACATACTCAGCTGGTATCAGGATCCCAAGAGCCACGACTTTGTCGACAGTGTGGGCAAGAAGGCTCAGGCAATTTCGCGTAAAGGGGATGATGAGGACGCCTTTGTTACTTATACCAACACCAGTCGCGATGATCCCCTTCCGTGGCGATACAAGGGTGAAGAGAGGATCAACAGACTTCGCGCCTTGAAGAAGGAGTGGGACCCTACGGGCGTCTTTACAAAGACATTCCTATGAGTCACAAGATTGTAGTTCCAGACTATGCCGCCAAAAGCTTCCGTCTGCTATATTTTATTTGACTAGAGTAGAAAGTTGAAGGCTCTTACCTCAGCCTCGGAAATACTTTGCGAATAGACTCTCTGACTGAAATATGTAAAAGCCAGTGCAAATTAAAAACCTGTACTGGCATTCCAACTGGGCCATGCAAGCCAGAGCAGATGCTTCCAAAACCCACAGGGGGGGATCAAACCCTTGTCAGCTATCAAGCTCATGTATACATGTATGCCTATGCAGAGCAAAAGCCAAGGCTCTGGGGGCGTGTCAGGACGATACCTAGTCTTACCAGCAAAGATACCCTTGCTCATCGTCAGTCCATACGGGTGAATTCCTCTGTACCTGCATATTCACAGGGACCACCCTACACACTCTCGTCAATGCCGCCGTGATGTTACGCGTCTATGCACAAGTGATGTATCACCGTTGAGGTTCTTATTATCGTCCTGAGTAGATACGTCCGGATTTCGTCGCGATAGCTTGCACAGTCTGACTTTATGGATTAGTACACTCATGTATCCCAAGTCCTTCAATCTCTGCAACCCTACCTCTGCAATCTTATTATAGCCATATACATAAAGTCTCTTAAGACGTTGCTCTTGGGTCGCTTGTACGGGAAGTGGGGTCGGAATAGGTTGGATTGACAATGCCTGCAACCACGTTTCGGTCCCGAATTACTACTCTACTCTGGTATCAAAGACGATACGAAGAAAGTAAACTCTCAACACCGCGCCGCAAAGGCTTTTGGCAAAGTAACACATGCAATACAAGCTGCGTATGTAGACTAGTATGCCTCTCCGACAATCCGGATGCAGTGGTCGTATGTAGTAATGCGTAGCATCAAAAACAATTGAAAACAAATTTCGCTTTTTTTCAACAAGTTACATACATATAGTCGCCAAATAAAAGGTTAGGATAGCTCAATCCTGGTGATAGTAGGATCAGACGCCTCCCACATCTCTCTTGTCATGTGCACTGTGCACATCCGGCGGGTGCCACCCTGGCTCCTATCTATACCCAAGCAGAAGACACGACGCGAAGGCAAAGGATCACCACCTGCGTCACCTTCCAACATTTCAGTATCTAGTATGTTTAGGAGATCTATACCGTCACGTAAAAGCCAGGTAATAGTCGATCCGCGAAGCTCATATGGTAGCCCAATTCGAATTGGGGGCCATGGTCTGTACCCGGCTGACTGGGGCTCAAAATATTGGCTACCAGCCGAATTTCTCAGAGCCAGAGATTCACCCAAAGAATACATCTTTTCTGCATCCCACGACATGGCTTCTGATGAGTTGGTATTGATGTCTGAATCCGAATTCATGCCGGAAGCGATGATACCAACAGAAAAGTGTGCCATCTCGGATGTAATACCGACGGTGAAAAGCTTTTTGGACAATTGAAGAGGGGCCAGCCACTGTCTACACTTGTTGGGCTTATGTGCATCTTCCACGCCACAGACCAACGTGCCAGCTAGTTCAATGTCCAACGAGGCATGAGCTTGATACTCGTATATATCATCCATATTGCCCGGAACCAGACATCCAGAAGTTTTCTGATGTGGATGAAGTGTATGATATTGCTGTCTCGAATGCCAGCCAGCCCATGACCAACTTGGAAATCCATCTCGTACCCGGTCTTCTGTATTATTCCAAAGTAGTGCGTAATGAAAGTCCTTGGTGGGAAGGCCGCAAACGAACTGCAGATCCATATTTTGTGCCAAAATATTCAAGCATCCTGAAATTGCCGCTAGTTTGTCTGATTCGAACGACAACTTGCGGCCAGTGTACCCTCTCAGGATATTGTCGTATTCCCCGAAGTCCCAATTTATCTTTTTAAACCAATCGTTGGACAACAGGACTCGGTATCCACTAGAGCGGAGGTCGAGATGTGATAAATCAGCATTGTGACCATACTTTCCCGAATGCAAACTTTCGCGCCGGAATCCAGCAGCGCACATAAAGGAGACATCGAAACGGCTGAATATGGCGACCTGCCTGGACAAGGCGCCTTATTGATAGGTCCATGACCTTGTCGCCCACTGCGATTCATGAATACGATCCCCCGTGCCAGGTAGTGATGTGATGTACGACTTATCACCAATCGTCTCAATTCGCTGATTTCCACCCAAGTTACTCAGTATGTCCTCCGGCAAGAGCCCTGCGTTTGCGTCGGACGAATTCTTGCCGTGCCCATCAATCAGGGTGATCTGCGCATGGTTATATATGTAGCCCATGGCATTGATTTCGGCTGCCTTTTGCTGTGCATCGTTTTGGTCAATGCAATACAGATCAACCCAAAGGTGAACAATTGATAGTGCGGAACAAATGCGCAGTGCATCCTCCACGACTTTAGGAATTTCGGATGGCAAAGACACTGCTGTGGCCCCAGAGCTACCAAGCCCGGGAGGTAACTCGGATACAAGCTTCATGCGGGCCTCCTTGTTCTCCCCCCATACGTAGCTCAGCGCCGCATACTCGGCTTCTGCAATATTGTACTCTGAAATGGTCCGACTCTGTACATTGATAAGTCGAATCTTGCTAATTCCAGCCGGCGAAAAGACCGCAGAGAAAGAACCCCCTTGACAGGTATTATTGTGCGTATTCCGACAGGTCGAAAGCCACTGCGAAAGCAACTCGATGTTTCGCTGCATGGTTGTGACCTGAAACCCATTGGCGAGAGGGCGCGCAGGGTCGACGGAGCCGGGCGACAGCAACTGAAATCCAGCCTTGACGGATCCTTCGTATATGGATAGGGCATCTTCATCTGAGTAGTCTGGTGTGCGGCGCAACGAGATTTTAATTTGTGTTGCAACGAGATCCCCGGTCCTGGGATTTCCATATCCCGTTTCCTCGTTGTAGTCTTGCCGTCTGGGTAATAGCACGCATTTCATCTTCCTGTCATCTATTTCTTTGGGGTGAAACCACGGTGATCCCCGAAGAGGCGCGGTGGCATTCTCGTAGAGGGCATGCTTGACCAGACGACAGAGCGGACACCTCGCATTAGACTTGATGTCCTTTAACGTACCAAGCTCTTGGATATACCTCGGCCCTGTGAATAGACTGTATAAATCAACCCCTGCGCAGATCTGACATGGCTGATCAAGCTCGACCATGTTCACTACTAGTGTAGATATAGCCTGTCGGCTGATTGTTGTTGACGGCGAGAAGCAGTCATAAAATTATGTTCTCTTTCACAGGCCGATAGAGAGGAGGTGATTAAATCATCCGATCATTGCAATAATCTTTCAATGGTCGTTGCAGTCGGCTGAGTGGCAGTTCGCAGGGCTGGCAACAAGAACAACTTTCATCAGTTCTGAAGGTTTGAGATTGTTAAAGAGAGGTATAAGCGGGGGAGGAGCGGGGGGAAGTCGGAAGCAGAGCCTGGTTTCCATGTGCAGGTACTGATTAGGTACCTAGGTAGGCATACAAACCTTTCCGTCGCACAGCCGGCGGGGTTGACATTCCCTGTTTGTTTTCCTCAAGATATTTTGAAAACGCAACTCATTTCCCCCTTGTATACCTGCATTATCATTGTCTTGCTCCAAATGTATTCCATTTATTGGCTCTGGATGATCTTGTAAGTTCCAAATGCGACTTTGATTCAGCTATCGAGATGAGACTCAAGCCTTAAGCGACCATGGGGAATACTTGTCGGTCCGTGACTGACTGGCGACAGTCTTCGCAGAGTTTTGGCCGGCTGGTTGAATCAATGGGCCTCTCAGAGACTTGCGCCGACCCCTTTGGCACTTAAACCACGATTCAATGGCAAAACCTCTGTATCTATTATCGTCCCAACCATCGATACCGACGAATTGCTGTTGCATCAAGGGTTGATGAGTTGGCTAGATAACAACCCGCTAGAAATCCTTTTAGTGACAACACAAGATACTCTTGGTTTTCTGCAGCAGCTCGCCGACTCTGTCCGCTCAAAGCGTGTTACATCCGGGCTTTATGATCCAGTGATCCAAGTCTTGGCTGTGCCTAGGGCGTCGAAACGAAAGCAGTTGGCTCATGGAATCAGCCAGTCCCATGGTGATATCATCGTCCTAGTCGATGATGACGTTGTTTGGCCTTCGGCGCTACTTCCGCTTGTCCTTGCATGCTTTGAGGATAATCGAGTTGGTGGTGTTGGAACGAAACACAAGGCTCTTCCCGTGGGATCAACAAAGGATCCAATTTGGCATTTCTTGGCAGCTCGACGCCTTGCTAGGAGAAATGTTCATTGCGCGGCAACCAGCTATTTGCAGTCAGCCATGACATGCCTTTCTGGTAGAACCGCAGCTTATCGCGCGTCGATACTTCGAGACAAAGTTTTTCTAAAGGAGTTCACTCAAGACTTTTGGTTAGGTCGCTATCTTCTCGATTCGGGTGATGATACATTCATCACTAGGTGGCTTCTATCCAATAATTGGTTCATCACAATGCAAACTGATCCAGGCGCCGAGATTGCATCGACAACGTTGCCTCGCGCGAAGTTTCTTACGAAGACCCTCAGATGGAGTAGAAACTCAAGAAGATCATTTCTGCGTTGTGTCTTTACTCTACCACATCTCTGGTGGTAGGCATATCAACATTTGAAACAAGTATTTTGTCCGTGGCTCATTACAAACTAGGTCACGACCACTCCTGCTATGGAAGATGGCCAACGCATTGTTGGATCCTTTCATCTTCGTCACGGAGTGGATTATGGTTATGAGCTGCATTCTAGCAAGGGATTCTACAATCACGAGGTAAGCGTGCAGCCGAAAGAACGTGAAAGAATCTTACAACGTACAAAACAGATTTCATGTCATCATTTATTTGATTTTGCGCTTAGCAGCTTTCTTTCAGAAAGCATGGGACTCTAATGACCGGGTACTGTACATCCTAATAGGATGCTTCTTTGACTATATGATCAATTTCATAAACATTTATGCGTTGATCACCTTAACGGAGGTGGGTCGTCGTACAACAAGCTTGATGGAGATTTATTTGGAATGTATATGTGGCTAACGAACACTCTTTACAGACTTCTTGGCAAACATAAGTTGAATATCTCAACAAGCTGCTGAATAGACTTTGGTTAGTAGCAACAAGACAAAATGTCGAAGGTTTCAGCGCAAACCCCTTTGCACAATCAGGTTGGCCTCGGTGACCTTTTTGCGGAGTCAAAACTCATTGTCGACCTCTCAGCCAAATGCTTGAGACCCTGAGTATCAATAAGTCCTCAATGACAGGTCCATCTATAATTTACCCGTTGTTTGCTCAAACCTATCTTGGGCCGTGATATATCAATGATCGGGCTTCTATATATCCGATCAAAGACGATGGTGGCGGCGAGTTTGGCAGTGCTTTGTCAGTCGGTGGGCATCCTTCCGACAGGGAAGGAGACTCCCTTCACGAGATTGATAGCGGTGACGAGTCCCATATTTTCTTTTCCAAAAATCACGACACAAATCTCAAAATGCACAAACTCCGTTAATTAAATTCGGCTTAGAATGAAAAAGGAAGTATGACTACTGCTTCTCAATTAGCGGGAGTTTAATTGTTTCAATACACAAAGTTAACATACAAAGCGCTCCTCGACCAGTCCCCGTGGAATTCATGTCTTCTGTGGCTAAATTCTCCACCTCAAAATACTGGCGGCGACGATGGATCGTGCAAGAAGCTGTTTTAGCCAGGCACTCCATAGTCGTCCGGAGCGCTCATAAGTTGTCTTGGAATGTCGTGGGGCTCTCAACAAGGCTGATACGCAATAATGACCAACTTTGGAGCCTATTTCCGACCACGAAACCAAGGCATCGTAGAGATCGAGCAAAATGTAGACTGATGAATGTGTATCTGATGCATCAATTCTCCCAGGGGGATCCCAGAACGGACCAGCTGTCATTTCTCAATCTAGTGCGGCTCACCTCTAGCTTTAAGGCATCATTTATGCATGATATAATCTATGCAATTCTAGGTCTACCCAACCTGGACAGCGATCCTGGCACTCTTATTCTCCCAACTGACTACACACTTCTCCATGAAGGTCTGATCATCCGAACTTCTCAGAAAGTATAAAAAGCTTGTTCGGATTTATCTGAGCTCCTCTCGACCGTCCAGCATCATGATCTCATATTACGAACAAATCCCACCTGGATTGCGCGATGGCCTGTCGAACTCACACGAAGCATAATAGGATCGTATCTCTGTTCCGTGAAATTCAACGCTTCTGGCGGCGCTACTGGTACATCTTCGCCTGTTACAGACTGGGAGCTACTCACGACAGTCATGACTCTGAAGGAGATTGTGGTTGACTACACTGATTCTTCAGCACACGTCTTTCATTCTCATGGACATACCAGCTCTCACAATCTGTTCGATTCGAGCTGGATCAATACATATCGTTTAACCCCATTACTCCAAGGGATGGAGGCTCTTGCCATGAGCCTTACCGCACGTCAAGACTAATATAACGCCCCCTTGAAAGACCAGAAACACATATTCGACAATTTCAAAGCATTCTGCCGTTATGCTAGACGTCAATGGCGTAGACCCTCGTGCCTCGAGATTGGAAATCCAGTATCCGAGGAAAAAAAGGGAAAGTAGCCGCTTGGGGTTGAAAACTTTTGCTCAAAGCGCCAGCTGTGTGATACTGAGACCGGCTTGATTGGCCTTGGGCCTCGCCAGATATAGCCTGGTGATTCTATTCGCGTCCTGCTGGGCGGAAGTATATCCTTGATCTTCAGGCCATTTGGAAGAACGACCAATGATGACTACCTTATTGGAAAATGTTATATGCATGGATATACGTTTAATAAGGCTGTTGCAAGGGCGCGTTGCTTCGAATTTGACCATAAAACGATTCATTAAGGATAGTTTTAAGATGCGTAACAGCTAAATGTTTTTTGAGTGTGCATGGAGTTTTATGTAATGCCAGTCTTGCTTGGCCAATAGTTATATACTAGCTGACCCTGTTAGCCAGATTTTTTTTGCTTACGCAAAAAAAATATTAATAATAGCAAAACCGCGACCGATAGCAAGATCCAGGTGTTAAAAAACACTATAAATAATAGCAATACTGTGAGTAATAGCAAGATCCAGAATTTTAAAAATACCGTAAATTATAAAAAAACCGCGGTAACGCTAAAATCGTAAATAATATTAAAATAATTAAGCTTAAAAGCACCGTAAAAAATCGCAAATATGCAAAATCGCTTTTGCCATTAAAAATCCATATATAGCCGAAAAACCTATATAATTACTAAAATTATCGTAACTATTATAATCGACTTTAATTAAAATATTTAATTTTTAATCGGGCCTAATTTTAATTACGTAATTACGCGTAAATCGGATTTATTATAGCTATTTCTATATTTTCCCGCGTTCCCCAGCTATATAATTTTAGGTTTTTTAAATTATTATTTTCCCGGTAAATTGCTAATTATTATAAACCTTTATTTTATACCCGCGTATACCTTTTGCAGCTAATTTATCGTAATAATCGTATTTTTAAACCGTTTTTACGCTAAATACAATTTTTTTAGGACTTTTGCGATTAAATGCGGCTATTTAGGCGCATATACGCCTTTAAGCGCAATCCTAACGCTAATAGCCGCATTATATAATATTATTATATTTATAACGATTATAACTTTTTTATTTTATAAATATTATTAATTTATATTAACGCTATATTCGGCTTTTAGAATTAATTTTACGTTAATTATAATTTTTTTGTATTTTTTATAATAAAATAGCGTCGAATAAAACTATATATAATAATAAATTAAATATAACTAATTTGTATTAATAGCTTTAAATTCCCTAAATTCCTATTACGTTTTTTTTAATTATTTCCGGCATTAAAAAATATAAAATTAATGCTAACGATACCTTATATAATTTCCGTATATTATTATTTTTTTCCTAGCCGTATTCCCGGATTATTTTAGTTATATTCGATAATAATTAACGCTTTTCGGGCGCTTTCGACGCCTTTTTACGCCGATTAATTATAGCCTTTAAAAAAATTAAAGCCTAAATTAAAAAAAACTTAAATAATTTTATAATAAAACCTCGGCTTCGAACGAAAAAACCCGAATAATATAAATTTTAGCTAAAAACTATAAATAAAATTATAAAAGCG